ACGAAGGAAAAAATCAAAACTCTCGACGCCATTGAACTTCTTCCAGATCCAGCGAATAGTCTGCACATTGTGTCACACGACTATCACCTTTTTCCCTCCATGGCACACTTTCTGCGTGGTCGTAGCCTCAATGATCTGCACGATGTCGAAAACGGGTGCCGCGAGTTTTTCGCCTCTAAGAACAAGGAGTGGTACCGCAGCGGGATCGAACAACTTGCCGATAGATGGGTTCAAGCCATAGATTCAAATGGCCTTTACTTCGAAACTTAACTAGTTTTCGTTTGTTGTAAAATTATGTTTAAAGTTTTAACAAAAAAAACGAAAAGACTTTTGGACCACCCTAATATAAAGCCTCCAAAAATCCAGCCTACCTCTCCGCCAGCCTTCGAATATAGCTGTTGTTCATGCTTTTCAAACTCAAGACGATTGTTTATCAAACAACACGTAGAGGCAATAAAACAAAAAACCTTCTGTAGTCCAGTATTTTCCAAAGGCCAGTTTCTGCCAACCAACAATATGCAATAACCTCCTTGAAACCTTATTAAAACTAATCTAATCTACATTTCCAGAAAAGCATAATGCGGTTATTTCTGGGTTCAAAGAGGGGCTAGTTATTATATAGTAGCCAATTAGGATAAATTAACTAAAAGGTTATGTTCAAAAAGAATTTAATTTTAAACGTTTTTTGAGGGGGATTGGAACTGGCAACTTTATTAAAAAAAAGAAATGCGGAGGTTTTTGGTGCTATTAATGGAAATAGACCAAACATATAGGTCTCTCGATTCAGTAGGCAACATAATTTCTTCGTAACAATTTAGCCTTGCAAGTTCAGCCAAAATATCCTTAGGGCAAAAATAATATAGCAGTTGTCATATTTATGTTTACATAAATTCACAAAATTTCCAATCTGTTTTCACCTAGACATAAGACGTCACCAAGCAAATATGGTCACAAAATCCCCTTCTTCCCTTCGAACTTCCACTTTCTCTCTAAAATTAATCTTTAATTACTCTTTAACTTGTCTTCCCGGGAAGACAAAATCAACACAAATTAGGGCCAGAGTTCCATGGAATTGGGAAATTGCGTAATCCCGAGTGAATTTCTCTTCAAAAACAAACTCGATGTCTGCAGAAGAAGAGTTCAGTATTTACAGTATTTGTATACAGATTACAGGGAAGTGTGTGAACAAATGGACCCCGTGTGCAAATTGTGACTATGTAGAACTGATGAGATGAATGTCATGAAAAAATGAAAATTTTAGCTCGCTCTTTAACGAAGTAACAACATTTTTTTAAAAGTTGGGCCCACAATTGCGGGCGACCACTTTGCGGGCAGCTGAAAAAACCACGAAGATTTTGCAGGTACGTTTGGAAATCAGCCAACATTTGCTTACAAGAGGAAATTCAATGATTGATTTGGCGGTTAGATGTTGCGAATTAAGCTTACCGTAAAATTAACCAGGAATTTTTACAATTTTTTGAATAGAAACACCCATAGCTTTGATAGCGATGGATTTACTTATTAGTACCAGAGAGTTGCCAATGCAAAATTACTATTATACTACGTAGATTACGAGCGCAAAGTCTTCTAATCACAAAATGTCCGATGCCCGCATAGTGGTTGCCGCAAGTGTCGCGACACGCATTTTTGAAGGTTCAGGAAACATTTCTTGAAAACAAGCTCCCATAACTACGAAAGGGGTGGATGAATTCAATAAATTCGTATACTTATCTGTACCCGAGAGTTTTCAATGCAAAATTTCTATCATAAATTACGGTAGAAAAGCTGTAATTCTCGCCAGCAAAGTTGGGTGCCCATGTTCTCTGTCAGCGACAAAGATCGCTGAATATCTCGGCTGCACCTGCAAAGCAATCTCTAAAATTTTCGGTAGTAAAAATTTGAGCTATTTAGGCCTTACAGACAAACTTTGATGAAAATAAAAACCTTGCACGTCGAGTACATTGCTCTTTCAAAAATTTGATGATCCATCCAAGAAAAACGTTGTAAAATACCGAATGTTTTCAACACTGCTCCCCGTTTTTCCTCAAAAAACTATCAGAAAGCCAAAAGAAGACCTCCCTCAAAACTTGGCGAAAACAACTTTCCAGACAAAACTTTTGGCCCAAGGTTTTGGCCAAATTGTGAATGAGTTTAAAAAAGGAATCTCGATAGATGCCGCGCCGAAACATGAAAAGCACAAATTCGATTGTACTTGACAAACATAATAGAGTCAGACACGTCTTCACGACAAAAACATCGCCTCGGGCGATTTGGGGAGACAGATTTTTGAATTGTTTTGAATTTGGGGGTTACGATATTTATTGAATGATTTTTGAAAAGAAAATGAAAAAATGGATTGTGAAAAAATAGATAAATGTAAAATACGTTGAGAACACCTGAAAGTCAAAAAAAATTTGATTATACGATATTAAAATTGCAAAAAGATGGGACTTTTTTTACTTTTTTCACTTTTTGATGACTAAACAGTACTACTACTATTAACGATTTTTTTGCCAAAACTAAAATTCAGAATCTTTTTTTTTCTACAGCTTTTATTTATAGCCCTAAATAAAATCTGGCTGGACACACTGAAAAAGAAAAATAAAAACGAAAGAAGAAAACAACTTTTCGAATAAAAATGATTTATTTTCCCCCGTTTTGTTATTTTGAACGGCTTCAAATTTAATTATAAATATTCATTGGGCTCCACACAGCTTTCTTCATACTCTATTGTACTATTGGATGAATATATTTTATAATAAGCGAAGATGATGATGAAGTGATTAAATTAGAGATGTGAATGCAATAAAAAAGAGGGCATACGAGTTCGTCGAGGGAAAATGAAATTACAGGGTGCGCCAATAAAATCTGGACTAATATTTTTGCTTGCCCTGCGGGCTGAAACAGTACGAGAACAAAGTGGGCGATTGTGTACACGTGTAATACGTCCAAGAAGCTATCTTTAAAGTTTCAGACAAAATAATCGTCTACGGGACTTGTTTTGCCATTATAAGTGCTTACAACTAAAGCGCCTGAAACACGGACCCCAAATTGGTCAAAAAATGGTTGCGCTATCTTTACCGTTTTATGCTATGGGCTAAAATTTACTTTTTCTGATAGAGCCCTGGTCGGTTTTTATACACTGAAATTGATCTTGCCTCATTATGACAATTAGGCTTTTTACAGCTCGCCAAAGTTGGTTTAAAAACGGGCCCTTTTTCGCGAAAACTTCCGTTAAATCAATGATTTTTATGTAGAAGTTTCCCTGTGTGATTCCAAACATGTTAAGCACCAGAACTACTTTTGTAAGGATAACCAGAGTCTGCCTAGTCGCCTTTCAAAGAGGATTTTTCTATCTGGTGCCTCTGGTGATGAAATAGTGACCGTAATGGCATAATTTACTAAATGCTCGCTATTCGAGTGACCTTGGACTAGATATTTCTAAAAGTGATTTGGCTACATTAGCATGTATCCAGTATACAACGCTATGTTGATTTTTACGCTTAAGGCCTTTCCAACTGGTTACAAACTGCCAAAACGTTTCAAGTCCCGAATGACCGTGCCTTGAATTCCCCCCATGAACTTTTATTTATGCAGAAACTGTCCCCTTGTATGTGCGGATTTTCTTTTACACTATAACAATTGTCTATGTATACACTCTGTAATCACGGAATTTTGGAGCAAGACGGGCTATAACCTGGCGTTGAGATCCTTAAAAACATAAAAATCCAAATTTTTGGGCCTTTTCTTGTTTCCGCCACCAACGCCGCCAGATCGGCCGCCAACCATGATTCCGTTTGCTGTTACGAAGCTAACAGCACGTACTTTATATACAATAAATTTGAAGAACGTCAGTCCCCCCTAGCAGAAATAATGGAGGAATTAATATCCCAGTCATCATCTGGAAAAAAAATTTCTGCACCTCCAAAAACTTTTGATTATTTTTTCGCTCTTGCAATAGGCACCGACCTGGGCATTACCGTTGCTGTACAGCACGGTTGTTACCCTTTCTAGAAGTGCTAAAAGTTTCCATTCGTAGGCCGTCCGAAAAAGGCTACATGGAATTTAGTTTAGTCCAGATTTTATTGGCGCACCCTGTATGTATCGCTAGACGAGCGATATGTATAACAATAGAAAAGTTCAAAAACTTCAACCTCGATCCGGAATGAGGTTGAAGAGGTTGAAAAGGGCTTAAAAAGGAAGTGCCACAAGTACAGACTTTTATTTAATTTCGCGTATATGCAGCTTCCAGGCACATATAAACACCTGAAGATTTTAGCTCGTGCTTTGCACCCGATATATCTGCTTGTCGGAGAAATAACGGCGGATCGTCCATCATCGCTTTGCGACGGTTAACGGCGGCTAGGGACTTCGTGCCCTACTGCACTCTTTTTTCGACGAAAGACCCACCATTATTTTCCCGACAGACTGATATCCAATAATCATTGAGAGAATCCGAAAAAAACAGAAAACCTGATAGAGACAATAAGGTTTTTCGCCCCATATCTTCACTCTACTTGAAAAAAAAAATATTTTTGTAGAACGCCCTATGTATTTGAAGGTGATACGGATGGCTGCATTTTTTAAAGACAAACTACTGTACAGCAAGTCGTGCGAGACCAAAAAATGTATTCATTGTAAATAGTAGGGAGGACGGAGAGCCATTTTGGATCAAACTGGACTTCAGAGGCCACAAAAGTTGTACGCTATATATAGGTTTTGTTGTAATGGTGTTGTTTGTAAGGAGGTTTGAGAACTCGCGAAAAAAGCCCATTTCCATCCAGTCACCTCTATTATCACCATTCCTCATAAATTTTGAACACACGACCTGTCATAACATCCAGCTATTTCTAATCCACTAATTGTTTTGTTTGCTTCATAATCCGTCTTCGTTTATTCTTTGGAGTCCAAAAATTTATTTATTATTCTTTTATTAAAATTTCAGATAATAGAGTTGCGTATGAGATGACGTCCCGCTAATGGGATTAATTCCGGGGCTTCTATGACGAGCAGGGACAGCAGTCGCAACAACAGGCCGCACATAAGGCTTCACCTGAAAAGAAAGGAATGTAATTTGGAGGTAGATCGTATGTAATACGGGCTGATTAGGGAGATGACGACAGTCGGTGAGAAAATGGGGGTCACAAGAAAGAGTAAATGTTTTGGAAAAGCTGTGTAAGGATAAACATCCAAGGCAACAAGATTGCGGAACGAGCCATGAGAAAAAACATTTTCTAACAATACATAATAAAAATGGTGAGAATGTTATGGTAACAAAGCTGAGCAGAAACTATTGCAAAACTAGCAAAACAAAGCTCAAAAAACTCTGAAACCCACACTTTTGGGAGCTTCCTTGTTGGCCGAAAAAAATGCTTTTTGCCTTGTAAACTACACCAGTATATTCTGTCATCCCTTTCAAAGGAAAAATGACATTAGATCTCAGTTATTACAGAAAAAGGTGAGCGAAACTCTTCAGAAATAGTGTAGGACCTACTGAGAGTTTGTCTGTTAAATTTTGAAAACATTTAACACTAAAACTTGTGGTAAATTGCATAAAGAAGCAGTAAAAATAAATAAAAAAGACACTCGAAGGTATACATATAGGAAGTTGCAGTGAAATTTCCAAACTTACAAGCACAACAAGCCAATATTGAGGCGCAGATGCTGACTCCGCAACATTCACAGCATCCTTTGCAACAATCTCCACATGCACTCTCGTCCCCTTGAGGCGGTGGGTCCATGTAATTCTAAAAAGATACTTTCTTGTTTTTAAAATACGTTGTCGAGCGATAAGATATGGTTCAATGAATGCCAAGTTTGATGACTAAAAAATTTACAAGGAAAGTGCTTAAAGTGCGACGCTTTGGTTTTAATGAAGTTTGTCAAAAAATTAGACAAAATTTTCCTTACAAGGGATCGGCAAAAGCGCGCATCCTGGTTTTTTCTTGAAACATATACCATTTGAAAGAGCGTTAAAAACTGGTCTAGGATCACCTTTTATTAGCTGCTATTTTTGCTCTACGCCCTAGCTAGCGAGCATTTTTTAAAAAATCCCGGTTGGATTTCACGACTCTTTGCTTCTGAACGGCTAAAAAGATTCAATAATTACTTTTCATATGTCCCATACGTACCTATGACGTCCAACGCTTCACCCTATGCCAAAGAATACACACTTTTTTCCGACCTTGAGATACCCAAGTCCATGTTCACAATGTGTGATCACGCGATCTTTTAGGTCGTGTAACCCAATGCAACATAGCGGGTAGAAAACATGTAAACCGTTTTCAGACTCAATTTTCAATGAACCCGGTTCGCAGGTTCGCCTCGTTCAGCGCCTTACCCCACTAGGCCACCGAAGCACTGCTGCGCTGTGCTTTGCAAATCGTTCGGATTTGTTTCCTCGGAAAAAGGGTGAGATAAGCCTAGAACTAAATAATGCTGGCTAGCAAAGGCGTAGAGCAAAAATAGCAGCTAATAAAATGTGATCCCAGACCAGTTTTTTACGCTCTTTCAAATGGTACATGTTTCAAGAAAAAACCAGGATGCGCGCTTTTGCCGATCCCTTGTTAGGTGTTCGCGAGATTTCTAGCTAACTCTTCTTTGAAGCCAAGGAAATTTTTAGTCAAGAAATTGATCAAAATGTTACAGTTTTTTGCAAATTTTGGCGTTAAAAGTTTCTGTTTCATACTAGTCCTTCCGCGAAGTCGCGGGTCTAATTCTTGGCGATTGTACTGTGCGATAAGAGTCAGGATGCGAGCGACACTAGAAAAAAGGCCTACTGCACGGTGCAAAAAGCAAAAAGTTGCCCAGTGCAAAGAAATTTTTGTTTTCCCACAGTGCGTGCCGCCTACTTAAGACCAGCGACTTTCCGGAAGGGCTAGTACTACAAGTCGCGCCATAAAGTCCGTAGATTTTTTTCGCCGACGTCGCGGGTGCAATCGCCGAAAAGTGCATGTCGTTAGCGTAAAAACGGGGAATCGCCGCGGTGCGTGCGAAAAAAGGGTTGAATGCACTGTGCAAAATTCTACGGACTTTATGTCGCGCCTAGTAAAGAGAGCAACGCTTCCACAAAAAAACTATTTTATATTGCCGATGGCATGGTCAAGAAATTTTTTTTCTGAACGCTCTCCGTACTTTTCCCTTGTCCCAGGGGTCCCTGAAAAGCGCAAGCTGAAACTTTTAAGAATTGCTATCAGTCTAAAAAAATAACGGCGGATCGTCGCACCTCGGAATCGCCCATCATCGCTTTGCGACTGCAAGCCGCGGCTTGGGATTTGGTGCGCGATAGCGGCGAGGCGAGACATTTTGATGCGACGATCCGCCGTTATTTTCCCGACAGACTGATATTTGTCCTAGAGGCAAGTTTGGCACATAATTTAAAGAAGATCTAAGCTGCGCACGTTGAAAATTCCCTTGTAAAAAATAATCAAGAAACCCTTCCAAATCCAGCCAAAAAATCAAGAATTTTGATTACTCACCCCGGTGGGTTGCTTGTCTATGACACCGTTATCCATGTCGCTTCCACAACTTCCTCGCAAACTGTTCCAACACGGAGCAAATCCAAGCTTCCACGGTTCTTCTGAATGCTTATATTGTTCGTGTCTCGTGTCCCGTTTTTAGCTCGCACAGTTGCCAAGAAACTGTAACCAGTATAAAACGCGGAGAGACGGGGATTTGGAAATGCCGTGCATGACAACAAAACGACGGCGATGTGACTATTTCATAAGCGGATTCTTGGAGCTTCTTTATGAAATAAAAAAAATTTTGGAAGGCCTTGAGAGGAAGTGAGGGTAGATATTACGTCATGAAAGGCCTTTTTATGGGGTTATTGTGTGTTAGCAGACTGGGAATGTCCAAAAATTTGAGATTTTTGCGATTTTTTGGATGAATTTTTGTAAAATTTGGCTCAAATATTGAACAAATCTTGAGTTTAAAAAAATAAAGGTACTTAAAATACGAGAGAACATCTACTGTCTTTTTTAACACTGCTAAATCAAAATCGACATAAAAAATTTCCCGATTTGTCATCAAATTCCCTAAAAAGTCATCAAAAATTTGCAAAAACATAGTTTAAAGCAAAATAAATACAAAATAAACCAATGTAAAAGCTAAAAACAAAATAAAATTTTCTACTGCTTGTACTGACAACTTTTTGCATTCTAAATCCGCCGGATTATGTGAATGATCAACTTTTTTTCTCATGCACAGTGCGGGCTTCCTGAGCGACTTTTTTCGCACTGTACGGATTCACAAAGAAAACAATTGTCTTTGCACTGTGCGAGGTTTGTCGCAAGAGCTCATGGAGAACGCACAGTGCAAAAATTTTCGCAATTTTTTTACACGGTGCGAAAATTTTTCGAAAATTATTTTTTGCACTGTGCAAAATAAAATAATTGCTGTTTTCTCATTTATTCCGTAAAAATCCTCCGAGTTTTTTATCAACACATCTTCAAGGTTTTACACACGTCTTCTGGCTCCCATTTAGCGACGGCTGCGGCCACAGCTTGGCCGAATTTATGGCCTGCAGTGCCTGAGGCAAAAGCGCAAAACATTTGGCCGGCAGAGAACGAAACCAACGACGGGCATACTCTCTAAAGAATTTTTAGAGCTGATTAGAGTGTTTTGGACCTACAGTAATGATAATAGTTCCAACTGAAGCGGTAACCTCGTAGCTATTGCTTCTCAAATAGTCAGCCGCGGTAACACACGGATCACAAAAACGTGTGCCATTGTCCCCAATGAACTCGTTGATCTCCTTCATCAAGTCCGGTCTCTTTGTAGCCAGATCTTCGCCAAAGTCCGTGATATCTTCGAATTGCGACAGATCAAAATCCTCATATTGATCATCAGCCCGAGTGGAAGAAATTACAGTAGAAGTCTCGGTTTTATTCTTCGACCAGAACTCCCGCTCCCATGGATATTGAGCGCAGACCACGGAAGCCGATGCTAGCAAAAATAAAGAAGAACGGAACAAAGACATTAAAAATGGTGATATTATCCATGACAAACCGTCTTATATATTCCGCATCATTCTTAAATATCAATGATCTTAGTCAGATTCTCTGTCTTGCAGCCAATCTATTACATATTATTCATAAAAGCGTCATCAAAATTCTATTATTACCAAAACCAATATATTTGTGACACTTCGTCTACACTTGTGGCATTCCGTCCACGTATAAAAGGAACGCCAAATCTGGCCGAGTTTTGTTCTCCTGACGTTTGAAGGCGTTGACGAGTATTTCATAACTTTTTCGTGCTGTTTTTATGACTCACAGCGTTTTTACAGCGATTTTGTATTACTTTAGGTAATAATTTGATCTCCTCTACAAAATGGCTGACGAATCCAACTTTGTGATCAGTGAAAACTTGCAATTTGCACCTCTACGAAGTCTCGATGAGTTCCTTTTGGACAAAGCCAGGTTTCAGGTAAGGGTTTGGCAATTTGGTCAATTTTCGTTGTGTTTTAGGATTTTTTACATTAGGTATCTAGTGCAATATAATTTTGGCTCAAAACTATAAATTTATACCGAATTTTTTGCAGCTTCCTACTTTCAACGACTTGAAGAAATGGAACAACAGAATTGTTACCAACCTGTTGTACTATCAAAGCAATTACTTCGTGTTTCTTGCAATTACTTTGGTTTTGGGAAGCTTCATCCATGCGCAAGACGTCATGACCGGTGTGGCCGCCCTTGGGCTTCTGGGATTTATTGGACTCTTCTCTGTTGCTAAAACCCCGAGTGCAGTGAATGTGAGTCGCTTTTTTCTTTGTGTTTCTTATGTTTAGGTAACATCAAGTGTCTAGTGCAATATAGAGGTGAAAACCTCTTGTAATTGTGCGAATTTTGCTCTAAGAACAAAGACTAGGTTATAAGGAAACCTTTCACATTGAAATCAGCAATATTTGCTTTCAGTTCCGACAAGAGCACCCGTATGTTGTACTTGCTAGTCTTCTGACCGTCGGATTCTTCAATATCTATGTCCTCCCGGCCATTGTGGTCCTCCTCTTCATCGTCCTGGTTCCACTGCTCTTGGTCTTTGTCCATGCTTCCATCAGACTGCGGAATTTCGGTTCAAAATGGAACTACGCCGTCGAGAAGTTGCAATTCCGTCGGACTTTGATGTCGCAGATCTTGGACGCCATCAATTTGGACGTAAAATCCGAATAGCTGTTTGTAAGGAAGTTTTGGCCAGCTTTTAAGACCTGTTCGAAAACAAAATGACTCTGTTTTACCGGTTTTTTGATAAGCTTTTTATTTTTTTCATTTTGGTGCAAGTATAATATAATTTACTCTCCAAAAATGCAATGAATTGTTAGAAAATCACGGTAAAGCCAGGTTTATTCGATGATAAATTCCATTGCTTCTTGATCTTACTTTTTATCACTTATTTTTGTTTGTTTTCTTCAATAAAGCTGTCGATTTTCTTGATTTGCCCAAGTTTCAAAAGGTTTTAGTCGATTATCGCTGTCAACTTTTTCCAACTTTGTTAGACTCCCAGCCTCAGGGTTTTTCAAGAAGTCGTGGTAGATTTTGTCGCCAAATCCGGCGTTCTCCGCCTGAAATTTATATTGTACTTGATGGAATTTTAAAAAATTGCGGTAGAGTGTCAGATTCTTGTATAAATTTGAAGATTATGAGGTTTATAGTAACTACTCACATCTATTGACGTCCCAGCATAATAAACTTTCTTGATTCCAGCCCATAAAGTGGCTCCCATACACATTGGACATGGATAACAAGAGGTGTACAAAGTGCAATCGCTGAGATCAAATCGTTGCAATTTTGCACTAGCCATGCGAATTACAGTAACCTCGGCGTGGGCAGTTGGGTCATGCGTCTTTAGGACCTATAAAAATTAAAATTTTGGTTAATTTTATATTGCCATAGGCAAATTAATATAAAAACCGTACCATGTTATGTCCGCTGACCACAATCCCATCCTTATTGACTATCACAGCTCCAAATGGACCACCGTCTTGCTTCAAAACGCCTTCACAGCCCTCTTCAATGGCCTTTTCCATAAATTTTGGGGTAAAATCCATCTCCAAAGCAGCTCTCGAAAACAATATTCGATATGAAAAAAGTGGGGGAAAGACCGGTCGCGCCCCTCTAGAAAATGGTTTTAGTCGCCGATCGCTATCGCAAAACGATTTTCAATGTTTTTGGCTGACCGGTAAACTACATTATTAATAATTGCCCATTTCCTGACGTGTGCGGGCCTTTTTTGGGTACTTCTTGATGTTTGAAATGTTTTAGAATGTAAACGGAGGAAAAAAGAGGCGATGAGATTACTTTTTTCAAAGATCTCTGTGCAAAAATAACACTCTTTGTCTACAATAATGTAATATTGACTAAAATAAGGTCAAAAAACATGATTGTAACGTAAATAATAGTTTGATAATCACGAGAAGAGTGTGTTTTTGAACATGAAATTTAATCTCGGCTTTATTTTGTCCAAATTTGGCCTTAAATTCTCCTTTTATTCACAACTGTCATCAAAAATCTAGGATTTCCTCAAAAAATCTCAAAAAAAGATCAAAATACCCTTAGGGCGTAGCCGTAAAATCACATGCAAACCGTCTTAATTGTACTGCCAATATATAGTGACTCATTTCTTTACAAAATTTTATCAAAACATCAAAAAATATATTATTTCATATCAAATCTAACTGTTTTCTCATCATTTTCCAAATTTTGATGATGGATGTGATCGTCCAGTCGTTGAGTAACGCTTCCTGACGCATGTTCCGGCTTCTCTTCATCATTTTCAGTGAGAATTGTTGGAATCTGAAGAGGGGAAATTGTAAAAGTTTGATTTTTCACTCAAATTTCATGTATAATAAATATAAATGTTAAAGAAGCTGTTTAAAATACGATCTACTTACTTCTCTATTAATAATAGGCTGGCTAGTCCTAGAATTCGCCCTGTCCTCGACGTTTTCGATGTTATCCGTGATAGGCTGATCATTACTTTGATGGTTTTCTTGATGGATAACATCGGACGTTTTTGAAGTTCTCCTGGCAATTTCAAAGTCTGCTGAGGAGATTGGAGCATTTTCATCGTCATTATTTCTATTATTTTCCTCATTTTCTTGGCAATTTTCTTCTTGCTTATCAATTTTTTGGTCATTTTCCTCTTTCTCTTCTATTTTTTCTTCATTTTCTTCTTTATTTTCCTCGTTTTCTTCTTCATTTTCTTTTTTATTCAATTCTGAGCCATCTTTTTCATCTTCCTTTTCTTCTTCTTCGCCCATTTTTTCTTCTTTTTCTTCCATTTTTTCCACATGAACTTGATGTTTTCTCCAATACAAGGCCGGGAAGGCCAGACGTCGTATGGGTTTGCTAATTATGAGTGTCAAGAGGGCAGGACTCAAACAAATGACGTCATTCCAGACGGGGAAACTGCGGCCCAAGATAAAAAGTTGATTCATTTGAGCGGTGGCGCGCAATTCGAAGGTCAGATACTGTAAAATACTCGGTAAAAAAAGCTTTTTTTCTTCGATTTTCATACCTGATAGTACAAGAAGAGCAACCGACAAGATGCAAAGACCCCTGCCACTCCATAATTGCTCAATTCATGATTTACCAACGTCCGTTTCGTGAAAATTAAAGTAATTGTTATAGCCAAAGCTGTTATAAGCAGTAAAATAAAAGTCAGCGCCAGAACAACCGTCAAGAAGAAGAGTCCTCGAATTCTGGTCATAATTGGAGGTAATGGCGAGGACAGCATTAGGAAGTACTCTTCTTTGTCGGTGATATAACGAAAGTACCCTGAAGAGACAGCCATGTCAAGAAACATCAACGCTGGGATGAAGAAGACTTTTGCAACGTAACGATGCAAACTGTTGTTCCACCACTGAAAATTTGAGTTTAATATGGACTGTATTTGTGGTCATTTTGAATAAATAACCAAATTTGAAAAATATGAAAAAAATCAGAGCTCTTTATGGCATCTGTAGTCCACACATTTTTCAAAAATTTTATGATGATAATTTCTGTTTTTTCACCCGTATTTTGCAAGGTCTCTTTTTCTATGTAATTCTCACCTTATGCCAATGATTTCTGAACAAGACATGTGAGAATACATGGAACGCCATAAATAGGGTTGAAAGAAACAGTGAATAATGAAAAGCACTCATCAGAAAGTACAAAACTCCAATGAAATGGCTGTTCTCATTAAAGTATTTGTAGATTCCCTGAGGTCTTCTGATCTCATGAGGCCAGCGGTAAAAGAAATTCCCCAAGAAGAAGAGTGAAATGTCCTGAAATTCAGATTTTTATGGGTTTTTTGAGGAAAATCATATATTGTAGTAAGCAAATTTATCTTATTATAAAGGCTCGAAATAGAGTGATAGATTGCTTATGCAGTAAAATACGTTAAAGTCAATTATGAGTCCTATAATAAGCTAGTCTTTCCATTACAACTTCAGATGGTCTACTACAATGTAAGCCCAACTCCATTCTCACCAGCACTCCATTAATCCCCGTGAACATTGGGAAATGAAGATTATGATGCATACAATGGTTGAATATACTGTATACAATCCGAAAATACAATAAGCACAACGGAATCGAGTAATAAAGGTAATATTCATCCACATCATAGATAATATCATCGAATTCCTCGAAACTCAACATTATAATAGAATTTTATTTCCAAGAAAAGCGAAATAGAGTTAGCCGTCTCTGGCAATAATAAGAAGTGTTTTGGTAGGGGATTTTTAGAAGAAACTGCAGGTGCAAATTGTGTTACCATAGTTCTCAGGTGGACCTGGTTGTTTGGAATAATGAGGTGGAAAAGTTGAGGATAATATGGACAGATGGTTTTTGATTAATGCTTGGCTGTCTTCGTTCAGTTAAGAATTAATTTGAATACAGAAAAAGGCAGAATTAACAGTTTCTTGGTCGACTAATAAAAAGTTGATGGAAAATATGAAATAAAATGGATAAAAACAGCCAAAATTTTAAAATACGTAAAAGAAACAGCTAAGTCTTGAAAGAAGGATTTCTCTTTGTCTTTGCCACTTGTTGACTTTGTCATTTTTGCTCAAAATTCGCATTGAAAATACGAAATTGAAAAAAAGCATCAAGTCTTTGTGAAGGAATCAAAAATAACATGAATAATGTTAAAATTCTCTAAAATAAAATCAAATTACAAAGTATTAGGCGTTTCCTATCATTTTATCGCAAAAAAGCACCGAATCCTGACTGTTATCAGTTGCTGCGCAATGTTACATAATGTTGCGCAATTTCTCTCTTTGTAAAAGAGTCTTCCTTTCTCTGTCGCCTCCGCTTTTTTGTTATCTTTTCTTACAGTCAAGATTCGGCGTTTTTTTTACGATTGCGTATTACTAACGCACAAACCTTATATTATGCACCATAAATTTCAAATCTTTCCGAGTCTCGAACGGAAAACAATAAGTGCGAAAGACTTGACTCGAGTCATCTCTCACCGATATTTCTGCAATTTCGCCAAAAATTGATCACAGATACGCATTTATATTCCGTTTTCTGCTGATTTCTGCAGTTAAACTAGTGTTTTACCTTGTTTATTAATTTTTTATTTATTTTGCCACCAAAAAAAGCGAATTATCTGGGATTTTTTCCATTTTTATGGGGAAAACGGGAGTTTTCCGATATGGGATGAATCCTAAACTTACGAATGACCGTGTTTGTTTGTTTTTGCGTGTTTTCAAAAGTTGCTGACTCGAGAAAGGGGGAAGGTGGGGTCCAACAAGTCTCATATTGCACTTGTTACAAAATGATGATAAAAAAAATTCTTGAAATTATGAAAAAGTCTTGAGAAAATTAGTCTAAACATACTGTAATCATGTGTTCTCTGGTTTTATTGTTGTCTGGACACCTAATCCGCACGTGCAATCCCACAACTTGCAGGAATTGGCGAATTTCAACACCTGTTACCAAGCGTAAAATGAAAGCTCTGCTTCCGGCTCATCATGACGAACTGCTTCTCAGAATCGATTAATCCTGCTGCAGGGACAAATATTGTGGTGTTTAGCATATGAGCGAGATTCCGAGAAGGGGTTTGAACAGACCGGTTAGTTATTTTTCCACCAGAGGCTCTTTTCCGGCTCCATTTTTCTCTGTTCACGAGGCTCTTGCGCCCCATTCCCTCCGCTATTTTCTCGCTTCGTACAGGTGGTGGCGTTTTCTCTGCTCTCTCGGTTTTCCTTCGCTGTTGCCCCACTCTCCCTGCGAGCGTTTGGTCGTCGGACGGGCAAGGGGGACGAGTTTTTGGCGCCCAAAAAATCCTCCCCAGCCACCCTCGTTCCCCTCCCCGCTTTCGGGTTTTTTGTTCAGCGAGGAATTTCCGAACATCCCTTCGGATCCGCTATCCCGTATTTCATATTGTACGGATTACTGCCACCACCTACAGAACTACGAAAATGGCCGCTTCGTTGGCCAAGGTGTTGTTCGTGTAGGAATCGGCCGTTTCCCATCTGCGTCGTCTTGGAAAGCCTCGGGTTTTGGTTGTTTTCGTCGGGAAAACGAGTTCATCTTGAGCTGATATCCGCTTATTATACTCTCGTCAACTAGTCTCGCCTTTATTGGCTTCCCCACGTCTTTGTGTAATTGTAAAAATCTATTTTTTTCTCGCAAATTTGTACGTTAGTCCGTCTAGTTGGTACTGTAAACAATTCGTAATACTGCAAAGGTTGTGAAGTTGTAAATAACCCCTACTCGTCGTCCTTTTGTAGTCAGCTGACTCAAATTGTACCGTGTTCTTGCTGGGAAATTTATTCGGCTCAAGTTGGGTAAATTCATGTAGCGTCATTTTGTCGTGATTTGTAACAGATCTTGCTCAGAATTTGAGATCCTAGGATCGCCTGTTTCCGACGTTACACTTGACTTTCAAACGAGTATCTGCATTTTGAGAGCTTCTTGTTGCATTTTCTATCGCTTTTGTATCCCTTTGACATCTTTTATGCCCATCGTTAGTCATTGATGGACTTCCAATTCAACTCAGAATGGCTTAATCTTTATCAAAGTCTGGTATCAGCTCAGAACTCGTTCAATCCCGAGCTTCCATCACCGAGTAATTGCCCTACTCTTGGTCTGCCCGACCTCACTCAACTCAGTCAATACGATCTCGCTCAGCTGAACAGCCCCGACCTTCAGCAGATCAGTCCCGATCTAATACAACATAATTTTCATGACCCGAATCAAGTGGGAAGTTCGCAGAATGTCGGTCTTGACTTCTCCAACTCGCTAGCGCAGAGTCAATTGGACATGAGCAACTTTGACTTGTCTAATTTTGCCCTACCTTCCTCCTTCACCCTCCAGTCAGCCCCACCCACACCCCAGACCCCATCCTTTCAATTCCAGCCCTCCTTGTATTCGCCGGCCCTCCAAACCACCTCGGTCGACGTGATGGCACCAAATCGGACAGGAACGACATTCCAACTCAACCTTCCGCCGATTGACTTTCGCGGAAATGGATCTAATCCTTGGGTAAACCATGTTGGTGTGTACAAGATGCCGAATACCACGACAACCCCAACATTGCAGCCACCGGCGAAACTCACCGTGATGAAAGGCGACAAAGAAGGCGTGAAATTATTGATGGATAGAAGTGAGTTGTATTTTATTTCTTTTTTGGATTTTAGGGTTAGCCCGAACTGTCCCTCAAAATTGAAAAAATAGGGTGTTACATGTTATAGTGGGTTTTAAACTTACAAATTACATCCCCATTCATTTGAAAAACACTAGTTATTGATAGCCAATTTCGGGGTTTTTCTGGGGGAGAGTTCGCCTGCAACGAGATTTTAGGTACCAAATTTAGGAGAAAATAAAAATTCCGAGCGAGAAGGCGAAATTTTATTGAATTTGGCTTTAATTATTGTTTACTAAACCCAATTAGCTCTGTTCGACAAAGTTTTCATCAAAAATTATTTGGATTTGCGATTAATTTACCTTATTTTAGCTGTGATCTTACATCGGAAGTTGGACAACTGCATAGCCAACTGGACGTTCGCGTACCACGACCGATTCATGCGTGAATGGCTTCAGCGGAATTTCTACATATATGGCACATCGATAGTTTGCTCGAAGGTCGTTACAAACGAGGGCTATGTGTTTGGGATGTACGTGATGGATAAGGTCGAAACGGCAAATAATCTCATGAAATTGGCAGCAAGGTTTAGTGTAGTGGATGGAAGTAAGTCTCCAAACGTTTTTGATTTGTTTTTAGGGCGATAGCGCTTCTCAAATGCAGTGATTTTCCATATTTTATCATGGATAATATAAGTTTTAATGTGTATTCGTTTCAGATCCAAATTATTCGATAAAAGTGACGTCGTCGGAGAGCTTAGTTATGGCGTTCTCAGCAGCCGTGAAAGTAGAGAGCAAAACAGGTCGAAAGAAGGCAAAGGATGTGGAAGAGGCAGTTTCGGATGTGTTTTCGCTAATGGTAAGGGATTTTATTTTGTTTTTCTTCGTTTTTAGATAGGAATTGATGCGGTAAAAGCTGGGGCAAAGGATCTGAACTATTTCAAGAGCAAAAGACTATTGTACCTGAATTCACCTTGGAAAAAGTTCCTTCTGCATTTATTACCTAAAAATAGTGAAATTGCCCCAGAATTTCCGCTGCATCGTTCAAATGAAAAGCGACTAACGGCTGAATACTTTTAGATGAACCCGGTGAAGCCCGCAGTCCCACAATATGCTCAGCCACGGAACGTCTTCTTCCAATAAAACCACTTGATTTAGATACTTTCTTAGCAACTTTTACAATTTTTATAACTTTTGCCCGGGTTGATCTCATAACCTATACATTTCATTGCGAAGATGAATTTTTGATTGTTGAATTGTTACTTGTGTGTATTTCGTACTTGTATCTTTTAATAAAAGAAGTTTGTGATTGAAAATATTGAACGTGAATGTCGTGAAATCGACTGAAATTACCGTTGTTTACGTTATATTTTGTCGTGTTTTGGCCGTGATTTGAGTTGGTTGAAGAGGGAGTAGAGATTTTTGATATGTTTTGAGAAAAATTATATTATCCATGGATATATCCATGACGAGCTTTTGCAATTTTTGCGAAAATCTTTGATTTTTAGGGAATCTAGCGATTCAAAATCGCTTTTCTTTCTGTATAAGACATGAGAGTTAGTTACAGTTAGTTCTAGCATTGCTTTTTTATATTACACTTGACGTCAACCTTAATTTGGGAATCGAAGTTTAATAAGTTATGAGATAGAAGTTAAATATATTAATGGGAGACGAGATGTAATTATTTTAATTCTCATTGTTTTTAGTTATGCCAATGCCGCCACTCCGCCGCTCGAACCGGGACCGGCACATGGTCTACTCCAGTCTGAAAGAGAACCAGATTGGCATGGAGAGCGCATTGATCAAAAGTCTAGTCCACGAAGCCAATAAACGGGTAAGAAACTTTAGTCGCCTCTTACTATAAAATTCTACAAAATTAAAAAGGCTCTGATTTAAAAAAAAATTAGCCTTAGGGTCTATAGAGACGAACAAATGTCTATTGCCGGATTCCGAGTATAATTTTTGATCAAATTAAGATATCAAAATGCCTAAAATAATGTTATTTCTTTTCCAGGATGACTATTTCCTCCGCCGATCGGGTCGAAAAAGTAGAAGAAAGTCGTTCGAAGAGTATGTAAATTATTCCCCAGCCCACAAGTCCGGAGAGATCTCAGAAGCCGAACTGAATGACGAAAACAGCCCTCATCGCTCCAGAAGACAATGCGTCCTCAGAAGAGCCGTCATATACGACGAGGAGTTCGATGACGAGCCAGAAGACTACTATCTAGTCCAGCGAAGGAGTAGCCGAAGAGTCGTGGATAAGCGTCATCAATCGGCGAAGGCACGGCTCGCCGAAGAACCCCAATCAAGCAGCCGAAAACCCAGTCGCCGCTCCCAAATTGAACCCGAGAGTAGCCAGAATGATGAGGACAGTCAATTGCCAGAGGATGAGCAACTCCCCGAAGAAGAAGCAGAGTTCTCGTCGCTGTCGGAGCGGGTCAAAAGACGTCGCCAACACCAGACCGAAGAATTTGATGAAACCGAAGCGAAAAAGGCGAGATTGGAAAAGAACTTGCGCTCAAAACGGGTGAAATACGAGGATGAGGAGGATGAAGTTACCGGTGAGGATAGTCAGGATGCAGTGAAGGATGAACAGGACATATCGGCGAGGTTTTCGCAAACGCCAGAGGTAGGCATGGTTAATATAATTTTTGGGGAATTTTGGAATTTTTTTGGTCATATTTTTTCTGAAACTTATACCGCTCTTTCGTAAGGTTAGAGAGTAGTATAAGTTTTAGAAAATTACTATTACTGGCATTTCCTGCCAGTAATAGTAATGTTCGGCAGTGAAAGAAACACTTGACCCAATGTGCCAACTCTTCCCTTTGCTAGTTGTAGCTCCAAATTTGATATTATAAGACGGTATTTTAGCCCGATGATAATGGAAAACGATATTTCTTCCGCCGAAATCGCAACCAAGTCATCAGATTGCAAGACGAATTCGCCAAGGGAAGAAGAAAGAGCCGTCGTTCGACCCGCCGTTCCACCGGTCGAACCCATTCGAAACGGGGCCAATACCGTGAATCCTCAAGCTCGTCCACCTCGGACTCGGACGAAGACATCTCAGTCAAGGATCTGAAAGCCGAAGCCAAGTTCGAACGGAGAAAATTGAAGTCGTTGGAAAAGGGACGTTCCAAGTTCCTGCCGCTCAATATGAATGCCGCTGAGTGGAAACAACGCCATCAACTGAACAGCTTGGTATCACTGAACTCGGCGGTACAGGCGTTGGGAGATATCGAGCCAATGGGATTGGATAAATCGATTCAATTCAAGGACATTGGAGGATTGGATCAGCACATCCAGAGCTTGAAGGAAATTGTCGCATTCCCCCTGTTATATCCCGAGATTTTCGAGAAATTCCATATCACCGCACCTAAAGGCGTCCTGTTTTATGGACCCCCGGGAACGGGGAAAACCCTGGTCGCCCGAGCTCTGGCCAATGAATGCAGCAAGGACGGGAAGAAAGTCTCGTTCTTCATGAGGAAAGGCGCCGATTGTATGAGCAAATGGGTCGGCGAAAGCGAACGACAACTCCGCTTACTCTTCGACCAGGCCTACCAAATGCGTCCCAGCATCATTTTCTTCGACGAAATCGATGGACTCGCGCCGGTGAGGTCCTCGAAACAAGATCAGATCCATTCCTCGATCGTCTCCACACTCCTTGCCTTAATGGACGGCCTGGACAATAGAGGGGAAGTGGTGGTTATTGGGGCGACAAATCGTCTCGATTCGATTGATCCGGCACTGCGAAGGCCAGGGAGGTTTGATAGAGAACTAAGATTTGATCTGCCCGATAGTAATGTAAGTTTTTTGGGGGCTTAGTAGAAAAGTATGATAAAATTGAAAACATTAGTATTTTTGGAGAAGTTATTGCAAGTTGGGGTAAAATACGGAGCATACATCTGGGAATTACGACGATTTTTTGACTATAAAGAAAAAATTTTTATATTGTAATAGGCGAAATTGATGAGAACTGGAAAATTTTCTAAAATTCTTGGTAAAATATAATCTTTGATCTGTGGATAAATGAGTTATGGCTAATTAGAGAATTAACAGACTAATTGCAGGATAGAAGAAGGATCCTGGACATCCACACCCACAACTGGGAGCAAGGAAAACCACCCGCGGAATTGCTCGACTCCCTCTCCGAAAAGACCTCCGGCTATTGTGGAGCGGATCTCAAGGCTCTGTGTGCAGAAGCGGTCCTAGTTGCGGTCCGAAATCGCTACCCTCACATTTACATCTCTGACGATAAATTGGCCCTGGATCCGGCTCAAGTCCAAGTGGAGGAATGGCACTTCAACGAAGCCCTGCGGCGAATTGTCCCCGCCTCCCGACGCGGACTCACCATCACCTCATACAACGTCAATCCCCGCTCATCCGTGTTCCTGAAAGCGGTTGTACAAGAAGTTGTCGGAAAAATCCCCTCAGGCTATATTTCGAAAAATTCGAATGCAACCCAAAATGAGTTGGAAAAAGTCATGGAAAGCCTGAGAATCCCATTGACCGTACCGTCCCACCGACTTTTACTACATTCAAATGGAGATCAAGGCCAAACAAGATATTATTTACCAGCTATCATCAGAAAACTCGAACATTTACCTGTGTTTTCGGTCTCCTTTGGACAGCTTTTCGCCAACTCACAACCGGAAGAGAATTTGTCGGCGGTTATGCTGGCTATAACACAAGCAACCAGCAGAGGATCGTCGGCTTTGCTGGTTTTATCGGATATTGATGTACTGGAAAGTCAACTCCCTGCTAGTCTTTGGGATATGGTAAGTGGATGATAAAGAAGTTTTATGAGGTTGAGAAGGTGGTAGAGACATTTTGGAGAGGAAACGAAATGATGAGAAATGGTTTTGGGCTATTTTTTATATTGTAGTAGGTAGTAAAAAAATGTGGAATTTGATATAAATGGATGTTTTAATGGGGATTCCCTTGGTCTTACGGAGATTTTGAGAAAATTTGGTGGATTTTTAAATGGTTCATATACCTTTTTTATGTTGTACTAGACACTAAATGAAAATTTTTGGAAATTTTTAATTGTAAGAAAGATTGCTTGAGATTCTTTTCTAATAACTCAAGAAGGTGCATTTCGTATTTTAAAAACAGATTTTTCTTTTCATTTTATATTTTTTACACTTTATATTTTCCAAATTTTCAGCTGGTGACCTCGATCGAACGTTTTGACGGATTCACCCCTCTCCTTTTATTGGCCACCTCAAAAACAGCGTATGAAGAATGCGCAGAGTCGATCAAGTCCCTGTTCAAACAACGAAACGCCTTGAAGATCGAATTGCCATCAACAGAAAGTCGAAAAGAATATTTTGAACAGCTAGTACAAGATGCGTTTGAAGAGCCAAAAAATTTCGATCGTAAGTAATGTAAATTATATTAATAGATTTTTGCGGGACGTATTTTACAGTGACAAAAGTTTTTTGATCGAAAAATTTGATTTTTGGAATAATTCGAAAAAATTCGTCATGATGACACTATTAGTTTACAAAAGATAAAAATTTTGATTGAAAAAAATAGAATATGGGTGTGATCTTACACCAAAAATAATTTAGAGTTGTAATTTCAATTATTTTTATTATTTTTTCAGCCGAACTCCATCCAGCCCCACCAAAAGTCGACCAAATCCCAACTTCTTCGGCCCCCCGCCTCACCGAACCCGAACTAAAATCCTTGGAAAAGACCTACGACCAAATGCAACGACAGCTCCGCATCTTCCTCAGAGACATTTTGGCCCGACTGATCCGTGATCGCCGCTTCCATGTGTTCCATTTGCCAGTGAGCACCGAAGACGCCGAAGATTACTACGAAATCATCTCAAACCCAATGAGTTTGAGCGACATGATGGGAAAGATCGACAAGAAACAGTACATAAATACCACCGAATTCCTGCAGGATATCGTGTTGATCAAGGATAATGCGTGGGAGTATAATCCGGCGACTAGAATGGACGGTAGGTCTTGTGGAATATAAAAATGGAGTTTTGAAAAAAGTTACAATTAAAACAAAGCTAAATAGTGTGAAAAAAGAGACATTTTTTGGTTAAATTTAGTAAATTCAAAGCCTAAGATGTTTCCATTTATTTTATTTTTCATTTTTTAGACATGAATATCCGCCACAACGCCGCAGCTCTCTTGGACACCACTGCCGCCCTGTTTGACGCTGAATTGGACGATGACTTTGAAAAGAAGCTCACAGAGACTCTGACCCTCATCAATGAAACCAAAGACAGGCTGTTTGGAAAGAAGGAAGAGCCAAGGAAAAAGAAGGAGGAAGAAGTGCCTCAAGAAGAAGAGAAAGACGAAGACATAGAAGAAAAGAAGCCGAAATCCGACAAAAAATTGGTCATCGACAAAGAAAAGATTGATGAGGCCGTTGAGTTTGTAAGTTTTATGATTTTTTTGTCGTTATGGGGATTACGGTAACTTTGGGTACTCTAAAAAAAGTAGGTGGATTTATGGGGAAAATAGTTGTATTGAAGTGAAGGTTGTGTAGAATGATGTGTAAGGGGTCTTGATGGTTGATCTAGAACGATTTTATGATCATGCCCTTAGGGCAAAAGTTACAGGATTTTTTGTCAGTTGTCGCATTATGGCTGAATTAGTGTTATTTTGTGGGAATTTGGGGTTCAAAATGGATAGCAATGGTAAAATACGTATTCTTAAACTAATAAAAAATTTTAAAATTTGTAATTTTATGGTGTTAAAGGTCAAAATTTTGAATTATATTATCCTTGATAACAGATGTCAAGTGTGATATAAATATTTGCGTATGTTGATCGGAATAGATTAATTGTGTTTGAATATAAAATTTTATGGAGGAATATTGAGAATAGGGAGGAATATTGAGAATAGAGAAATTTTACTGAAAGAAACGGCAAAATATCGATATTTTGGAAGAGTTGACACTTCGCAACAAAAAATCAATAACGCAAATTGAAAGTAAAATTTGCAATCTTTGTTGCATCTGCCTTGCTACTAGTGTAATGGAGGCGGTGTATTTTTAATTTGAGAGAAATTGGGGTTTTTGATTAACAGATATAGCCGTTTATATCATACTTGACCAACAAATTTGATATTTTTTTTCGATTTTTTCAACTTTTTCTGTTGCAGGCCGTCACGCGAACCCACGACTGGACAATCCAGGACATTGAAGCGCTCGGTGTTCGCCTCACGCAAGAGATTCAGGCCCACCGCGACGAATGGGACAGATCTAATCTGGGCCGCAGGCTTTACGAAGAGGTCTGCAAATTCGAAAAGGATTAATCCACCCCGCATTTAGTAACATTACGGAATGCGTCATCAAGCAATAGAGCGGGCAGTGGCTCGGCATTGTGTATTTTATTTGGATTTTTTATCGAATTTTGGAATTTTTAAAACGCTTACGGGAATTTCATACGATTTTTTTTTCTGATTCAGCAAACTTGAGTGCTCAAAAAATTAGATTAATTTTTTGAATATTGAAGATTTGCAAGATTTTTTTAATTTGTAAATCTCCAAATTAAAATTTCACATTGAAAAATTCAAAAAGTATCAAAAAATATTCAATTTTATTCGAATTTTCGGGTCTATGGCCTCCATGTTACATCCCAGGTACTTTATTACCTTCAAATATGACTATTTTAACATTCTTTCCGCTCAATCTCCCATCCTATTCTAATGGTATCATCGCCGTCTTTCCTTACCTTAAAATATTCGAATTATTCCTAATTAGTACACCTAATTATCAGCACTGCCATCTCATAACTTATTTTTTATCGCTATTTATTGTGGAAATAAATTTTGTCAGCAATTGACGTGTTTTTGGATTGATTTATTTAGGTCCGAAAACTTGTTTGCACAGTGCAGGGAAAACGGATTTTCAAATTGCACTGTGCGAAAATTTTTTTCGAGAAGACTGCACAGTGCAAAAGCTGCGACAAAACTTCGCTCTGCACAGTGCGAAAAATGATTGAAATTTTTTTTGCACAGTGCAAAAAAGACTCAAATTGTTTTTGCTCGCACCGTGCAATGGAGATGTTGTCGCTGAACTCTCTGCACTGTGCAAAACAATTTTTTAAATCTTGCACAGTGCAATTCAAAGAGTTGCTTCATCTGCACAGTGCAATATTTCGGAAACTTATAGGAATTTTTGCGCACAGTGCAAAAATAGATCCAATAGAAATTGCACTGTGCAAAAAAATGAATAAATTTTTTGCACAGTGCGATTTGCAAGTAGCTAAATGAATCTCTTCAAAACAAAAAAAAATTGTCGTCAAAGTGCCCCTTATTGTTCGCGAATCTTCCGCGGAATGCGCTCTTATCAATGAGACCACCTGATGACGTCACTTTTCAAAATACGCATGGAAAAGGCCCTATTTTAGCATTTCGGGCAACCTTGCAACCCGAGATTTCGCCGGTTATCGAATTAAGCGCCTCGGGCGCTAATCCGTTTCCGCTTCGAAAATAAAAGCCTACGTAAATTGGCGGATTAATGGCCCACCTTTTCTGGGCCGGACATTTGCACGTAAGAAACGGGAAATTTTATTTTCAATTTTTTATTACTCTTTTCAAAAATTTTATGACGTAACCCCCCACCGGGGCGTTTGGTCTCTAAATTCCGCTCAATTTTTTTTATTTCCTCTCTCTTGTTTCAATTATGCCTAGATTGAATATTATTGGCGATGAAATTGGGATTTTTGGGAAGGAAGTTGAAGAATTGACAGGGGTTTTTTGGGAGCAGAAAAACTGAACAACGTGTTCGTCGTTTGCCGAATTTTGTTCGTCCTTTTCACTGGGTTTTTTCGCCAAATTCCGTGAATAAGGACTCAAACTTTACTGTGCAATCCTTTTATATGGTTGTCGGCTAAACTCTTCGAATATAACACGGTATTTGCCAGATGCGTTCGAACTTTTGCAGAAAATTCGTGGGCTTGCGGGAGCACGAGGAAATGTAAAACTACAGTGATGACAAATAAGAAAAATTAGAAGATCTTTGATAACAGATGTTACTGTATTCAGACGTACACGAGTAAGGTGGCAAACGGCGAATAATATCCTGGCATGCCTATTCTTCATGGGCTAGAAATAATATTTTTTTGCGTTTCAAGAAAAACTTATCGTGGCGGATCTGATCTAGGGGCAAAAACGTACCATTTTGCCCCCCGGGAAGTATCAAAAAATGCAGCAAAATGCCTCCTTCTCCAAGTGAAAAAACTCCGATTTCAAAAGCGCGTCCGCTCTTTTTGTGAGGCGCCCTTCAAAACGGAGTTTTTTTAGTTGGAGAGGGAGGCATTTTGCTGCATTTTTTGATACTTCCCGGGTACAAAATGGTACGTTTTTTGCCACTGGATCAGCCCCGTCACTGTAAGTTTTCTTGAAACGCAAAAAAATCTTACTTCTAGCCCATAAAGAGTAGTCATAAAACCATGTTGTTCGCTGTTTGCTACCTTATTCGTGTAGGTCTAAATACAGTAACGCCTGTTATCAAAGATCTTCTAATTTTTCTTATTTGTCATCACTTGAATTTTACATTTCCCCCTACCCCCGCAAGCCCACGAATTTTCTGAAAAGTTCGAACGCATCTGGCAAATACCGCGTTGTATTCGATTAGTCATCAAAACAATGAAGACCTGTTTTTGAGCGTTATTTCCTTCTGTTATGGCGCGCAAGCGGTCATTCAAAAGTGTTTTTTATATTCTGTTTCTGTACAGACCTTTCCAGTATATTTTTTAACCTTTTTACACTAAAAGAGTACTTTTATCAACTAATTTTGCACCATACCTTGAGTTTCGTGTTTTGCAGATTTTACGTCATTTTTTTATCAAAATTTTTTACTCCTATAAATGTTATGTTCCTTTGCGGGCATGACATCATATAGCAAACATACCACCCATTTGTTTCGTGGATTATGATGTGCTCATCGTAGCAATGACATTTCACCTCATGATTTGATGTTTTTATGCGTTATTTTTTAAGTTTTTTTACTGATAGATATCCAATAGGCCCCTACAATGGTCACTGACCGAGCTTTACGCCACTTTTTGCAGTTTTTCTTATCAAAATCTAATTTTTGGTTCTTCAAACTTTCTGCTCAAACGTTTCAATGCACCAGTCTGTCGGGGAATTAATGCGGGCTCATCGGCCCATCATCGCGTTTGAAAATTTGCACCCCGATTTTTCGCTTTGCGATTTCTGAAATCCCAAAATTTGCACCGTGCATCAGCACTTCGAAAGACACGAGCTGCGACAAATCCAGACGGCGCACTGTGCAATTTTATAAAATGCACTGTGCAATTTTATAAACTGCACTGTGCAATGCGATAGTTATAAACCGCACTGTGCAATGCGCTATTGATAAAATGCACCGTGCAATTTTATAAAATGCACTGTGCAATGCGATAGTTATAAACCGCACTGTGCAATGCGCTATTGATAAAATGCACCGTGCAATTTTATAAAATGCACTGTGCAATGCGATAGTTATAAACCGCACTGTGCAATGCGCTATTGATAAAATGCACCGTGCAATTTTATAAAATGCACTGTGCAATGCGATAGTTATAAACCGCACTGTGCGCAGGGCTGGGAATGTGAATGAAAGTGCACAGTGAGACTTTGTCGACTCGGGCATCGAAAAAATAAATAAAATTGAGTTAAACAAACTGCATATCACAAAACAGAAATAAATGTGCAATGAATTTATTATTGGCATACAAGTGACATTGAGTTATTTGTTTCATTAAAAGGCCCGGACAATAAAATAAGTTTTGAACAATGTTTTCACGACTTGGAAGCCGAAATGTCACAGGAGCTTGGTTCTACCTTATCTTCAATGAGACCGGACTCTGTGCTGTTCATTGCCGATAATAAGTGAATCTGTAAGAATTCGAATTGATCAAATGGATCGTAAAATATTTATATCCCCAATGGGTTTACAATTATTTCTCTGGCCCTTTCGCAAAGTCGCTGGAGTGATTTTTGCGACATGCACTGTGCGAAAACAAAAGTTCACCCTGCACTGTGCAATTTCTTGCTTTTTGCACCGTGCAAAAGGCTTTTTTGGGCTGTCGCTTCCGACTTTTTCTGCACAGTGCAAGTCGCTGAAGTGATTTCTCAGATTTCAGCGACGTGCACTGTGCAGGAAAAGTCAAAGTGCGACAGCCTAAAAAGCCTTTTGCACGGTGTAAAAAACAAGAAACTGCACAGTGCAAAGTGAAATTTTGTTTTCGCACAGTGCATGTCGCAAAAATCGCGCCAGTTTCCAAGACGAGTGAAAAAAAATCTGTTCGATTAAAATCCTCGTGCTTTGAGAAAAGAAAGACCAGTCTTTCGGGAAAATAATGGGCATCGATCGCGTCGCGGAAGAGAAAAAAGCACTTCGACCTTGCTCGACACAATTCAATTTCTCGCCGGCGATACTCTGCTCTTTATTTTCCCGACAGACTGATAAGGGGAAGTTTCCTAAGACACCACAGAGAGATGTTTTTCGCCCCAAATTTACCAAAAACTCACCAAAGCTTGGTCCCAGGAATTCGATAAAGCCGGCTGTCCCCTTGCCCTTACCTTGAGCAGATGCTCAGCCACCGTGGAGTGATGCACTTGAAACTTTTTGGCCAAATCCCGGGACGTTAGCTTCGGATTGGCTTCGATTTCGGCCTTCAAAAGGTCGTCGTCGATTTTGCTGGGGCGTCCGCTTTTGGTCGACTTCCTCACCGACTCCATGAAGGGGACGGTTTTGAATTCGGCGTACCAGCGGCGGATAGTCTCGGGAGATGGGCAATCCGGATACACTTTGGCCAAATTCTTATGGCATTGCAAGGCATTTGCGCCCGAGTCGAAGAAGTATCTCGCCATCCATTTGTAGGCGTTATTTTTTAGAGACATGCTGAAAAAAGTGTAAAATAAAGATTTACAAGATACCAAAGAACATTGAACAATGATTCACGACCAAAAAATCCATAAATTCTCCTAAAACTACAACGAAAATTTCGCCAACCCAATTATACGAGTCTGTCGGGAAAATAATCCCGACTCGGCGCTGCAAGAGTCGGAAAACGAGTGCAGCCGCGCACCCCGAATGATGGGCGACTCGCAGGCGCGACGAGTCGGAATTATTTTCCCGACAGACCGATAAAATTGCACGGCAACCCAGAAAAGAGAGAAGAAAAATTATTCCCGCCCACTTTTGCGTTTCGTCCAAACGAAGTGTCACAATTGACAAAAGAAATAAATAATTTCGAGAAAAATATTTTTATATTTTTCACCGAAAAAGACTCACAAAAAATTGGTTTGTGACATTTCGTTTGATTTCAATCAATACAAAGTGGGCGAATCGTCTAAAGAGGTCAAGAAACATGTCAGGTTACCCTTGCATTGGGCTAAGCCAATCAAAAGTTCTGCACCGTGCAAGAATCGCTCTTTCTCATTCATTCGCACAGTGCAGCCATTTTTTAGCAGTCATTTGCCCTGCGCACTGTGCGTTTCATCGCAAACGGGTCTGCACGGTGCAGCATTCAGCCTGTTGCACTGTGCGAAATTCGATGGCTGTGTTGTCGCTTGTCTCCTTGCTGTTTTCCCTTTGCGCGGTGGGGGATTTGGTGCGCCGCTGCACCAAGTTTGCGGCGCGGCGGGGAGACACTTTTGCTGCGACGAGTCCGCATTATTTTCCCGACCGACTGATACGAATCTATTTTACGATCCAAAAAACCAAACGGGGTGGATTCCTTTCAAGTAATTTTCGATTTTTCTCTTAACCAAAAACGTCGCTTGGTCCATTCATTTTTTTTTTTTTTTTTTGGATGCGCGCGTTTTCCCATTCAGTTGGCGGGACGTGCGAGAGATAGGGAGGCAATGATTTTATTATTTGAAACACAAGCCTCAAAGGTGTTTGGAAGCCGTACAAACTTTCAGAGAGAGCGTTGAGAAGGAAAAATTAAATTTGGCTGACCACTTTTTGTCAGGAACAACGAAAAAAGACGAGAGACTTTGCGTAAACCCAATGATTTGAGATTGAATTGAGGTTACTGGGTAGAAGCGTAGAGCATGAAGGTCAAAACAAGAAGTAAAGTTTAACGAGAGAGCAGAGAAACAGACGGAAAAATTGATCCGAAAAGAGCCCCTCTTTTCTCATGGATAATATAGAAAATTGCGACTTATGAAAGACATGCGCAAAATGAGAGCCTCTAGAAAGAATGGGATGAAAGAGCGTGTCAAGGGAGTTCGTGGGCTAGATAGATCATAGTAAGGGCGCAGACAAGCAGTGAGAAATCAGGGGCTTTGAATGGACCTCATGTTATCATGTAGAATATAGAAGAAGTGAGAACGGGATGAAAACGGGAAACCCCAAGTGATCGTTATGGCTGAGGCTTATAGAGCACACTATTAGCTCTCTTTTGCGCCACATACCTTAACAAGACGGTAGAGAAGTGGAGGAATATCAAGAGATTTGGAGAAGGCCTGTTCGGCAAGTGAAATGCCCAAAGAATTAGACAATAATGGGATGCGATGGTGGTGTAGTAAAAATCCGAGAGTCTAGAGAAACAGAGAAAACTCTGGAGAGTCCGTTTTACCCTATGATTACTCAGAGACGGGCAGAGAACGCGAGGGTTCGCAGCGATTCAACGACGACCTTGTTTTGTCATGAATAATATAAAGGAGAAGCGGTGCAAACGCTCGCCACCGGTCTAGACGTGCATATCACGAACGAGGAAAGGGCGGCCGGACTTGATTCTCGCCGCCGCGACGCCAGAGAAGCAGACGGCCGGCCCGCCGAAATATCATATTCTCTCCATTTGCGAGTGAGAAGTGGGCAGCAAAACAACGCAAAACTAGCGGCTGCGGCGGAACACGGATTCTCTCTCTCTCCATCTTCTTTTCTTCTTCTTCGGCCCGCCGCCACCCCGACTCCAGCGCCCCCATACGCACACACACGCACGTAGGAGGAGCAGAGCGACGATTTAGAGAGTATGGGGTCGCATGCTGCGGTCGAAGAGACCGTAAAATGAGAGAAAAAGAAGTCGCGGTGTGGGGAATCGGGAAGAAACGGAGGGAGCGGGCGGTTCGCGGAGAGCGCCGACATCGCCCCACAGAGAGTGAGCGGAAAAATGGCGGCGGCGTTGGTATGCGTTATTTCCTTTTTTTTAACTCCTGAGTAAGACAAGAAGGCCCGAGCATTTAGCCCCGGATCGCGACCCCCCCCTCTTTTCAAGTGCGTAATGAAACGCCATTTTTGGTCCGCCGATTATTTTCTGGCCTTGCATCGGATAGTCCATGAATAAAATTTTTGGGTTCGGATTCATTTGATTACCCATTCATAGGCCCTAAACGGCCCCATTGCGCTTTGTTCTGAGACTTTTTTCCATCTGATCCGCGCGAAATTTGCATATTTCAAGGCGATTTCGCAATTTTCTTCAATTATTTCGAGGAAAACGTGAATAATCCAATTCTGTACAGGAAATTGGATTTATTTTGAGAATAGTCATTGATTATTCAGGTGGCTGATGCCAAATTTAAAAATTTTCGAGAGATGAAAATTAAAAAATTTGCATATTTTTGCATTTTTAGCCCAAAAATCCCATTATTTCGGGTAAAAAATGTCGTTTTTAGAAAATAAAAGACGTAAGAAGATAGTATTTACCGTTTCATCAATGATTACTCAAATTTTGTTTATCTACACCTACATTTTTCACTCTGATTTCATGAAAAAATAAACAAAAAAATCGGATTTCCCCGAGGACAACATCTCGCTTTATGCGACTACAAGTGAAATCGGCTTTGTTTTTCGGCCCTTATGGCATTTCCGAATTCGTTATGGGTTTAATTTCAATTTTCTTGCGGGAATCTTCTTTTCATCTCTTATCCAATAAATGAAGGATGATATGTTTCCTGGACCGTGGAATTTGAATAGTAGCCTTGGAAATGGCCGAATTAGGGTCGTAAATTACTGTTTGCGAATGCAAATAGCACTTCGTTCATTCATCGCACAGTGCGAAAGGGGTTTGATGATTTTGAGAATTTGCACGGTGCGGAAACAATTTTTTGCAATTTTCGCACTGTGCGATGCGCGATTTAAATTTTAAATTTGTTTATTTTGAGGTCCTAGGACCTCTATCTTCTATTTGTCTTGAGATTTTGCAATAATGGATGATTCGCACGGTGCAATAAACATGTTCTGCTTATTGCACGGTGCAGCGGACATTTTGCTAAAATCTGCACCGTGCAGTAGGAAATATGGCAAAATTTTGTGACAGTTATAAAACTGAGACTATTTGGTGCCTTTTAATTTCCGGGCTTTCACTTTTATATTCTCTGCACATTGCAATAAACATATTTTGCTTATTGCACGGTGCAGCGGACATTTTGTTAAAATCTGCACCGTGCGATGGGAAATATGGCCAATTTTTGTGACAGTTGCAAAACTAAGGCCATTTGGAGTCTTTTAATTTCCGGACTTTCACTTTTCTATTCTCTGCACGGTGCAATATACAAGTTTTACTTATTGCACGGTGCAGCGGAGAAATTGCTAAAATCTGCACCATGCGATGCGAAATATGACCAATTTTTGTGACAGTTGCAAAATTAAGGCCATTTGGAGTCTCTTAATTTCCGGGCTTTCACTTTTCTATTCTCTGCAGCGTGCAATGAGTCAATTTTTACAAATTTGCCGTTTGAGTCTCTGCACAGTGCAAAATTAAGCATAGTTAAAGTGCAGACAGCCAAGAGGTCAAATCTTTCCATTTTTTCAGTTTTTCCACTTTTTGAACGGCTACACAACGCAGTAAATCAAATTTTGTAACTTCTGCACTGTGCATCCCTCCGTTTTTTATCCTCCTTTTATTTAACACTGTTTCCTCAAATTTTCTCAACTCTTACCTGTGAATTGAAGAGCTCAAAGACCTCCCCAATATACTCCTCTTCTTCAGTTTTATTTCTTTCGAGAATTTTGTTCATGAAATTTGTTTTCGGCTTCGCAAAACCTTTTTTTTTCCTTTTCTCTTTTCTCTCGCCGCTTTTGCCTCAAAGAATTCGGTTCGTCTTTAAATAGACCTTCTTTTGGTGGCGCTTTATCGTCAGGAATTTACTTTTTCCCTCCTCGTTTAGCCGGAGGGCAAATTTTGTTCGTTTATGTTAAGGGGATTTGAAGTGAGAAAGTAGACAAATATAGTGGGAAATAAATCAAAATTGTGGCAAAAGGGGTTTTTTGAGAGCGGATTTTGTTGGGATGTGGGGCTAGCTAAGTTTGTGACAGTGAAATCTATCAATAAAAAAGGGAATTTACCGGTTTAAAACAGGATTTTTTGGCTTGTTGTTAAAAGTAATTTTCTTAACTTACAACGCGTAGATTTTGATCAAGACTCGGTACAAATTTAGAGTAGAATTTTCCACCAAATTTGGGAGATTTTCAGCTCGCGTTTTACAGAAACTGTCGAAATTTTTAATTCAAAAAATTCAGAAAATTTTGAAAAAAAAAATTTTTTTAATTTTTGAAACCAAAAATTAGTAGTCAATTTGAAATGGTGAGTATAATACCTACCCAAAAAATTAAATTTCTCCACTTGATATTCAAAAAGATACAGCCAAAAAATTTTTCTCTGAGTTTTGCCTCATTCTCCTCAAAAATCGTTCAATATCTCGGCTCTCCCTGCAAACTGCGCGCCAAAATTCTCTGTCATTGATTTGTGACCAACATAGATTATGGACGTAAAATTTGGAACAAATCCAGTATTTCCACCTCAAGAAATTTGCTCTTTTCCCATAAGAACCCCCAAATTTCACGTTATTGACTAGATGACGACTTCATTCCGATATTTTTAACACTGCCGCTTTACACTCCACGCTTTACCTTATTACACTGCAGCCACAAACTCTTTTAGTCGTTACTATTACGAGGGCTATTACGGGAGAGTGATAAATTCCCATCAACTGTCAAAGTCAATTATTCCTTTGTTATTCGCAAGTTCTTCGCTGGGGGGTTTTGTAATCGTTGTTTTGATAGAGCGGCTTTTTTCTTTTGACTTTTTTTGATGAAACGAAATCCGTATTTTACAAAAAAAAATTTTTTTACACTTTTCTGCACTGTGCATTCGATTTTACAATTTTTTTCTCCCGCACAGTGCAACAAAATTTGACCACAAAATTTTTGCACTGTGCAAAAATCGGAGAAATCCGCACAGTGCAACATTTTTGGATTTCAAAAATCTTAAGAAATCGCACTGTGCGAAAAAATTTGTTTTTGTTTTTCCACTTTCCCCTCCAATTTGAATCGCAGCGGAAGTTTTGCTGAAATCGGCACCGTGCACTCGAAATTCTCCTTTTGTTTTTGTTTTTCACGCACTGTGCATTTGTTGAATCGCTGTGAATTTTCGATTGCACGGTGCGAGATTTTCAAGTTTGCGACATTTCGCACAGTGCAGTGCGATTTTTTCGGTTGCGAATTTCTAAATTTATGCACTGTGCAATCAAATTTTCGCAAACATTTTCGACGCACTGTGCGATGAAAACAAAAACAATTTTTGCACTGTGCAATTGAATCGCTGTGAATTTCCGATTGCACGGTGCGAAATTTTCATGTTTGCAATATTTCGCACTGTGCAGTGCGATTTTTTCTGTCAACGATTTCTAAATCTTTGCACCGTGCAATCAAATTTTCCCAATGATTTTCGACGCACTGTGCAATGAAAACGCAAAAATTGGTGACGCACTGTGCGCTCCAAAAAATACAAATTTTCGCACTGTGCAGTGCGATTCTTCCTGTCGCGGCTTTCAGACTCTGCGCACCGTGCAATCAAATTTTCCTAATGATTTTTGACGCACTGTGCGATAAAAACCATTCCAATTTTTGCACTGTGCATTCAATTTACGCACTGTGCGATCAAAAAAATCCCAATTTTTGCACTGTGCAGTCCAATTTTCGCACTGTGCGATGAAAACAATCCCAAATTTTGCACTGTGCAGTCCAATTTTTGCTCTAATTTTTCCCGCGCACTGTGCAGAATTTAATTTTTCGAATTTTTCGCGGGTTTTTGAGATTTTTTCCGGCTATTTTTGACTTCCAACTTCTTAAAGCGCGATTTCCTTGCAGAACAGCACACAAATCGCGCGATGGTGAAGCGCGCCGGCCGGGGGTTGTCGGTCAAGGACCTCCCCGACCACCTGGCCGAACTTTTACGCCTCCACGACGTGAAGGGGACGCCGTTGACACGCGCCGAGGTCTGCAGCCGGTTCACGAAGGAGCACGGGTGCTCGCGCGAGAGCACCGAGAAGGCGCTGGACGCTTTGATTCAGATGCACAAGGTCATCGAGGTGGCTTCGGAGCAGAACACCTTCCCGGTGCTGCATGACCTGCTCCGGTTCAAGTGAGTTTTTTACGACAATAAGCATTTTGAATATTTAGAAGAGAAATGGATCGAAAAAATGCGAAAATTCTTCAAAATTCACCTTGTTTTTGTTAAAATAAGGTCAATTTTTGATGATTTTGGATAAAATCTTTAAATCCAGAGCAAACTTAGTCCTGAAACCACGTTATAATTTGCTTTCAAGGCTTTTGTCATCATTTACTTGATAAGAAACCCAAAAATTTTTGAAAAAATCATCATATTTTATCTAAAATAGAGTAAAATTTTTTCAGATTTTTATAGAAAAGTTGTTCTCATGGCTCGTTTATATTCTAAATGGATTGAAAATTGTTTTTGGGGGAGTTACAACAATTTAAAACAGCTGAAAATAAAAAAATCATCAAATTTTACGCGAAAAAAGCTAAAATTTGATGAAAAATTTATAAATTTATAAGAAATTTTGACTTTTTGAGGGATTTTCTTTCATTTTTTTGATTGTAAAATACGAGAATTAAAGTTACAGACCAAAAAAAATTATATTATCCATGACCCAAAAAAAAATTTTTTTTTTTAATTCCTTAAATTTTCAGGATGTCCCGCGAGCGCCGTCTCCGCGTCGGCCCCACCACCGATCTCTACAATGTGGTCCGCAATTCGCTGATCGAACGCTCCGCGCGCTCCTCGCAGTACGCCTTGTCCGTCTCGGAAATCCACGATTACGTCCAATTAACCTACCAATTGGAGGGGAATTCGGACGAGCATCTGTTTGCGGGCATCTTGAGGACCGTGAAATTGATGCTGAAACGGGATTTGGTCGAGGAAAAGGTGCCCCTTCACAATAATGACAGCAAATATTTCGCCACCAGCTCATTGATGTTGAATGTAAGTGGGATTGCGCTTGATTTTGAGGTTTTAGGACGTTAGAGTTCATATTTTGGCGTTGGAATTCGAAAATTTATTCAAATTTCAAAAAAAAATTTTTTGCACAGTGCAGATTTTTTCCGACCGCACTGTGCAAGTTCTATAAGTTTCGCACAGTGCAGATTTTTACTTTTTTCCGACCGCACTGTGCGAGTTTTATAATTTTCGCACAGTGCAGATTACAATTTTTTGGCCGCACAGTGCGAGTTTTGTAATATTTTCGCACAGTGCAGATTTTAACTTTTCCGACTGCACAGTGCGGTTTTATAACCTTTGCACGGTGCAGATTTTCATTTTTCCGACCGCACAGTGCGAGTTTTATAACCTTCGCACAGTGCAGATTTTTACTTTTTCCGACCGCACAGTGCGAGTTTTATAACCTTCGCACAGTACAGACTTTTAATTTTTCCGACTGCACAGTGCGAGTTTTATAATTTTTGCACAGTGCAGATTTTAACTTTTGCGACCGCACAGTGCGAGTTTTATTGCTTTCGCACAGTGCAGACTTTTAATTTTTCCGGCTGCACAGTGCGAGTTTTATAATTTCCGCACAGTGCAGATTAAAATTTTTACGATTAGACCGCACTGTGCAAATTGAATTTTTCTCATTGCACAGTGCAGATTTTTGTTTTTCCGACAGCACAGTGCGAGTTTTGTAATTTTCGCACAGTGCAGATTTTAACTTTTCCGATAGCACAGTGCGGTTTTATAACCTTTGCACGGTGCAGATTACAATTTTTCGACCGCACTGTGCAAGTTCTATAATTTTTGCACCGTGCAATTTTACTTTTTCCGACCGCACAGTGCGAGTTTTATAACTCCCGCACAGTGCAAATCTTAAATTTTTTGACCGCACAGTGCGAGTTTTATAACTCCCGCACAGTGCAAATCTTAAATTTTTTGACCGCACTGTGCGAGTTTTATGATTGTCGCACAGTGCAGATTTGTTCCGACCGCACAATGCAGTTTTATAGTTTCCGCACAGTGCAGATTTTTATTTTTCCGATCGCACCGTGCGAATTTAATTTTTCTCACTGCACAGTGCACATTAGCGCAAAATTTAAATTAATTTTTTTTTAAAATTGTTATTGAGGTAAAATACGATTTATTCAGTCAACTGCAAGGATAACAGCGGTTCAAATGGCTAGGAATCAATGTTTGTCTACAGGGTGTCCAGAGAAATGTGCCGGAAAGTTTTTGTCGATTTCTTGGCGCTCAATCAAGATATCCGAAAAATTCTTTTTGCAAGATAAAGAAGAATATGGGCGGTTTTTTGTGCAAAAGAATCATTTTCTCCGCCAGCGCGGAAGGCAGTGTATTCGGCGGAGACTTTTGATCGCTTTTTTGATCATCGCACCAACTTTAAACGCTTTATTATGAACTTTGATGGTTGAAACAAAGATATTTGCATATTTTCATGTTTACCAAGTGTTCGGCGAAGGTATGGCGGACGCTCGCCGAATCGGCGGAGGCCATAACTCGTCTGCGGACAAGACATGGTCCAACACAACTTTCATGGCCTGGCTAGAACACCCTGCTGGCTTCGTATGCCTTCGAAAATTTTGTCACCAAGCTTTAGCAGAAGCTAAGCCATCGGAACCACTTGGTGCACCAGAAAACAACAAAAAATTTTTTGTTCAAATTTCCTTTTGCCTTGCTGTTTCAAACCGCCGCACGGTGCACTCGAACTTTATCGGTGTTGCAGCGACAGGCTGCACCGTGCAGTCGCTATATGGGATCGCATTGCGATGTCGCTGTCTGTGTTATTTATTGCGTCAAAAATTTGAAGACTTTCCGGAAGTTTCAGCATCATAATAAAGCGTTTGAAATTGGTGTGATGGCCAAAAAAGCGATCAAAAGTCTCCACCGAATACACTACTTTCCGCGCTGGCGGAAAAAATGATTCTTTTGGACAACAAACCGCCCAAATTCTTCTTTATCCTGCAAAAAGAATTTTTCTGATATCTTTATTGAGCGCCAAGAAATCGACAAAAACTTTCCGGCACATTTCTCTGGACACCCTGTAGTATAACATCGAGAATTACTATTTTTTTTCTCAGAAATCTTTTATTTATCGAATATTTCAGCCAACCCTCCCTTCATCAGACCCTAAACCCTCCACATCCACCAAGATTCCCATGGAATTGTCGATAGATCACAGCCAAATCCCCTCGTCTTCGTCGCCAAGTCCCAACTCCACGGGATCGGTGAAGAAGCGAGAGAAACGCCTCTCCGAAGCGTCCCAGCAGAACAGCGATGCCAGTAAGACCGAGCTGAAGAGCCTCCAAGATAGCCTTTCGTCTTATTTTACACCATCAAACTCAAGGCGTTCGAGGGTGGCCCAATCTTCATTTTCATTGGAGAATTTTCAAACCATGGATGATGACAAGTTGGGACCGCTGGAAATTGATGTCGACAAAGCTGGCAGTGCCAAAAATGACGATGATTCGAATGGTATTTTTTTGGAATTAAAAAAATTTTTTTTGAAAAATCATTTTTTTTTGCACAGTGCAAACGGAAAAAAGAAACAATTGTTGCACAGTGCAGTTTGTTTCCTCTGCACAGTGCAAAGTTTTCAAAAGCAAACTGCACAGTGCAGGTTCTCAGCGACAAAATGGTTCAAAGCGGACCGCACTGTGCGAATTTTCGTGTTCTTTGCACAGTGCAAAGTTTCGAAAAAAAAACTGCACAGTGCAGATTTTCAGCGACAAAAATGCTCAAAGCGGGCCGCACTGTGCGAATTTTTGTGTTCTTTGCACAGTGCAAAGTTTCCAAAAACAAACTGCACAGTGCAGATTTCCTGCGACAAAAATGTTCAAAGCGGAATGCACTGTGCGGTTTTTTGTGTTTCTTGCACAGTGCAAATTTTTCAAAAGCAAACTGCACAGTGCAGGTTCTCAGCGACAAAATGGTTCAAAGCGGACCGCACTGTGCGAATTTTCGTGTTCTTTGCACAGTGCAAAGTTTTCAAAAGCAAACTGCACAGTGCAGGTTCTCAGCGACAAAATGGTTCAAAGCGGACCGCACTGTGCGAATTTTTGTACTGCTTGCACAGTGCGGAGATTGGCGACAAATGTTTCAAAGTGAACTGCACAGTGCAAGGGTTGATTTTCGTTGCACAGTGCGGAAGCGAAAGGATGAAAAGTTTTTGATTGCACCGTGCAGTTTTTCTTTTGAACATTGCGACGTCGCAGCGACAAAATTTTCCAAGTCGACTGCACCGTGAGATTTTTTGCACAGTGCGGAACAGCGCGAGCGACAAGATTTTCTAATCTGACTGCACTGTGCAAATTTCTAATTTTTTGCACAGTGCAGATTTTTTGGAGGATTTTATCGCACTGTGCGAAAGGAAAATTAAGAAATTTTCGGTTGTAAAATAAAATTTGCATAATCTTACAGTATCCTCCCCATCTCCACAACGCCAAACCGACCGACTGTTCGACTCGCTGTCGCCGTATTTCAGCGCCAACACGGAACGCCGACGGAAACATGAAAAAGGCGAATACAAGCAGCTATGTAATGGGATTCCGTTGAAAAAGAAAGGTGAGATTAGCCCGCGGATTAATCCAATTCTTGGATTTTCAGGCAAATCCGAGGACGGAATTGTCAAGGATGTCCTTCATGATGTCAAAAACGATGAGGAGGTGAGCTTTTAAGCCCGATTTTTGGTGAATTACTTGGGGGTTTTGATTTTTAGAGGCTGGATTTTGCTTGAAGCTATCTTCAAAAATTTTTTAATTGCTTAAAAATTCGAAATTTTTGAATGTTTAAAAAAATATTTTTTTTTGCACGGTGCAAAATTTTTGAAGAACTGGATTGCACTGTGCGGATTTCTTGCTACAATTTTTTGCACTGTGCAGTTTCCGAATGTCTTTGAATTTTCGCACGGTGCAAAATTTTTAAAGAACCGGACTGCACCGTGCATATTTTTTGCCACGATTTTTTGCACCGTGCAGTCTCCTAATGTCTTTGATTTCTCTGCACGGTGCGAAAATTTTGAAGAACCTGACCGCACCGTGCGATAGATGTTTTGCAATTTTTTTGCACAGTGCAGTCTCCTAATGTCTTTGATTTTTTTGCACTGTGCGAAAATTTTTGAAGAACCGGGCAGCACCGTGCAAATTTTTTGCTACAATTTTTTGCACAGTGCAGTTTCCTAATGTCCTTGATTTTTTGCACTGTGCAAAAATTTTAAAGATCTGCACAGTGCAGATTATCGGACGCCAGTTTTTCGCACAGTGCAGTTTCCCAACTTTTTTGGTTTTTTGCACAGTGCAAAAATTTTAAAAAACCAGACTGCACTGTGCAGATGTTTTTGGTAAATATTTTTTTGCACAGTGCAAAGCTCTTTTCTAAATTTCTTTTGCACTGTGCGGCTGAAAAAAAAGCTTCTGTTTTTTGCACAGTGCAGATTATCGGACGCCAGTTTTTCGCACAGTGCGGTCTCCCAATGTTTTTGATTTTTTTGCACGGTGCAATCAAGGGCTCAATTTTTTTGCACTGTGCGATGGGAAAAAAATCGACTCATATGTTCAAAATCGACCAAAAAAAAATTTTTTTTGTCAAATTTATTGTACAGAGAGCTATTCTGTGCACTTTTTTCTCCATTTCCTCTCCTTGCCTCATCCATTTTACCCTTCCTTTTTCGAAAATTTTGCGCAATTATCAGATTAGAAGTTGGCTATCAGTCAGTTTCCGAGCCCTTTGTTTTTCGGTTCTTTCAGCGAACGCTCTCTCCTTTTTTCGTCTTCGGCTGACTCGATTTTTCGTTGTAACGGACGTTTGTAAAATGTTTTTTCGGGAAATTTAATTACTTGTCTGTTTTCTGTTTGTTTTCGGGAGATAATTTTTAGAAAAATTTTGGATTTTTTGGGGGTTTTGGGTGAAATACGGAGGGAATATTGGTTGACAAGTCATCCTTATTGTTTTCTATAGTAAAATAAGAGATAAATTAGAGATTTTTTAATCAAAAAATGACTGAAAAAAGAGAAAATTTAAAAATTTTCTGAAATTTTGTATAAAATTGGCAGTTTTTGTCTTCAATTTGTAAAAATTTTGGTCAAATTACCTTTCTATAGTCATATTTATACCTTTAAATCATAAAATTTTCACTTTTTTGCAATTATTTTTTTTTGCGGAAAACTCAAAATTCAAAAAAAAAACTCTTCAGATTCCCCCAAAAAACCGTCTATTATTGTGTTTACTTACTTGGAATTGTTTTGAACTTCAATTCCAAGTTTTATCGCCCGATCTTTGCTCCAATTTGTCATATTCATCTTCAAAGAGACCAAGTATAACATAAAAAGTTTAAAAAAAAAAAGAGTGTTGCTTCGGTCTGAAAGTCCATAATCAGCCTTATCAAGGTCTATAGGTTTGTGTGGGCCAGTGTAATAGGTCAAAATTTATATTTTTTTATATTATCCATGATAATTTTGACAGATTTTTGGCAAAATTTAGCGATTTTCTATGGTGATAAAAATAGTTGGAATTGACAGGAATACGGTTGATGGTTAGATTAGGACAATGCTTTTGTCATTTTGTGTTGGTTTTTTTCGTAGAGAAGCGATTTCGGCCCCCGCGGCGCTTTTTTACGTGATTTTTTTGTAATGAGTTTTTTCCGACAAAAAAGATCATCCTTGTCTGAAAGGTGGATCATTTCAAGTGGCATTTTTATTACCCTAAAAGATAGGATGAAAGTTTTGATCATATAAGGCCGAATTTTTCGTAAAAAAACAAGTAAATGGACAGAGCAGGAGTTTGCACTGTGCAAATGTTTGAACTACTTATAAAGTAAAAATTTTGTGGTTTTATAAGCGAGTATATGTCTTGAGAAACTAAGTGGATGTCAGTAGTGTCGTTCATGACAATTTTTAAGTCATCGGAATTTCCTGCAGCGGAAAAAAATTGAACTTAAAATCTGCACTGTGCAAAATTTTAGAGGTTGAAATTCGCACAGTGCAGAGGAAGTTTGATGTCAAAAAGTGTGAAATAAGCTAGAATAGGTCTTCACAAATATGCTAGGCTGAAATTTTATTTTTGCTGGGCCCCACTGTCATGCAGAAAAACAAGCCTCAAAAATCGCACAGTGCAAAAAAAAATTTTTTTTTGGTTTGTCGGCCTATCCCTAAAACCAAAATTCTTGTCTACTGTGTCTGTTAACTTTGTTTTCTCCTCATTTTCAACTGCATGTTCAAATGAACAATGAAACTTGTGATAATTCCCATAATCATCGTATTTTTTTAGCGAGAACCACGTCATCATCAAACCCCCAGTGTATCCTCGGTTTGTGGGAGTGGCGAGAACGTCGAAGTGGCACGAATGTCGCCGCCAATCAAGAGGAAACATACTAGCTTCGATTCCGAGGACCTGGTCTCGCCCCCTTCGCATTCGTTGACACCCAGTGATTGTGCTGGACCAATCAGATCGAGACAAAGGCGAGTTGCCAACAGAGCCAGTGCCAATTTGTTGAAACGAGCTCGACAACATCAAGGTAATTGTTTCCAGGCCCATTTGCCACCTTTTTTCGTATAAAATTGAAAATTTATTTTTTCGGCAGCTCGCGCCCCAACTTTTTCTGTTCTCGTTTTGCGCGCGCGCGAAAACGGATGCGAGGTCAAGTAATTTAGCACAGATCTGTATCAATACAATTTGCTGCACACTTCCTTGTACTGATGAATATTTTTTATATGCAGCTCGGTTGGCAAATTCGCAAAAATTATTGAATTCGGCCTCCACGTCCAATTCGGTGCCAAAGCACAGCTCCGTGAACAACGTCACATCGCCCAGGAAGAACAGAAATACAGCACAACCCGTCAGCACCAAAGTTGTCAACAGCAGTACCATTAAAATGTAAGATTTTTTGTTATTTTTTGTTTGACTTTTAGAGAAGGGTCATGGATAATAAGAGGTTCTTTTGGTCGGAAAAAATACGAATGATGCTCGATGCCTTTTGAGAGAGCTTTGTTACACTCTGTATGAAATTTATTTGCAGCTGTTGAATTGAGAAGTTGCTGTTTTGGCGAGTATTCACCTTCCACATAGTTAGAAGTAGATTGTTAATTTATAGGCAAAATTATATTTAAAAATTTGTGGTATAGCTGTAGTTAGAAGAACAACAATGTTTGTTTTCTATAAGCCATAAACTGGACTGATACGCGTGCAACTCATGGGGTTTTTATATTGTTTTAGGTAATAAATAGAGATAAATTTTAAAACTGAATTTTTATGGTTTGATAAACATCAGTTTTTGGTTTTTTATAACTGTTTACGACGTCTGCCGAATTTAGAACGTCTCCGTTGCGAAGGTCTGGTTCGTTTTCACCTCTAAAATCAGTTATGGAGCAGTCAACATCCAAGGAGAACGCGTACCCCATAAATGTCCCAAAGGAAGATGAGGAGCTTTTCAACAGGGCTCAGAAGATGGTTCAAGATGTAAGTGTTAAAATTTTTTGTCATCAAGTGGATGAATAAATTGTTGTAGCATTTTTTGATATTACACTAGGCAAATTTAAAATTATAATTTATTGATGTTATTCTTTCAGCGGATGGACGAACATGCTCGAGTGATGGCTGAGAAAGGTGAAGAAGCCGTGTACCCTTCAAAAATCCGAATTGGTCGGCATGAAATCGAAGTTTTATATTCATCCCCATATCCAGCTGAATTCGCCGGCGTTTGCCCTCTTTACATCTGCGAGCATTGTCTAATGTACATGGCAAATGATAAGCGACATAAGGTAAGGCGTTTTTCTTTTCTATGTTTTGAATTTTAGAGCAGAAACAGGAGTTTTATCAATAAATTGAACTTGATGTCTATTACAATATAAAATTTCTGTAATTTTTAGTCAAAATGCACCCGTCGCTTTCCCCCAGGCAATGAGATCTATCGCAAGGACAATTTGTCGATATTCGAAGTGGATGGGAACACGGCGAGAGTGTATTGTCGGAATCTTTGTCTTCTGGCCAAGTGTTTTATGGAGCACAAAACGCTTTATTACGACGTGGAACCGTTTCTGTTCTACGTCTGCATGCTCCGAGATGAATATGGCTTGCATTTTGCCGGTTATTTTTCGAAGGAAAAGTTCAGCCATCAGAAGTTCAACTTGGCTTGCATTGTTACACAACCCGCATATCAAAATGCTGGAATTGGAAGGTTCCTCATTGATTTTAGTAAGTTATTTTGAATTTATTTTTGGATTTTAGGATGGGTCAAGTTATTGGATTACAATCTGCAGAAGTAGCCTGGTTTTAGACATCCCTTTCAAGAAAGTTATATTACACTAGAGATTAATTTCAAAATTCTTCAGGTTATCTCCTCTCCCGTCAAGAAAGCATGCTCGGAACACCAGAACGACCTCTGTCAGAGCTCGGCAGGATAGCCTATGAGAGTTATTGGCGCACAGCGATATTCGAATTCCTCTACAAGCGCAAAAAAAGAGGCCCGGTGGAGACTTTGTCGTTGATGGAGATCTCGCGAGGCACTGGAATCTCGAATCATGATGTCGTGGACACCCTAAAAGCCCAAGGGTTCATTGGACAAAATGATGGGGAAATTGTCTGGCTCTTCGATTTCGATCGGATTGAGGAACACTGGATCAAAGCCGAGAAGGATCCGAAAAGAATATGGCTGGATGAATCGAGGTTGAGGTGGACGCCGAGGGTATACACACCAACTATCGATCTGACTACGCCAACTCGAATCGCCCAACTCGAAAATGTAAGTGAGGGGGCATGGATAATATGATATACATAATATCGCTGGTCTAAAAAGGGAGTGGAGAATAGATACGAGATCATGAAGAAAGGTGAACCAAGAGCTTACAGAGGGCTTGAGCTCAAAAATAAAATAAATTTTTCTGTGACAATGATACAGTAGCGGAACTGATCCAGTGGCAAAAAACGTACCATTTTGCATCATGGAGGTATCAAAAACGCGGCAAAATACTTCCCTCTCCAAGTGAAAAGACTCCGATTTAAGTTTGTGAGGGATGCGCCCTTTAAAACGGAGTTTTTTCGCTTGGAGAGGGAGGTATTTTGCCGCTTTTTTGATCCTTCCCGGATGAAAATGATACGTTTTTTGTCACTGGATCAGGTCCGCTACTGTATCATTGTCAAAAAAGTTTTATTTTATTTTTGAGCTCAAGCCTTCTGTAAGCTCTTGGCCCACCTTTCTTCGTGATCATTGTAATACTAACTTTGCTAATCACATAATTCTTTAGACCCCACAACAAGCCGAGAACTCGCCGAAAAAGAATCGTCGCGTCCTCAACCCGAAAAACGATCAACGCGGCCGAGCCGCCCGCAACTCCGTCCCCACGGACCAGGAGGACCAGAATCACGCCGCCGGCGAAGAGACGTCGCCCCCACGCCCGCGCAAGAACCGAAAAAACTCGAAGGCGGCGGTGCTCGCGCCCAAGAACCAGCTGCTGCAGCTCTCCGACGAGGACGTCGACCCACCGCCGATGAGCCGCCGGTCCTCTTTCGTCGGCCAAAAACCCCGACCAGATTTAAACGGTAAGAGGTTGGAGCTTGTATTTGAATACTTTTTTGTCGTTTTTGAGTCTAAAATACGACTATATGTCTACTACAAGGTCTTTTTTCCTCGTCTAACCGTCTTTTCAGTCACAATATCCCCGCACAAGTACTATACAAGGAAAAATGCTCGGTTTCATCCGTATAAATAATATATAAAGTATTTAATCCCTCACTTTTATCTTTTATCTGACCTCATTTTTGTCCGTTAATAAAATATTTTCATCGAGTCAAGTCTTCATTGTCTTGTATTCAAGTCTGCAATGGGTTTGAAGTCTCATACCCAGAGAAACTTTGGACATTTTGGCAACTTTTGTAATACAAAAGGAGCAACTTTGGATAAGAACCCTTCGTTTGTCGACAAATTTGGGTATAACCCTCCCATTTTCTAGGCAACCGCCGGCCACGCCCCTCGACCAGCACGGAAAGAAGCAGCGACGACGATGACTTTGAGCCGCGACGCCAATTGCGCGTCGCCGGCCGTCGCACGAGCGCCGCCGCGAAAAAGGAACCCAAAAGGAAACGGAAACGCCACCAAAAGACGGCTCCGCATTCGGACGACGAGGCCGCGTCCAGCAACTCGGATTGGTCTCGGACCGAGTCCATGGCCTCGTCGGTGTCGAAGCCGGGACGCGGAAAGTCGTTTTCGAAGGGGATGAAAAACGAGAGCAAGTTGGTCGAAAATGAGAACGAAACCATTCATGGACTGTCCAGTGATGAAGGTGGGATTCGAAAAAAAAACTCGGAGACGAAGTGTACAGTGGCGGACCTGATCCAGTGGCAAAAAGCGTAGCGTCTTGCATCCGGGAAGTATCAAAAATGTGGCAAAATGCCTCCCCTCCAAGTGAAAACACTCCCATTTCAAAAGCGCGCCTACTCTTTGTGAGGCGCCCCTCAAAACGTTTCACTTTTAGAGGGAGGCATTTTGCCACATTTTTTGATACTTTCCGGATGCAAAATGATGCGTTTTTTTGCCACTGGATCACTGTAGCATAACGATAAAATTGCTTATAATTTTCAATTACGAATCATGTCTTACATTCCAAACTTTTCAGAAGACATCTTGATTCCCCCACCTCGCCGTCCCTCAGCCTCAGGGAAGAAGGGCAAACCAGCAGCCGGAAAAAAAGGCGGTAAAGGCAAAAAATCGAAGAAAGCTGGCTCTGACTCCGACGAAGGCGACAAAACCTATGTTGTCGGTGGGCGGGGAAACAAAAAGGTTGGCCGAAAACCGGGACGACCTGCTCCGGCAAAGGTGGAGAGGACCAAGAAAGGGATTGGTAAACGAATCGATGACGTCACTTTTAAGCCGAGTGCTACAGCGCCCACCTCCGAAGCGTCCTCGAGAACAACATCACCGCGTCCTTCGACTTCCACCAACATTCACCATCGTTTGCTGGTGAACGAAAGCGACGACGACGATGAGGCGAACCATTCGGACATGTCGGCGTCGCCAGGGCCGTTGTCCAGCCGGACCACCCGCATTTCATTGGTGGCGGAGACAATGAACATGGGCGGAGAACCGGACACGGTGAATATGGGAGGAGAGCCGGACGATGAGGATGAAAATAATCAACAGTTCGCGGCCACACCAAAAGCGCCAAAGCCTCACATGATCGAAGACGAATATTCGAATCACGTGGAACATAACGACGATGAAGCCCCTCCCATGCTGGCCTCAGCTTCACATCACGTCGAAAGCGTACCAATAAATCATAATATATCCGCGGAAAGCCATGGATCAAGAGATTTGGAGACCTTGACTAGCAATAATTACCATCACGAGCCGAACGTCCCCTCAACCTATCCACAGCCCTGGATTCAACATAAAAATGTGAACGGGTACAATCACAAGACCGATTTTCTTCCACACAAGTCCAGCGTACCCGATTACAATATCCATAAGAACGAATTCGCACATAGGAAATCGACTGTCGGTGATTTTACCCAACTTCACTCGTATGACAGCACGTATCATCAAACCCTATCGCAACCCGAGATCTACCAGGAACAACACATGGTGAGCACTCTAAAGCCACAACTCGACTGTCCCGCAAGCTCTCATACGAAAATGCCGGGAATTGCGTCGATGGATCCGGCGTCGGCACCACCAGAGCTGGATGAAAACGAAATGCCAATCCTCAAGGCTGAAGACAACAGTGACATGCCGGTCTTGGATGAGGCAGAAGATGACGATGCACCACCTCCACTGTCACCGAAATTTGTAAGTAGCCGAACCAGTAGGGTCGTTGGCACTTTGCCCTGAAGATTTTACTAGCTGTGCCTCATTTCCAGTCGCTATCTTCCGAAAATATGAATAAATACTCTTTCCGTTGCAGGGTGCTCAAGCCAACGACGCGGTAGACTCTGGTCCGCCTGTCTTGGATAACAGTTCACAGCCGCCTCGCCGTTCCTCGGGCCCTCCAAAAATCGCCGAACCAAAGGTGACCAACGCAATGGAGAAGCTAGCCATCGATTGCACTCCAAGCACATCGATGCCGCAGCCGCTGAACAAAACAACCCCAGAGTTACACTTCCATGGCGGAAGTGGTGACTATCCAAAGTTGCGACAGAACAGTGTTCACCATCAAAGTCCGATCTTGCCACCGAATTCGAATTCACCGGCCAATTACAAGTAAGATTTGAGAGAATATCTTACGAATTCCTTCGCACGTCAATCCAAAATAGAAGAAAAAATTTCTCGCCCCTTTTTGGTGATTCGTTCAAAACGAAATGTCACTATCCGATAAAACGCATTTTCTTATCTTTCTTCTTCCTTTTCGAGAAAAAGCAAGTATTTCGGGCGGGAAAACGTGCCGATAATTTCGAAACGGTTCAAGAAATGCGCTGGTTACATGTCTGTAACCAGTGCTAACGTGCTTCGTTACATGTCTGTTTTCCAAGATCTACTAACTGATCCCTATTTTCAGGCCCAACTCTTTGCCACAGCCTTCACAAATCTTCTCTCCGCCCGCCCAAATCCATACGCCCAATTCTCATCAGCCGCTTTCGCAAACTTCGACAAGCACCAACTCAGAGAGTGTGGTAAATCAACCAGAAATGTTGTCGCCGCCCAATCTGTCGAAGCCAACCGAGCCCATAGTCAACTTCACTCTTCCTCCAGCAGCTCCACCCACATACTCTCCGCCAAAAAGCAAGGAGAAGAAAACCTCCGTGGCCGCAACGATCTCTTCCCATCAGACGAATCAGGCGAGAAGACGAAACACAACCGACGGATCAACACACAAACCAATGACAAGACCCTCGACGACGGTGGAGCCGGCATTGCCAGCTCAACCAGCAATGAACACCTCGACCATTGGCGGATTTCCATTTATGAATCCGTATTTGGGAGCGAACGGAATCAGCACAACGATGGCTGGCGGTTTCCCCATCAATTACGGGAATCAAATGCCCGCCACGAATCGATACGACTACAACTCGACCATGTTGAACACTCCAAATTATTTCTGGAATATGAACTATCCCCTGAACAACGCAACGCCCGCAAATCCCATGCCAAATCCGGCGAAATCTATGCCCGCTTCAGCGTTCCCAATTCTGAATCCGGCAATGCCAAACCCAATGGACACAACAGGAATGCAGTATTATAACGGGCTTCAACCCAACACTGCAACGCCTCAAATGCCACCCACCAATGGAGCCTCGAATTTCGCAAACTTCGCCAACGCTGCTCTCGCTCCCAATCCAAGCAACTCAGCTTATTATTACTAGAGAGCAATATGGTTGCGGATGATTCTTGAATGTCCGGGTGGTTAGATAGTCTTATTTAGCATAATTATGCTTGTTTCATTTATTTCCGACCCTTTCCCCACGTTCTAAAGCCATCCGCAACCAATACTTTATATTGTACTAGGTATATCACAATTTGTTAGATTTTGCATAAATTATTGCCCCGCGACGAGCGCCACCCGCCCCCGCACACGTCGTACTCTCCCATAATAACCTTGTAACATATTCTAAGATACAATACTCGTGTAAATATGCATATATACCTTCTAATCCGATATTACACATAAGAAAACCCCAAATCCAATGCGTGTGGTCTTGTTAATTTGATCTTTTAATTTCATACATCATGTCTTAGTGCCTTTAACGTTTTTTATAACGAATCCGGGAACTCAAAGAATGCGCTAAAACTTTATTATTATCTTAATTTATATTATTCATTGCCTTTGTTTTGTCTCACTTATGAAAGTTAATGGAAAAGCTTCTACCACAACTTAAAAAATCAACCAAATAATCATATTTCGGATGTAGATCGGTCTTGTAGATAGATTTGGACAGTATATTATAAATTATAAAAGTATTCAAAGTTGGAATGAATGATAATTTTATTTGTTGGCATGTGTAATATCGAAAAATTTTAAAGTAGAAGAAAATCAAAAAGTAAACGAAAATTATAAACTCTCATCCTAAAATACGACAGAAATTAGGATACGAAAGTTTCGCTCTTTTCGGAACACTTCTCTGGCATTCTGTTGCAACCCTTTGTTTTCGTGGTGGGGCTAAAATAAATTATTTCTACAGAAAATTTTCGCCGTTATTTCGTGTTTCGGAACTTCACCTTGGTCAAAGTTGTTGTTTTAGACAGTGCAAGCACACAGAATAGTGCCAAGAATGAGTATTAACGATGTCCATGCTTATCCGTTTGTTAGAGTCCAATCCAGGTGGGTTTTTGATGCATTTTGTTCAAGTTATTCTCTAAAACAAGCTTGAAGTAGGCAAAAAAATCGTCTGCTATGATTCTAAAGCCGTTTGCGACCTTCTGAATCTTGTTTTGATGGGATTATTAGAGATTTCCAATATTAGATTCCCATAAGTTATGAATAATATAATTTCTTTCAGTATGGGCACATTTGTGATCGAATTGTACTGGGAACATGCTCCAAAGACCTGTCAGAACTTTGCCGAGCTGGCGAGGAGAGGATACTACAACAACACAATCTTCCACAGAATCATTAGTGAATTTATGATACAAGGTGGAGATCCAACTGGGACTGGTAAGTTTTTTGATGTTTTTTGTTCAATATTTAGATGTTGAGGAAGAAAAAGATCTGCATTTGCTGTCCAAGATGATTTTGCTGTCTAAAACGAATTAAGAACGCGACATAATTTCGTTTATCCCTTATCTCATCCGTAAAATTCCAGGGCGAGGAGGAACATCAATTTATGGCGCCAGATTTGAAGACGAAATTGACGATAGACTGAAACACACCGGAGCAGGCGTTGTTTCGATGGCAAATTCAGGCCCAAACACTAACGGATCTCAATTTTTTATCACTTTGGCTCCGACTCAACATCTGGATGGTCGACATACAATTTTTGGTCGAATAACCTCTGGAATGAAGGTTATTCAGAAGATGGGCAATGTAGACACCGATTCCAATGACAGACCGCTCCAAGAGATTCGCATTATCAAAGCTACACCTACTGAAGAGGCATTTGCTTGATCTACGTGGTCATGGGTAATTTAATCTCACATTTGATGTCTGATAACTTTATTGCTTGTTGTAACTTATAATTTCTGACGTTTCAAGGGATAAACTGTTATCATATAATTTATTTGATTGAAGTTTTTATTAAAAATTCGAAATTAGCTTGAAGTTGCTATTTGATATCTAAAATAAGGTGTTGAGAAGCGATTCGTCCACAATTTGTGGGACTGTGACCTTCAGGCCGGGCACAAGGCTCATAGTCTTGATGATGGTATCCCTTCCGTTCTGATTTCCCGACCAGGAGCGGCGAGCCACGCCGTTCGCCACATCCCAGGTCAGCATTAATTTCGCGCGTTTATCAGCGTCTTCGCTTCCGTCCAAAAGCAGGCCAAATCCCCCGTTGATGACGTCTCCCCATCCTACCCCACCCCCATTGTGAATTGAGACCCATGTGGCGCCGCGGAACGAGTCGCCGATCACGTTTTGGATGGCCATATCAGCTGTGTAGGCGGAGCCGTCGGTGATGTTGGAGGTCTCGCGGAACGGAGAGTCTGTGCCACTGACATCGTGATGGTCTCTGGAGAGGACTACGGGGCCCTGGAATTTATTTTATTATAGTTGGGAGAGATTTGGAGCCTCTAAATTTCGGTTTTACCTTATTTTAGGCTAAAATAAGGTGAAAATTCGATTTTTTGATTGTTTTTTAAACTTTTTTGATTTAAATTGGTTCGAAAAATTTAATTTCTAGCTGTAAATTTAATTTAAAATTAATAGAACATCGTTCTCTAGCGTATTTTACCAAAATTTTTGCGTCAAACACCTACTACAATATAAAAAAATCTCTTTACCTTCAGTTTCCCCTCCTTTACTGCCTTATTAAAAGCCAGCGCGATCTCAATTCGCCCCAACTGGTCCGAATACAGTATTCTGGCTTGACTTCCGACCACCATTTTATGTTCCCCTGCACCTTGAATCCATCGGCGATTGTCGATGTATTGCTGTTTTGTTTGGGGAGAAACTGAAATTTTGAAGAATTATGAATTGGCTGGAGGATATATAGGGCTTACCATTTGTGTCTGCGGCGAGTTTGTCGATGACTTCACAGGCAATTTTATCGGTTAACGCGAGGTCTTCGGGCAGGCCGGAGGTGCAAACCCAACGGAAGGGACCAAATCCAAGGGAAAAAATGTCGCTGAAAAAATTTAAAAATTGAAATCCGTTTGTTAACGACTCTTTGATTTTGATGAAATTTGATACAAATTTGGAGTACCACTTTCTAAGACATGTGCGACATTTTTAATTTGTGCTTTGCAAAAACCATCGAGATTTTTAGACCGAAATTGGAAAAATTCGCAACTTTTTTTTTCGATTTTCTGGAATTTTGATCGTCTTTTTGGTGATGAATTGAAAGCTTCTGCAGAAAATTATTTTTTTCCAAGGGAAGTTCATGGAGTTTTGACCGGAAAGCACTTTTTTCTCTGACCAACCCTCCTAGATTTACATGCTCTCTCGCAAATCGTTGAATATCTCAGCTGTCCCTTCAAAGGGTGAGCTGTAATTGATATCAGTCTGTCGGGAAAATAACGGCGGATTGTCGCAGCAAAATGTCTCGCCTCGCCGCTATCGCGCACCAAATCCCAAGCCACGGCTTGCAGTCGCAAAGCGATAATGGGCGATTCCGATGCGCGACGCTCCGCCGTTATTTTCCCGACAGACTGATATTCTGAGGGCCAGCTGAGATATTCAACGATTTCCGAGAGAGCACGTAAATCTAGGAGGGTCGGTCAGAGAAAAAAGTGCTTTCCGGTCATAACTCTACGAACTTCCCTTGGAAAAACCTAATTTTCTGAAGAAGCTTTCAATTCATCAACATGAAGACGCTCAAAATTCCAGAAAATCAAAAAAAGTTTCGAATTTTTCCAATTTCGGCCTAAAAATCTCGGTGGTTTTTGCAAAGTACGAATAAAAAATGTCGCACATGTCGTAGAAAGTAGAGTGACGGACCTGATCCAGTGGCAAAAAACGTATAATTTTGCATCCGGGAAGCATCAAAAATGTGGCAAAGTGCTTCCCTTTCCAAGTGAAAAAACTTCGTTTTGAAGGGCTCGCCTTTTCTTTTACAAAAAGCGCTTTTGAAATCGGAGTTTTTTTTTTACTTGGAGATTGAGGTATTTTGCCTTCCCGGATGCAAAAAGGTACGTTTTTTGCCACTGGATCAGGTCCGCCACTGTGGTAATCCAATTTTGTGTCAAATTTCATTCAGATCTTACACCTACCCCATAATATCCTGCATGTACGATGGGAACTTGAAAGATTTGTCGTCCTTGGCGTTCTCCGCCAAAATCTTTGCGCCGGCGCGATGACACTCCACCAAAAATGCGTTCCCATAATCCCAAAAGTACATTCCACGCTGCGCCAACTTTTCGATCGCCGCGATTTGCCGCAACAAACTTTTCTGGACCAATTGTTTGAACTTGTCCGGCTCCGAAGCCATCAAAGCGTTGGCTTCGGCGAACGAAATCCCCACCGGATAATAGCCGCCGTTGAAGGGGTTGTGGCAGGAGGTCTGGTCGGAGCCCAGCTCCACGAGTTGCTCCTCTTCTTGGGCCAGGCGTTCCCAGAGATCCACCACGTTTCCGTGGTACCCGATGCTCACCGGCTTTTTGAGCTCGCGATATTCGCGAATCCAGAACAGGATTTGGTTCAGATCCGAGCTGTGCACATCCAACCAACCTTGTTTGTGCCGTTTCAGCAGGGCTTCTTCACTTATCTGCAAAAAATTTGGGGGTTTTTGGATAAATTACCTTATTTTATGACTAAAATCTTGGAAAAATTACCAAAATTTGTTATTTTTGATGGGAATCATGTATGAAATAGAGTGTTATGAGCAGAAAGAGGTGTGCAAGTCTAGGCTAGAAAATTTGCGACATCAAATTACCTTATTTTAAGTTCAGAAATTCGAAAAATTACCAAAAATAGTAGAGTTATCAAGGTTAACCAAAAAAAATTTCAAAAAGTGATAAATTCGTGATTTTTTGCACCTAAAATACGGTAAATAGATATTCAAAACTCTCTAATAGTTAATGTCATGCCATTTAGAAACGAAAAGGACCTTTCTGCATTTCGAAAGATTAATAATTTCACTACAGTGGCGGACCTGATCCATTGGCCAAAAACGTATCATTTTGCATCCCGGAAGTATCAAAAATGCAGCAAAACACCTCCCTCTCCAAGTGAAAAAACTCCCATTTCAAAAGCGCGCCCACTCTTTTTGTGAGGGCTCCTTCTAAATGGAGTTTTTTAGTTGGACAGGGAGGCATTTTGCCACATTTTTAATACTTCCCGGATACAAAATGATACGTTTTTTGCCACTGGATCAGGTCCGTCACTGTAGCGAAATTATTATTTTTTCGAAATGCAGAAAGGCCCTTTTCGCTTCTGAGTGGCATGACGTTAACTATAAGAGAGTTTTGAGTATCTATTTACCGTATTTTAGGTGGTAAAAGTCATAAATCATCATTCTTTTGAAATTTTTTTTGATTAACTTTAGTATACTATCCTATTTTTTAACTATTTTTAAGTGTATTGCAACTAACTTGCCTCCGCAATAACTCCAACACAGCCCGAAATGACGGCCGCTTTTGCCTGCGCGCCACTCATTCCCCCCAATCCGGCGGTCACAAAAACTTTGCCCGCCAAACTCTCCACCCCCAAATACTTTCGTCCCGCATTCATCACAGTGATCGTGGTGCCATGCACGATCCCCTGCGGCCCAATATAGCAGTAGCTGCCCGCCGTCATCTGACCATATTGGGTAACGCCCAACGCGAAGAATTTATCGTACAATTGTTTGGTCGAGTAATTTGGAATCATCATTCCGTTGGTGATCACGACTCTGGGCGCGGTTTTGTGGGATGGGAAGAGGCCGAGAGGATGGCCGGAGTAGAGGGAGAGGGTTTGTTCGTCCGACATTTCGTACAGGTAGCGGAGGACCAAGCGGAATTGAATCCAGTTGGAAAATACCTGAAAAAAAGATGTTTTTTTAACAGGGGAAGTACTTCAAGTGCGACGCTCAGATTTTGATGAAACTTGGCACAAATTTAGAATAATGTTTTCTAAGACATATGCGAGAATCCTAGCTCGCGCTTTGCAGAAACAACCGAGATTTTTAGATCGAAAGTCGGCGAAAATGTGAGACTTTTTGCCGAATTTTGGCACGAAAATTTTCATACCTATTTCTACCCTAAAGGGTCATGTTTCTACAAAAAATCAATTTTTTCCGCGTGAAACTGGCAAAGTTATGGCCAAAAAGCGTTTTTATCTCTGACCGCTCTACGCGTGAAGCGTTCTCTCTTGGCGGCAAAGATCGTTCGATATCCCGGCTGCGCCTGCAAAGAGCGAGCTAAAACTTTCAGGAATTGATATCTAGTCTATGCCCGACGTGTCCGCAAAAATTTTCGCCTGTAAGTTACAAGTACCCTAAGTGCGACGCTCAGATTTTCTTAAAACTTTGCACAAATGTCGGGCATAAGCTAACTATCAATTCCTGAAAGTTTTAACTCGCCCTTTGCAAACGCCACCGAGATATTGAACCATCTTTGCCGCCGAGAGAGCACGCTAAACGTGGAGAGCGGTCAGAGAGAAAAACGCTTTTTGGTCATAACTTTGCCAGTTTCGCGCGGAAAAAAATGATTTTTTGTAGAAACATTACCCTTTAGGGTAGAAATAGGTATGAAATTTTTCGCGCTGAAATTCGCCAAAAAATCTTAAATTTTCGCCAACTTTCGATCTAAAAATCTCGGCTGTTTCTGCAAAGCGCAAGCTAGAATTTTCGCATATTTTTTAGAAAAAATCGTTCTAAATTTGTGCCAAGTTTGATAAAAATCTGAGCGTCGCACTTGAGGTAATTCCCCTATTAAAAAATCCCGAAAATACCTTAAAAAATTGTAACCTAAATTTTTGGCAAGTTTCATCAAAATCAAAATGAAGAAAAAACTTGAAAATTTGATATACCTGTCCATTTCCCCCATAAGTCACCAATTCCTGAGGGAATTGGGCCACCGCCGGGTCCAAATTGTTCAAAATCATGAGCACAATCGCGGCTCCCTCCCTCGTTTTGCAAGGGATTTGATCGATTGGAAGCGAGTTGAGCTGATGATTGGGCATGAAACGGTAGGCGTAGATGTGGCCATATTGCTCCAATTCCTCGGCGAATTCCTGCGCCAACTCTTGATGATGTTTGGCCGGCACATATCGGAGAATATTGGAGATGGCTTGCTGGAAAATGAAGTGGTGAAAGATGACTTATATGATAGAGAGAGAGTGGCAAAATTGAGGCTGGTTGTTGTTCAAAATGTAAATATTATTTTACAAGGGAAGTGTTCGAAATGCGACGCTCAGATTTTCTTTAAATTTTTGGCATAGTCTATGCCAAATATCCTGAATATTTTGGCCAGCAATTTGCCAGGGCAGCCGAGATATTCAAGGCTCGTTTGCGGCCACGAAGTCAAGAAATCAGGCAAAGTGTGGAGAGCGATCACAGAAAAAAAGCATTTTTTGGCTATAAAAGTCATCGATCTTCGTTTTTGGCCTCAAATTTTGGTCTTTTATATGTTACAATAACTCAGGATAAAGAAAACTAACCTTAGTAATAGCTAAAATTAGAAAAAGTGGACATATTGCAAGGCTCCGCCGAGCCTTCGCGGAGCGTTCGCAACGGGTTTTCCAGGCCTCATAGGCACTTCTACCACCTTTTTTTGGGGGGTATCTACCGTATCTACCTGTCCTAGGCCCTTTATCGATCGATTTTGTGTTGATCCCAAAAATCAAGACGCGAAAAAACGCCACCTTTTTTGCCAAATTTCGGCTCAAAAATCTCGGTTGTTTCTGCAAAGCGCGAACTATTCAGCAAAGTGCGAACTCTCGCATATGTCTTGGCAAAAATTATTCTAAATATTTTTGTGCCGGGCTTTATTAAAATATATATAAAGGTCGCATTTTGAGCACTTCTCCTGCCAAAATTGGTCATCATATTCGCTGTAACACTCTGTAACAAGAAAGTATACTTAAAAGACAGTAGGGCGTATTTTAAAAAACATTGAAAGATCAGGAATCCTAGAATATCTAAAATTTACCCTCTTCTCCGCAGTGTTCAGCGGGCAAATTCTCTTCGGAGCATGAGCAATCGGCAGCGCCCGTTGCTCCTTGGGGTACTCGATTAAAGTCGGCTCAAATGGGCAGGTTTCCAAGATTTGGAGGAGCTGTTGGTTGTTCATTTTGTCTAGAAATGTACTTTAATCATCAGTAAAAAGAAAAATAAAATATTAAAAGAGCATTTTTACTATTTTTACACCTCAAAAATATTAAAATATAGATTTTTTCAGCCAAAAAAAATATTTTTTTTTTTGCTCCAAAAACCACGTAAATTTTCCAAAACCACATGAAAAGAATCAAACAAGCTTAAAACCTTGTCCCTTCCGCAAAGACCGAAGACTGAGGGGCGATGTAAACCGATCAGTTATCTTTTTCCCATCAATATTATCAATCGCGCAACGAGCGAACATTCAATTCGATCAAGTGATCTTATCTCAAATTTGTTATAAGAATGGAACGTTATGCAACCAAAAACACGTCAAAACGAGAGCAGAGATCATGGTTGAGAAGCAAGAAAGGTACTGAAAAATTTTTTTATTTTTTCAAATTCATTATGGTTTTTGTGCCTTTCATGACTTGTTTCAAAAAGGTCTCCATTTCTTCAAAATTCTTACAGTTTTCAAACAAGATGACAAAGAGATTTACTGCATAGCACCCAAAAAGTGTACTTTATTAGGATGGCCCATAAGTCTTGTGTATTTTTGGGTTTGAGAATTAAAGTCTCGTTTCGCAGGCCTAAATGGATGCATCCCTTAAAGCACAAGTCAACGACCCCAAAATACATAAGACGTATGGGCCACCCTAATACTAGGCGGGCCAAAAAGTCTTGACATCTCTGCACAGTGCGCCGTCGTGCATGAAATTTGTCGCGCGGCGACAAGAAGCATTTAGGGTGCAATGCGACCCCGCACAGTGCAAAAAGATTGTTTTGAAAAAGGGTAAACAACGCACAGTGCGTTCTTCATTCGCACCCCGCCAAATTTTTATCGCGCGACACCTCGTCGCGACACCGAATTCATGCGCCCGCACGGTGCGAAAACATGTCAAGACTTTTTGGCCCGCCTAGTAGAATATTTTTTTTGACAAACAGGTTCCGTACTGGAAGAATTCAGATTTAGACGGCGCACAGCTTTTTTTCTACCTGGTGTGAAAGTATCTTATGATTACAAGGGATATCCCACCATACAGTGACGGACCTGATCCAGTGGCAACAAAACGTATTATTTTGCATCCGGGAAGTATCAAAAAACGTGGCAAAATACCTCCTTCTCCAAGTGAAAGACTTCGTCTTGAAAGGCGCGCCCTTTCCTTCAAAAAATAGCGCGTTTTTGAAATCTGAGTTTTCTCACATGATTCATAATCGAAAATTATAAGCAATTTTATCGTTATGCTACAGTGACGGACCTGATCCAGTGGCAAAAAACGCACCATTTTGCATCCGGGAAGTATCAGAAAATGCAGCAAAAGGCTTCCTTGTCCAACTAAAAAATCTCCATTTTGAAGGGCACCTCACAAAAAGAGCGGACGCGCTTTTGAAATTGGAGTTTTTTCACTTGGAGGGGAGGTATTTTTCTACATTTTTGATACTCTCCGGATGCAAAATGGTATGTTTTTTAGCATGGAGCAGGGCCGCCATTGCATTGGCATGTTTGAAATGTCATTTCCCCCTTTTTATCTTGAATTTCTCAGATTTTGCGGAAGAAAAATCATCTCGCCGCTCTCCAAAATCTAAATTCCCCCAAATGAGCAAAATTTTGAAGTCTTTATTCAAATTTGCACGAAAAAATTCGCAAAAGAAACGCGAAATTTATTCAAATTATTCAAATTACGTCTTCAAAGTGCAGACGGTTCGGTATAAAAGCGGGGGATCCCGACGTTTGGGCATCAGTTCGTCTGTTTCGTGTGAAAGATGGCCCAGTCTGTTCCTCCCGGAGATATCACCACCCAGCCCGGCACCAAGGTCGTGTTCAACGCCCCCTACGATGACAAGCACACCTACCACATCAAGGTAAGAGAGGGATACTGTAGAATGGGGATTACTCTAGGGTTAGGTAGGGTTATGGGTTACTGTAGGTCACTTTAGTCATCCAAATTTGGCGTAGATTTGATATAACAGTAGCTATGAAATTCCTGTTTCCTGAGGTGGCCGTAACTGCGATTTTGCTATAGTATTGAGCCTTGTACAACGATTATTATTATTTCGGTTCATATATGTTTTCTTTGCAGGTGATCAACGCCGGCGGTCGTCGTATCGGATGGGCCTTCAAGACCACCAACATGAAGCGTCTCGGCGTCGACCCCCCATGCGGAGTCCTCGACCCCAAGGAGGCCGTCTTGGTCGCCGTCTCCTGCGACGCCTTCAACTTCGGCCAGGAGGACACCAACAACGACCGTATCACCATCGAGTGGACCAACACCCCCGACGGAGCCGCCAAGCAGTTCCGCCGCGAGTGGTTCCAGGGCGACGGTATGGTCCGCAGAAAGAACCTCCCCATCGAGTACAACCCCTAGGCGATTGTTGGCTCTCTGCTAGTTGTGTTTGTCGTTGTGTAGAATAAAGTTTTGGATCTTTTTTTTTTGGTCTTCGTTTTTTGGAGCTACTTTGAATTGGGCCATGTGCAATGTTGTTGTGATATATGTGGCATCTTTTTGGCTCAATTTAACTTAATTTTCCTATGCAGTAGTGGGATTTTTTGAAAATATATTGATTTCCGACAGTTTTAGAGCTTTTTTGAGATTCTTCAGGTTTTCGCTGTGGGACCAAAACTTGAGATCCTTTTTGGCTACTCTATTGGTTTTCTGGGTCTTCCCAATACATAATGTATATCTAAGAGCGGTTTTGGCTTTGTTTATGGCCATTTTACGGAGGTCAGGATTTCGCGGTGGGACCCTGATTTTATTTTATTTTGGCTTAATTTAACTTTTTTTTCTATTCAGTAATGGCGTTTTTAATCACTTTTTGTGAAGATATATTGATTTCCGACAGTTTTAGAGCTTTTTTGAGATTCATCAAGTTTTCGTTGTGGGACCAAAACTTCAAACTCAAAATTCGAATTTTCAAACGATACTTTTATGAACAGATAAAGCAAAAATTGTAAAATACTCCGTACTCAAATTTTTCGTTATTTTGAATTTCTGAACCCTAGACTGGTCGCCCTTTCTGTGCTCTCCGCTTTTTCAATGTTCCCTTTCCCTTTTCTCATCACTAATCCATTATGCTCTGGTTCACCACGCTTCATTTACCGGATTTACCTTGTTAATCGCCCCGCCATTCTCTCATCTCGTATGCAAAGCCGGGAGGGGTTTCGAACACTCGTGGTTATCATATTATTCAATTTGTCGCTGGTGTTTTGGCCAAACCGAAAAATTGTCGAGTGTTTGGTATGTTGGAGACCTATTTTTCGAGCGTCAGTGGATGTAAGTGGCCTGAAATTTATTTTTGGGGTGTTTGAAAGTAGCCAAGGCTTGTCAGGACGACTATTTTTTTGCTTTCCAGATGCTTTTTTATTCCAAAATTTTTGAATTTTTTTTTGTCAATTTTTTGTATAAAATGTCGATTTTCGGTAAGAATAGGAATAAATCATTTTCCTAGAGACGTAAAAATTAAATATGGAGCTTTTTAGAGAATTAATTGTGTCATTATGACGACTTTTTTCGAGTTTTTGACCATTTCGACACTTGTTTCAGGGATTTTCAAAATTTTCGTATAATATGTCACCCTAACTCAAAAAAAATAAGCTCGCTTTTTACAATCAAAATTATACTGTTCATCCAATACCAAAAAATCACGTCGTATTTTAGACGTTCAACAAGCTTTGGACCCAATTTTACTCCGATTTGTCCCCGACTACAAGGTTCAACCGGGATTTCCGCAATTTCGACGGAGTTGCGAAGTGTAAGACCCATTTATTTCTGTTCCGACTGATGTAAAATACAATGGAAATTATTGTCTTTATTTGGTTTTAGCCGCCCACCAGATTGGGAGTCCAAAAACGAGGTGGAAATGGCATTAACCCCTCGAATTCAAGAGGTACGGCCAGAAAAAATGACAAAAACTAATGATAAAAAGTAAGTTGATAATCGGATTTTGTATACGTTGTATTGAGTATGTCCTGTAGAAGAATTTTGAGTGATTTTTTTGTGAAAAAATTTTGAAATACCATCAGTATGACAGATTATTTGGAAAGTCATTCTCTCCGATATTTTTCTAAATTTTTGGTCAATTTTTTTTTCAGCAAAATCCCACATTGGCCTGAGCCGGATGGCCATCAATATGATGCTTCGATGGAGAGTGGAATTTGGTTTGCTACTGCCGAAAAAGAAAGCGATATCTCCGAGGAAAGGCCGCTTTGTCGACGGAATGCCAAAAAATACGTTCGAAGGGAAAAAGAGTGAGTTTCAAAAAGATTGGAGATGTAAAATACGTCATTTGTATCATTTTCCATCCTTGGAGGGTCATTTTATTCCACTCGTTTTGAAAAATCTCAGTTCTCCGAAAATTTTTGGTCCCACCACGAAAACCTGAAAACATTAAAATAGCGGGAATAAATTTTAAAATACGGTCTATGACACTCTAGAGATCTTGTCTTTTAATTTGGACTATAAATTTTTGGTAAAATACGTGTTATTGATCTTAATTGAGGTCCCACCACGAAAACTTGGAAAGTCTCAAAAATGGCAGAATTTGCGCTTACTAGGGAAGTGTACAAACGAACCCTCACCAAATGGAAAGTGATATACACCATTGGAAAGCCCTTGAAAAATGGTGCAAGACACCATTTTCATTTTTTGCAGAATGCCTTTCCGCGACGACATACTGTAAATTTCATTATTTTTAGGTCATTTCGCAACAAAAAGCTTTCTTTCTCTTGAGCGGATAAAAATCCTCGAAGAGGGTTGCTTCAATAGTGCAGTGGTTGCTGAGCAGGCTGATAAGCCAAACCAAGCTAGGTTCGATTCCTAGCTTGGGCAAAAACATTTTGCGTTCTTACAGTTAGGATAATATTTGAGTTAAACTTTTACAAAGTTTTTAATTTTGCTAGAAAACGGTCGATTACGGTTAAACCCATCAAACTTACATGTTTTTCAAAATTAAAAAAAGTGAAAAGTGTTTTTTCATGTTGTGGGTGTTTAAAACCAGTAAATATCATATGTAAAATGGTTTTACTGGCAAGCGCCAAACTTCATAATGATTCTTAGGCCAACCTAGTAGCAATATTTACCATTTAGCGTTTTGAAATAAGATTTATTTTGCCCCACAGCAGATATTGTAACTACTTAAGGGACAAAACAACCGTTTATAATTTTTTGCCCTGGGGCATTCTGCAAAAAATGAAAATGGTACCTTTCACCATTTTTCAAGGGCTTTCCAATGGTGTATAACACTTGCCATTTGGTGAGGGTTCGTTTGTACACTTCCCTAGTTAGATAAAATACAGGGTGCGGCAAAAAAATGGAAACTTATCTTTATAGCTATATTTTTCCTAATAATCCAAATTCCGCAAAAGTAACGGTCATCTTCAATAACATAGAGCATTGTTTATAACATATTCAACCCGTTTTACCGTGGCTGCTTTTGGTGGCGATATAGAGCTCCAAACGTGACTTAAAATTTTGGCCTTTTGGCCGCAGCTTTTTTCGGGGAAATCGGTCCCGTTCTTGACGCAGCGATTACTTTGCGACTCCAAACTTTTGTGGCGTGTAGTGCAGATGCTGGTCTCCAATTGAAAAAAAAATACAGTCCATTGGATCTATACCCGGCGAGCAGGCGCTCTTTTCGCAGACGGGGTGAAATCGGGAAAATCGGTCTCAAAATCGGTCTTGACTCGTTGTTGCCCTGTGAGTCGGCGCTGAGTCTAGTTGGAACGTCAAATTTGCGCTGTCAAGGTTCTACTGAGCCAACAGAAGCATGAGGAAATCGAAGTTAACGCGGCGCTAGAATTTTGCCCGCTTGATCCACGAAAATCTCGGAATTCTTGCCGCTGGCACAAATTCCGCCTTAGGCGATGACGGCCCTTATTTTGACGGTGTTCGTCGTTAGCCGACGTGCAGGGGGCCTCATCCGATGGGACTATGACGTTCTGTTGGTTGTGCACCCGCCAAAGATTGCACCGCGAAGGGAATGCGCTCCCATCGCGGACCTGCGGCCCGACGTCGGAATTTGCGCCATTTTTTCAGGCGTACCGGCTTGATCTTGCCGATTAGGAGTTGGGCATTTCAGACCTTGCGTGGGGAGACTTTGAGTTGATTTTTATCAGTCTGTCGGAAAAATAACGGCGGATCGTCGCAGCAAAATGTCTCGCCTCGCCGTTATCGCGCACCAAATCCCAAGCCGCGGCTTGCAGTCGCAAAGCGATGATGAGCGACTCCGAGGCGCGACGATCCGCCGTTTTTTTCCCGACAGACCGATAGCTATTTGGCCGACTGGTCGGTTGCTGATGCCGGTCTCACGGGCAATTTTTTCTCGAAATCGACGGATTTCGCTATTGATGTCTCCGCGGCTAGCAGAAGTGTTGGCGGTGCGTTTTCTTTCGCTCACTGGACGCTTAAAATTGTCAAAAAGCTCCCTGCGTTGTTTGATGACTTTGGACACAACGTGCTTTCTATGCCGGGCAAATTAACAGTTCGCACAGGTAAAAAACAGGTCCGAAATCGAGGTCCCTCTTTTTGTCATTCAAAAAAAGAATGTTAATAAACCGATATGGACATGAAATTATAAGGTCTAGGAGAGAAAGCTACGTAGAATTTAATGGTATGAAAATAATTTTGCTGCACTTAAAAATTTTTGCGTCAGGACCCAATGAAAAAAGTTTCCATTTTTTTGCCGCACCCTGTATTAGACCCAAACAACAAGTATGTGGCTAAAAATTCTTATTTTTTATATAAAATTAACCTTTCTCCCGATAAGCCATTTGGTCCCGCAACGAAAACTCCAAAAAATATTATTATGGTAAATTCAGCGATATCTCCAAACAAATCGACTTGATCATTCAAAAAGTGCAAGCTTCGTTGTCCTCATCACCACAAATCTACGTCACAATTGCCAAATCCACGACAAGAGCAGCGAATTTGAGCCGCAACAGGTTCCAAAGGACCATGAATAACATCATGAGGCTGGAACCAATCCCCGAACACGGTGAAATGGAGTTGTAGATGACTTTATTGGATCACAAAGCGCCTATTATTGATGACTGTATGTAAAAATTATTTTTTTCGCGATGAAATTAAATTTGTGATATTACACTTGACATCTATTTAATTTTAATAGTTTTATTATGGCAATAAAATTGTAAATTCAAAAAATAACTTGGAATACCTTTATTTAAAGTTATTATGAATCTTTTTTGTTTAGATTTTGATGAAATTTGGCGAAAATTTTGATTAGAATCTACCACGACGTATCAGATTTTTAAGCTCGCGCTATGCAGAAACCGCCGGGTTCCCTCACAAATTTCCGATTTGCCCACCGAAAATTTCTCAAAAATCCCGAAAAATGAAAAATTTATTCAAAGTTTGTATTCCCACCAAAGCGCGGTGGGTTTGGAATAAAAGCGGGGGATCCGGCGTTCGGCCCTCAGTTCGTCTATTTCGCAGCGAAAGATGGCCCAATCTGGTCCGCCGGGGGATTCCAACAACCAGCTGAAGGTGGTTTTCAAATTTAGCGTAGTTTGGAATTAAAGTTACAGTAGTTATTTTGACTGTCTAGAAGTTTTTGGCATTCCGTTTTAAGTTTGAAAAAGTTGTCGGGAAAGATAGAGTGGCGGACCGGACCTGATCCAGTGGCAAAAAGCGTTCCATTTTGCATCCGGGAAGTACCAAAAAATGCAGCAAAATACCTCCATCTCCAAGTGAAAAAACTCCCATTTCAAAAGCGCGCCCGCTCTTTTTGTGAGGCGCCCTTCAAAACGGAGTTTTTTTAGTTGGGGAGGGAGGTATTTTGCTGCATTTTTGATACTTCCCGGATGAAAAATGGTACGTTTTTTGCCACTGGATCAGGTCCGTCACTGTAGTAACATTAATATTTATGTAGTAGGGTAGTTAAGTCGTCAATTTGACGCGTCAGCCACGTTGTCAAATAACCGGCATTTTCGTCATGTCAGATTGCTCAGATTGTTGTGTCATTTTGCTTGTCAAATTGAACTTTTTTGGAATCATTTTTTTTAGATTTTTGTCTAAAAAATCATAAAAATATAAAATTTTTATGAACTAAATTGCTCCTTTTTTCAAAACGACCGATGAAACATGCAGTAAAATTAGCTACAAGTCACATCAATATTCATCATAGTTCATGTTAAACTAGCGTGTGAAAGCTTCGGTCAAATTAACAACCCGAGTATTTAGACGATCGCTGATGACAAAACAATAACCCAATCAGCGCGACAACACAAGAATTCCGCGAAAGGCAAGAAAAATTTGTGGGACCTGGTTTTGGCCGAGGCCACCGCTGATCCGCCGAGGAGAAGATTGCCGATCATCTTCGATTATGATCACGGGCAGTATGTAAGTCAACACATGGTGTTCGTATACTATTAAGAGTATAACAGCAAACTTTACAGAACTCAAAAATTTAGATTTTAATTTTTTTTGTTTTTTAAAAGTTTTTCGTATAAAATGTCTCCTTGGACTAAAAAAATGATTTGCAGTTGGGAGTTGTGTTCTCGAGTCGTCTTGGAGTCCTCGAAGTGGATCAACGGCCGGGAGTCTCGCCGCTGTGGGACAAGATCAAACTCAGTGACATTGTTCGGCAAGTCGGGAATGTCAAGGTAAATTCGCATGGGCAAAACACGAATTTATCGTCTAGGTTTCGAGTAAATCCGAGCTGATGCAATGCCTGAGGACTCAGCCGTCTCCAATCTCGCTTTTGGTCGAGAGATTTGTCACTCTCCACCGATTGACGCCAGCCAGGGCCAAATGGAATAATGTGGATTTGAAAACTTGCGTAAGATCAACATAAAGCGAAACATTCGTATAAAAAACCGAAATCGCAGTCTTTTATGGTGTCTATTTTCAGAATGACGTCCCTCTGACGGCCTATCTTCTACATCGTAGGAATGCGAAACTCGGGTTTTCGGTAAAGGCCATGGGCACTTTGGTGGTCGTAATGAAGGTGGATGAAGGGTTGGGTGAGCAATTTGTCTTTCAAAATATTTAACAAGATGTCTGATATCTCTTTTTATCATATGTGGGATCTTTTTCAAGCTCTTGGATGCCTTTTTAGCCATTATCTTACACTTAGGGCCAAGTTTAATATGTCTCATTTACCTATGAATACAGAATTTTTGGAACCGAAAAATCATTTATAATGGCCTGTAGACACATATACTTGGTATTTACTAGACTTGAATTATTTTTAGACAACTTAATCATCGTTATATTACACTTCATACCTAGTGTAATATACCGTTGTATACCTTAGCCTGGTTAGAAATCTTAACCTCCAAAAGCTTCATAGTACTTGTCCGTTCTATGAAGCCCTTTCTTATCTTCCAAAACAGTGTTTTTAACCCTTTTTCACCATTATAATACACTTGACATCTACTGTAAAATAATGTCTTATATTTCCTAGCCTATGGGATTCTGGAGCCTGGCGATATCATCATGGATATAAATGGAGAGAAGATTACGAATTCTGATCAAGCCAAAACGTTGCTGCAAAATTCGTTGAAGAAAAATGCAATTGTTTCTTTGGCCATAAAGCGGCCGATGACGCCCGAAACGTTGAACAAGGTGGCTGCGGTTATCAACGACGACACGAACGACCCGGAAATGCAGATTGATGCCATCTTGATTGGGAGAAATGAAGCCTGCAAACGTCATATGAACCTGAGGAATAAACCCAAAAACAAAATCTTGGTAAAGGTGGGTAATATAAAGTAAATTAAACGCGTTAGTCTTAAAAAGTTAGTCTTAAATATGCTGAATAGTTGTTAGATCGCTTCCATTTTCTTTTTCAAGGATTTTTTCGGTCATATCTGCCCAAAATTTTCACACTGTAGCTGTAAATTCCGCACTGTGCAATCATATTTATCTAACTCCAAAAATATGTCGTATTTTAGCAAGTTACAAAAAAATTTTTAACAAGATAGACTCCTTCTGACTTGTTCTTTATCTATTTTCGTTTTGTAAAATACGGTCGGTACTGTTCATCGTTATATACGACATAGAAATGTAAAACAACTGCATTGTGCAGTCAAAAGATTTTCACTTTTTTATATTACACCTTTCATTTCAGAGATCCTCCTCTACAAAACACACTGCAATGTGCCTCGAGAAGAATGTGACCGAAGACATTCATTCCGAAGTCAATTCCAAAGATTGGGATGATTTACAGGCGGTCCCGCCTCGACTAGATTTCAGTTCTTTGTCGTCTTCAGGCAACAACCAAAAGTCGAGTGGTCTGAAGAAACGGTTCAAAGTCTTGATGGACACGTTCTTTTGAATTGAATAAAAATCATTGAAATTTTTTGAATTTGAAATTTTTTTATTTATATTGTTGTAGGTTTAGGAATTTATAGAAAATATTTTTTGGGGTTTGGAAAAAAGTCAGTAGGAGTCTATCTTGTTAAAAATTTTTTTGTAACTTGCTAAAATACGACATATTTTTGGAGTTAGATAAATATGATTGCACAGTGCGGAATTTACAGCTACAGTGTGAAAATTTTGGGCAGATATGACCGAAAAAATCCTTGAAAAAGAAAATGGAAGCGATCTAACAACTATTCAGCATATTTAAGACTAACTTTTTAAGGCTAACGCGTTTAATTTACTTTATATTACCCACCTTTACCAAGATTTTGTTTTTGGGTTTATTCCTCAGGTTCATATGACGTTTGCAGGCTTCATTTCTCCCAATCAAGATGGCATCAATCTGCATTTCCGGGTCGTTCGTGTCGTCGTTGATAACCGCAGCCACCTTGTTCAACGTTTCGGGCGTCATCGGCCGCTTTATGGCCAAAGAAACAATTGCATTTTTCTTCAACGAATTTTGCAGCAACGTTTTGGCTTGATCAGAATTCGTAATATTTTCTCCATTTATATCCATGATGATATCGCCAGGCTCCAGAATCCCATAGGTTGGGAAGTATAAGCCATTATATTACAGTGAATGTCAAGTGTAATATAACGATGAAAAAGGGCCAGAAACAATTTTTGATCATTCGCGCAGATTTCATTGGAAAATAATTTACGCTACCTTGTAAACATTCATTTTACTAGGTTAACTTTTCGGCTTCAAAAAAGCGAAAAAAAAAATTTTTTTGACTGCACAGTGCGAGGAAATGTTCTTCAATTTTTGATGCTCCAGGCCACCAATACAAGGAAAAATCAATCCAAAAAGGTAAAACAAGCCTCTACCTCGCATTTTATAACCATTCCTGGCTTCACACATATACAAATTAGGTTAAAATACGTCAGCTTTACTTCATCGCATTTTCGCACAGTGCTGATGACAAAAAAATGAACTTTTTCGCAAAAAAACTCGTAACTTCAAATCCAAAAACATCCAAAAGATAAGGAAGGCCATAAACCACCATTAGAATACCAAGAAACTTAAATAAGTGCCATTTTATTTATTCAAGTTATCATAGACATCAATCAGAACAAAAAAAATTTTTTAAAGTGAGAACAACAACATATATAATAATTAGATACATTATCCAACAACAATTCCAAAACTAGGAGGGCCATCCGGGATTCAGGGAGGAAATTAGACAGACGGGAGCCCGGATATTCCCCTTCAAACATCAATTCAAACCTTCACTTAATGTCTACTATAATATCATCCTCTAGAACACATTATATCTTCCTCCCGTAGGTTGTCTGCCCTGCATTAGGGAGGCTCTGAGCTGTTCTCTCATGATTCGAATAATTTCCTCTTTTGCTCGCCGCAGGGCCGGCTCATCGCGGGCTTGAAGGAGGAGGTAGAGCTTCTGATCCTGGCCTTCCCGGGGCTCCTTTCCTGGTGGATAGTGGGTTCCTTTCACTGAGATTCCAACGTTCGCAAACTCTTCCACTTGTGCGATACTCTCCTGCAAATAAAATTGGGATTATTCGATAAAAAAAGGGAAATTTTAAAATTTTTGGGTAAGATGTATAATATCAGAACGTCTGAAATAGCGGTCAAAATTCATTTTCTATTCTTTCACACTAATCCATAGGCCGCTAGACGAATTTCTAGCCCAAAATACCCTCATTTCAAATCCAAATTTGACCCAAGATCATCAAAAACTTAATAATTTTTTTCTAGTCTCAAAAAAGGTATTTTTAAAAAATTGGAAGCAAAATTTAAATCAATTCAGGTATCATTCGACCAGAAATTTCATAGGACAGGTTCTAAACATATTCTGCTTCAAGAAAAATAACTTTTTCACCAATTTTGTCTACTACAATATAAAACCCAAAAAATTGAAAAAAACCTCGAAAAAAAAATTCCTTCCCATTTTTCGATGATAAAAGCATTTTCATCTGTTCCAAAAATCAAAAAAACCTCTCTCCCACTTACCCTTGAACATATTTTATATCGAATTTGTTGTGGGAAATCGTTGATTTCGACCTCTTCCTCAAAGTAATTCGTGTGGAAATCTGGGTTCACAGATGGATGAATGGCTGACGGTAAGTAATTCAGCCTCGAATTTAGTCGCTCAGCGATCTGTTTGGCCTGCGAAGTGGCTGATAATTTTAGTTCGGGAGCCCTTTCTCCTCTGAGGACAGCTTCGGCCGTGACGGCGGTTGCGTCCTTCTCCGCGACTTGAATGGCGCCGAGCTGTTTTTCTTTGGCGATTCGTTCGGCGGCAGCTCTAGCCGCTGCGGCTTTATTTTCCTTCTCTTTGAGCTGTTCTCGAGTTGGTTTTGGGCCTTTTCCTTCTTTCGCGGGTGCCGTGCCTGACGGGCCGGGGGTTTCTGTAATCGGGACATGTTTAAAACATCAAAGAACCTCCAAAAAATCCAAAAAATACCAAAAAAAAATTTCAAAAAAAAAATTTTTTTTAATTCCTCACCAGTTTTGCCGAATCCGAACGGATCATCGATAGTGTCCCTCTTTGTGACCTTGCTTTTGCTCTTCATCAACATCAACAACTGCTCCTCGATCGCCTCATCATCCTCATCAGCGCCGGCTTCAATTCCATGGACCAACTTGGTGAACATTCTCTTGCTCAGCTCATGCTCACTTTCCGCTTCGTCGTATTTGAAGCCGGATCCACTGTAGCCACCGCCACCGAGGATTACCTGAAAAAAATATATGAGCACTACTTTGCACGATGCGAAAAATTTCAAAATATCGCGCGGTGCGTTTAAAAAACATTTTCCGCACAGTCCAATGAAACGAAATAATAGAAAGTTTCGACTGCACAGTGCGAAAAAAATAAGAATATCGCACGGTGCGTAAAACAAAATTCCACACGGTGCAATAAAATCAAAAAAACCAGTTACAAGTTTCGACTGCACTGTGCGAAAGATAGAAACAAATCGCACAGTGCAACCGCAGAGGAAATCTGCACCGTGCAGACAATCAAGCCGCCGCCACCGGTGAGAAAAATAAATTTTGCACTGTGCAAAAAAATCAAAAACCGCACAGTGCAATGAAATAAAAAAAGACAAAGTTTCGACTGCACTGTGCGAAAAATGGTGGGGAAAGCAAATTTTGCACCGTGCGAAAAAACAGTAAAAATTCCGCACTGTGAAAAAAAATTAAATCGCATTCGAACTGTGCAAAAAATTTTCAATATTGCCTTTGCACTGTGAAAAAAACTTTCCAAAACCTGCACAGTGTACGAAAATTTTTTAGACATTCCTCGCAAACTTCTGTTCCCCTGCTTACCTGTTTTCCCTCAGCTTCTTGTTCCGCTTTGAACTTGTCGAACAGTGCTTTCACATCTGCTGGGGGTTCAATTCCAGCGGTTTCGAATGCGCGGCACACCTCTCCAGCCAATCGTTCTTGTCCCACCGGTAGAATAAAAGTAAACGCATATCCTTTGTTGCCGGCTCGACCGGTTCGCCCCACTCTGTGGACGTAGTCTTCGTAATGGTTGGGGCAGTCGTAGTTGACCACCAAAATGAGATCCTTCACGTCTAGGCCGCGGGCTGCCACCGAGGTGGCGACCTGAAAATAAATATGTCTTAAACAGCCAAGATACAAAAAATTGTTACAGTACCCCAAAAAGATTTTAAAAAACCCTGATTTTTGGCCTTTGCACTGTGCGAAAAAAGTCAGAGTGCAAGCGACAGCATAAAAAAGCCTATTGCACGGTGCAAAAAGCCAAAAATTGCACAGTGCAAAGAAAAGTTTTGTTTTCGCACAGTGCATGTCGCAGAGATCACTCCAGCGACTTTGCACTGTGCGAAAAAAGTCAGGGTGCGAGCGACAGCCGGAAGAAGCCTTGCACGGTGCAAAAAGGGAGAAATTGCACAGTGCGAAGAAAAGTTTTGTTTTCGCACAGTGCATGTCGCAAAAACCACTCCAGCGACTTTGCACTGTGCGAAAAAAGTCAGGGTGCGAACGACATCCAAGAAAACCCATTGCCCGGTGCAAAAAGTAAGACATTGCACAGTGCAAAGAAAAGTTTTGTTTTCGCACAGTGCATGTCGCATAAATCACTCCAGCGACTTTGCACAGTGCGAAAAAAGCCAGAGTGCGAGCGACAGCCCAAAAAAGGTTATTGCACAGTGCAAAAAGGAAGAAAAACGAAAACTCTCAAAACTACCGTAACCCAAAAAAAATTTTTTCAAAAAAACCCACCAAAATCTTCAATCGTCCCGATTTATAGTCAATAATCGTTGAATCCCGATCGAACTGGTCGATTCCACCATGCAGTGGGGCACAATTATAGCCGGCGCCCATCAATTCGGACACCAATTCGTCAGCTTTTTCCTGTTTTTCCACAAAAACCAGGACTGAGCCGAGCTCGTAGTATTGGCCGAGTAGTTCGAGGAGCTTCAATAATTTTATATGTTCATCCACTACCAATGCATGTTGATCTACGTCGCCGCAAACGACGGATTTTCCGCCAACCTAAAAATAAAAAAAACTTTTTTTGATCCAAAAATTTTTTTAGGTAAAAAATCGTATCTTACCTGAATCTCCACGGGCTCTCGGAGCACTTTCCGCGCCAGGGCTTCCATGCGTTTGGGGAAGGTGGCTGAAAACAAAACGGTTTGCCGATCGGGCCGGATATTGTTTACAATTTTCATGACTTGTGGCTCGAAACCCATGTCGAACATGCGATCGGCTTCGTCCATGACCAGGTAGGTGACTCGGCGGAGGTTCGTGACCTTGCCTAAACAGCGGCAAGTTAATTTTTGAAGGACAATTCCAAAATTTTTGAAAAATTTATATTGTAGTAGGCAAAAAATCGCAAAGAATAATAGAAAATCACCCCAATCCAAAAACCACAAGAAAAAAGAAGTCTAAAAATGTCATCTATGAACCATTTCTTTATGATCTTACCTAGTGTAATATAAAAAATATCCAAAAATCAAGATAAATCAACAGAAAAATATATTGTAATAGGTTCAAACCATTCTCAAATCAAATACCATGCAATTTTCCAACTATTCCGACCTCTCACCAGTAAAAAAATTCAATTTTCATCCACTTTTCCACCAATTTTGCCTAGTACAATATCCCAAATCTTAAACTCACCCCCATTGGCCGCGAGCATGTCAATCATTCTTCCCGGTGTGCACACAATAATTTCCGCGCCTTTTTTGAGGTCCGCGATTTGATCCGAAATGCCAACACCACCGTAAACGCATACAACTTGAAGCTCCAGGGCCTTTGCAAACTTCTTCGCTTCCTTGTAGGTCTGAAGGGCCAGCTCTCGGGTGGGAGACATGACAATCGCAATAGGGCCGTCCATTTCGTCCAACGGATCCTGGTCCATGATGTGGCGGAACATTGGCAAAAGGAAGGCCAAGGTTTTTCCGGAGCCGGTTTTGGCAATTCCGATGACGTCACGGCCACTTAAAATTGCTGGAACTGCTTGGGCTTGGATCGGAGTGGGCTTTTGATAGTTCAATCTACAATATTTTGGCCATTAGCAACAGTCAAATACAAAAAAAAACGGCAAAACGACACTTTCCCAAAAAAAAAATTCATTTTTTCCTCAAAAAAATCTCAAAATCTCCTCTTACTTTTTCAAAACGTTCATGACTTTGGTCTGCAGACCGGCTTGAGCCCAGTTCTTGATCGGTTTCGGCGGCTTCTTCCCCCTAACCGAGATATTATCCAAAGATTTTCGGTATTCATCCACTTCCTTCTTTGTCATCCTTTGCAGGTCCGGAACTTCGTGATAAAAGTCCTTTCGGAACTCTTTGTAATAGACTTTGGTGTGATCCGTCTCTTGCAGATGCTTGGATCTCGCCATTAACGTCTTCATTTCCTCGCCCATATCGAAATCTTCGATGATTCGAGCCGGCTCCTCCTCATTGTCAATAATATCGCCTTTTGCCGGGCCGTCGGTGGTCTTGTCCGCTTCGGATATTACTACGCGACGTGTGGCTGGCTTGTCATCTTTCTTGGCCTTCTTGTCCGACTCGGCGAGGGAGGCCATGTACGCATCAAGAGGATCTTCATCATCACCATCGGATGCTTGGGTGACTCTAAAGTAATATAATTTTCAGATCTTTTCCAATTTTGTTTCCTAAAAGTCAAAGACAAAAAAGATAAACTCTGTTTACCCATTATTATTATCCACATCCATGTCATCCAACTCATCATCACTGTTTTCTTCGGATTCGGAATCTTCCTCATCCACATCTTCGTTCTCATCAACAAGAACTCCCTCTTGCGGTTCGGAATGACCATTATGGGTTTCTGTTTCGAGCTCTAGTTGATCTTTAGCTTCCTGCAAACGTGCTTCGTGCCGTTCGCGGGCTCTACGCCACTCTTCAACTCGCTCACGACGTTTTCGAGTCTCTTCTTCCAGCTGAAATGAATAGGTTTACTTTTTCAAAAATGAAATTCTAAATGTTGTTGCTGACTGGCCAAATACTTTCATACTGCCACAGATATTCATGCTCTCCATCTAAACACAGAAGAAGGAACAGAAAATAAAACCAACTTACCTGTGCAGCTATTCCCGTCAATTTATCGCTATGAACTTCGCCCTCAGCGGGTTTCTTCGCTTCCTCTTTCTTATCCTCATCTTTATCCCGTTCTCTGTCACGATCACGATCACGCCGCTCCCGACGTTCACGATCGCGGTCTTTGGGAGATCTGGAACGATCTCGCTCCCTCCTGTCACGTCGATCGCGGTCTCGAGGAGATCTGGAACGACGCCGACGATCTCGATCTCTGTCGCGATCACGGTCTCCTCTATCACGATCTCGACGGTCGGACATGTCTGTAAACGAAGTTGTGAACTATCTTCTACGACAACTCTGAAGAGCAAACACAAATCTCGCAAAAAAAAGAATATTTATATTATATTTTATCAATGCGCTATTTTTCTGCAAAACAAAACATTATTAGCTACAAACAAATCGACTTGCAACTCATTCCGCAGAGAAAATCAAGAAGAAACAATTTCGCAACAGAAAACTGGTAAAAACATTTTCCCGGAAATTTCGTGGCATTTCGTTTAAGAAATTATTGGATTCATAACGAAGTGTCACAAAAATTATTGGATTTCAATATAGGGCTTTGAAACTCTTGGAAACGAGTGATAAACAAAATTAATGGGCGATTCAGAAGGTTTTACCTGTTTTCAAGTATATTAAGACCATATTATTTTGAGTTTTAAAGCAAATTACAATGTTGTAGGCGATTCTTCAACATTTTCTCAATTCATTATCGTTTTCCACGGGATAAATTAGTTTATTGCGCAAGTCTTGCAAAAAAAGCCAAAATGGAGGCACTGAGGACATTCAAGAGTACTGAGCACGATGCGGTGAAAGCGCCTTTGCCCTTTTCATCTCCTTTTCCACCTTTGCCTCCACCTCCGCCTCCGCCTTGGCCACCACCGCCATTTCCATCATCATATTCTTCCCATTGTGGGTCGTTCCCCTTCTCGGTAATAGGCGCCAGCCATATCTCGAACTTATTTTGTTCATCATTCGATTTCAAGCCGATGCAGTAATCGCTGAGGAAGTTCTTCCCCAAAATTATTTCATCCTCGGGGGCTCCGTCTTTAACGAGAACTTCCAGCTTTTCGTGCTTGTCGTCGCCGTAGTTCTGAAGGTTTAGTTTGCCGATGGTGAAGTTATTGTCACCGCCAAAATTGATGGAAATTTCGGGAAGGTCCGCTTCGCCTTTGTCTTTGAATTTGGCGTCGTATATTGTGGTAGGCACGGTGATCAGTTTGTCAAAAGAGAAGGAAATGGTCTTTGTTTTATATTCGGTGCCTCCAATTGTCACTCTAAAAAGGATTTTCTTGAGTTTCAAACGTATGAACCAACAAATGCCTTTCCCAACCGACTCCCCTCGTTTTACGTGCTCTTTCCCAAAATCGTCATTCCGAAAAGTCGCCGGACTAATTTTTGGAGTTTCCGCTGTGCGAAAAAAGTCAGGGTGCGAGCGACAGCCAAAAAAAGCCTATTGCACGGTGCAAAAAGGAAGACATTGCACAGTGCAAAGAGAACTTTTGTTTTCGCACAGTGCATGTCGCAGAAACCACTCCAGCGGCTTTGCACTGTGCGAAGTAGGGTGCGAGCGAGAATTCCATCGATTGCGACCCCGCATCGATTGCGACCCAGCATCGATTGCGACCCCGCATCGATTGCGACCCAAAATGGGGTAAAGCGACCCCGGGATGAAAATTCCTTGATTCTCTTCGGGAAAAACTTGCTTTAGGGGTTTTCGAGGGTGCTGATTTCGAAAATGATGTTCATTTTTCCTCTAGTACTACATAGTGCTGTCTGATACTATATAGTACGAAATGAAAATATCGCTTTTGACGTTAATGGTGGTGGTTTGATGCTTAGTACTCTTCAAAAACACGTTTTAAAGACTTGGTGCTATATAGTACTGTCTGATACTATATAGTACGAAGTCAAAATATCGCTTTTGACGTTAATGGTGTTGGTTTGATGCTTAGTACTCTTCAAAAACACGTTTTAAAGACTTGGTGCTATATAGTACTATCTGATACTATGTAGTACGAGGTTAAAGTTGGCCTTTTAGGCGTTCGTGGTGTTGTTCTGGTGCTTAGTACGCCTATTTTTACTTCGTACTATATAGTATCAGACAGTACTATGTAGTACTAGAGGAAAAATGAACATCATTTTCGAAATCAGCACCCTCGAAAACCCCTAAATCGAGTATTTAACGTCAAAAGCGATATTTTCACTTCGTACTATATAGTATCAGACAGTACTATGTAATACTAGAGGAAAAATGAACATCATTTTCGAAATCAGCACCCTCGAAAACCCCTAAAGCAAGTTTTTCCCGAAGAGAATCAAGGAATTTTCATCCCGGGGTCGCTTTACCCCATTTTGGGTCGCAATCGATGCGGGGTCGCAATCGATGCGAGGTCGCAATCAAGCGGGGTCGCAATCGAAGGATTCCTGCGAGCGACAGCCAAAAAAAAGCCTATTGCACGGTGCAAAAAGTAAGAAATTGCACAGTGCAAAGAGAACTATCAGTCTGTCGGGAAAATAACGGCGGGTCTCGCATCAAAATGTCTCTATCGCGCACCAAATCCCCAGCTTCGGCAGTCGTCGCAAAGCGATGATGGGCGATTCCGAGGCGCGACGATCCGCCGTTATTTTCCCGACAGACTGATATTGTTTTCGCACGGTGCGTGTCGCCGATTTTGGTTCGGCGACTTTCCGCGATTACTGGTGTCACGTCACTAACTGCAAATCGAAAAAAATTTCGGAGATTGATATGTGGAGTATGTCGGGTATGAATTTTTTATAGGAATATCAAAATCTTTGGGTACATTCAAAAAATCTCAATTATTGTTTGAAAATTACTAGACTTTGACTCTCTCGGTTAAGGCCTAAAATCTCAGTGCCTTACGTCGCCGCGGCTTTCCATCCTTTATTTGCGATTGTAGGTATCATTGTGAAGTTGCCACACCCAGCGAGCGTTGTCTCACCGATCTCAAACTTCCCTTTCGCGGTCTTGATCTCTTTTTTTTTCTGAAAAATAACCATGACTCAATGGTGAAATGAAGAAAAATTATACCGTAATTTTTTGAAAATCGAAAAGTTAGCAGACACACAGCATTCCGAATTATTTTTGCCGCCGACCGGCGTCCGAAAAAATGAAAAAATGAGATTTGCCTCTTACATTTTTGCCAATATCTCGCTAGCCTCGAAGTGTAACGCGAATCTGAAAATTGCGTTTACAAGCTGACACATTTGCCCTTCAGAATATATTAATTTTGTAATGATACTTATTATGTACGACAAGGAAACCATTGCTGAAAAATGGCAAATTTCAACATTCAATGCCAGAAAAATGTACTTTCTAAGTGCCAGATCACAAAATTATGGGCTTCATTGTATACAGCATCTTGAATACTATAAGACATAACAATTTCACGCATTTTCTGGCCCGATTCGCAGAGTTATAACCGAAAAACTGCAATTTTGGCCTTCTTATTGAGCTATCTGCACTTTAAAAGTAGATACAAAAAAAACATTTCTATGATTTTTGTTGCCCAGGTTGTGATGGACCACTGTGCAAAATCTCAGCTTTCCAGGACTCCTCCGAAGAAAGTTATAACGGTTACAATATGTGACCCTTGTATGCCCAATATTTTGTAAAATACGGTAAACTACGGTGCAAGATGGCTTTGTATGATGGAATTCCTATTGTTGCCGCTGCGTTGGCCGGAGTTTAAAAATTTTACCGTAAATACACGGTCAACCACATTAAAAAATTTCCCAGCTATGCCCCAACTTTTCACTCTTTTCGCATTAGTATAGCGAAAACTTGAAATCGTGTCTCTTGTGCGGAAAACTCTGTGAGGCAGTGTTTAGGTTTCGAGTAAGTTTACATAGGTCATATAGAGCTATTTTTTACCATGGTTTGCTGTATTTTACAGAATATTGGGCATACAAGGGTCACATATTGTAACCGTTATAACTTTTTTCGGAGGAGTCCTGGAAAGCTGAGATTTTGCACAGTGGTCCATCACAACCTGGGCAACAAAAATCATAGAAATGTTTTTTTTGTATCTACTTTTAAAGTGCAGATAGCTCAATAAGAAGGCCAAAATTGCAGTTTTTCGGTTATAACTCTGCGAATCGGGCCAGAAAATGCTTGAAATTGTTTTATCTTATAGTATTCAAGATGCTGTATACAATGAAGCCCATAATTTTGTGATCTGGCACTTAGAAAGTACATTTTTCTGGCATTGAATGTTGAAATTTGCCATTTTTCAGCAATGGTTTCCTTGTCGTACATAATAAGTATCATTACAAAATTAATATATTTTGAAGGGCAAATGTGTCAGCTTGTAAACGCAATTTTCAGATTCGCGTTACACTTCGAGGCTAGCGAGATATTGGTAAAAATGTAAGAGGCAAATCTCATTTTTTCATTTTTTCGGACGCCGGTCGGCGGCAAAAATAATTCGGAATGCTGTGAGACATACAAAAATACTGTACTTTTTAGATTTCCAAACAATTGCACAGTGCAATTTCGAAACTTTTTTTTTATCGCGTAGTGCAGAATTTTTTAAACTAAACTTACCAATTGCTGAATGAATGGTCCGGTTCGGAAAATCATTACTTTCTTGCCATTCCCGGCGTTTTCCATGAAGCTACTGATGGCAAAACCCTTGTCAAGGCTGTCTCCAAATTCCAGCCCAACCAGAGCGTCCTGTGGCAGATCCAACTTGTTGTTTTCAACACTCTCCACGGCGTAGATTGGAGCGGAGTCACTATTGTAATTTCCAAAAATAAGACGCGCCGTGTACAGACCGCATTTCAATTTGTAATTGAGATAGTCTATTGAGATAGTGCGTGATTTCTTGTCCTTGTTGATGCTAGAATATGTATTCAGGACTTGAATAAAAATTATTTTTTCCACAAAATTGTTTTGTCATGACACGGAAACCTTTGCCTACTCTTTATCGTAATAGCTGGTATGTTCGTATGGTGTGCAAGTGTCCTTTTTAGCGCATTCTTTTGAGAGAACAAGGGTATCAACCGTGGCCATGGTCAAAAGGCCAGTGCTCTCCTTGGCATCCTTGTCTTCCGAGTATTTTATTTTGATCGTCGGAACCTCTGAATGATATAATGAAAGTGAATGAGGTTAAGGATTACGATTTTTCAAAAGTGTGTAGACTCTTTGTCCCAAGCCGCACCGTGCACAAAACCCCTTTTTGTGGGATGCATTTGACCTTTTGCACCGTGCAAGTACAATATCGCTGCGACACAAGCTTTTCTCAACGGCGTCGGCGTGAAGTTTGAGAAATTGCACAGTGCAAAATGTTCGAAAGGAGCGTCGCGCAACTAATTTTGTCGCCGGAGTTTCGCACTGTGCAATAAAATCATCCGCGACGCGCACATTGCACTCTTTTTGGCCTAAAAATTTGCACTGTGCATCTTTTGGGGTTGTTGTTTACGCCGCACGGTGCGATCTTCGTCGCTGGCTGCTTGCACTGTGCAAGGAAGCTTTTTTTTGGCTTTAAAGTTTGCACCGTGCACATTTTGGGGTTCACTTTTTCGCCTGCACGGTGCGATCTTCGTCGCTGGCTGTTTGCACTGTGCAATGAAGCGAACGAAAATTCGCACAGTGCAGTGCGTCTGTCGACTTGAAAGCTGCACTGTGCATGTTAAAAGTCGACTTTTTGCAGCACGGTGAAGTAATTGGGTTAGAAATTTTATCGAAATACTGAGACTTTTTTGAGACATCAAAAAAAAATGGATGAAATCCAAAAATTTGTATATTCAATTTTTTATTTTTGAAATTTTTGAAACTTTCTATGCTTCCAATACTTACAAAAGTGACTGAGAAACTACTTAAAATAATTTTACTTACCTCCATCATATTCGTATACGGCTGCCACTACCGTAGCCCAGAACAATGGCCAGAAAAGGCGAAGCATTTTTGGAAAATGCGGTGTAGTCTTCCAAAAACTTTGCTGCTTATATTCCGAACTTTTCGTTCCTCATCGCCACACCTCTGCGGTGAATAACCGCTAATGCGCGCTTTCGAAATTTGAAGAATGGCCTCAGAATCTTTAGAACGTCAAATCCTTTCAGGCTTTGTTCTATTGACACCAACGTCAGGTGTGAGATGCTGCACCTTTCGGCAATCGCGGCTTAATCCGCCTAATTCGGCGTCTTACCACACCCTCAGGACAAAGAGAAATGATGATTCAAAATTTTTTTTGATTTTTTTGGAGAAAATTTTTTTTCTTTGTTCAAAAAGGGTGGGGTTAATAATGGAAAGAACAATGATTATGCAGTTATTTTGGAATTGGAAAAATTGCGTGAAAGAAGCTGATAATGTAGGCGGGGAATTATGATGCCCACGGAATATTTGGGAGGATTTTAAAATACAAGCAACCCAGAGTGCATGTATGATAACATGGCAACGTCAGTTTAAAAAACAGGGCAGAGAAAGTCAAAATGAAAACATCAGGTTGGTAAAAAATCTCGGAAAACATCTCAAACTTACAAGAAAAATGTCCATCGGTCGTTGATCAGATTCTCTTTACATTTTTCACAGTCATTCTGGCAAAAGCCGTTCATTTTGTGAATTTTCGTCCAATTTTTCCTTTTTTTTGTAAACTTCGAAACCGTCTGAACTAGTTCAGAGTCGGTTGAACTAGTGCAAAAAACCGAGGTCTTTGACCATGTGAACCTGTTCATTTTTCTTTGAAAATTTCATAACCAGTGAATTGGTTCAATGTTTTGTGAACCAATTCAAACATTGAACCCGCTTTCCAAGGCACCACGACATTTCCGGAATTTGGACACTTCCGGAATGGCGGAATAGTGACACTTCCGGAATGGCGGAACAGTGACACTTCCGGAACCGGAAGAAAATAGGAGTACTAAGGAACAGAACAACACCACTAACGCCTAAAGGCCAAATTTTTACCTTGTACTACACAGTACCAGACAGTACTAAACAGTACCAATTATTTAAAACGTGTTTTTGAGGAGTACCAAGCATCAAAACAACACCATTAACGCCGAAAGCCATATTTTCACTTCGTACTGTATAGTACCAGATAGTACTATGAAGAGGAAAGCTAACATGATTTTCGAAATCAGCACCCTCGAAAACCCCTAAATCCAGTATTTTTGGAAAAATTCCAAAAAATTACTTTTTAACACTACTACTTAAGAAAAAAGTAACAATCAGAAAAAAATAACAAAATTTTTGAGATTAATAACAATAAATCCAGTCAGATGGTTCAGATGGCAGGTCTAAGCCTCTTCTTTGATTTTTCCCCGGTTCCGGAAGTGTCACTGTTCCGCCATTCCGGAAGTGTCACTATTCCGCCATTCCGGAAGTGTCCAAATTCCGGAAATGTCCTGATGCGCTTTCCAATCGGCTCTGAACAGGTTGGACACCAGTTCAAACCGTGAACGGTTTATTGAAAAATTGAAAAAACCGTTCACGATTTGAACTGATTTTGCAAAAAGGCGTTCAGCGGAAATTCTGACGCTTTTTTGCAAAACAAATTCGCAGAGCCGATGAAAAGTAAAGACCCCGAGCCCTATATCAAAACCGAACAGTGGTTATGCGGAAGCTTCTGCGTTTTGAAATAAAATAGAATCACAAATCAACCGTCTAAAATTGTCAAAATTGCCCTGGGACACTCTGCAAAAATTGAATGTGATCTCCATCACTAATTTTTCAACGGTCATATTGCCTACATACCATCGCGCCTTGGAATCGCCCATTATTATTGACTGTCTCGCACCAAGTTGGAACTTGGTGCGAGACAGTCACCCTTTTTCGTGAAGAAACATTCATTATGCTGCAACGACCCGCCGTTATTTTCCACACGGACTGATAGTAAGGCATCGATGGTGAAGGACACAAAAAGAATGGAGAAAAATGAACCGTGCAATTGTCGGAGTTTTATGCCGAGAGTGAACGGTCTTCATTCAGACCCTTAGCGAAGACTCGTCGGATATTAGCATTTTCACAAAGTGCCTGGATATTTGTCGCGAATCGCACTGTGCACAAAGGCCCCCGATTTTTCGCACCGTGTATTGACCTTTTTTTGGTTTTGCACTGTGCATTTGAAATATCGCTGCGACGTAAGCTTTTCTCAACTGCGCCTCCGCGAGAATGTGCACAGTGCAATCGGCTTTTTTGAGGTTTGCACGGTGCGAAAACGGGAAATTTCACAGTGCGTTGGCGACAAAGGTTCAAGATGCACTGTGCGAAAGCGAAATGATGTCCAGGCACTTCGTGAAAATGCTAATAACCGGCAAAGACTTCCGACTCCGAGCGGAGAGTCGGCGAAGCGTTTTTAGAATATGCAAAAGATTTTTTTCTTGCTTCGGCGAAGACATTCGTTATCTTTTGTTGCAAACTACGTCTTTTTGCAAGGCGAGGCTTCTTTACTACGGATGAAATAGGCTTGCCACATCAGCCCAGCATTGGCCATGTCTTGTAGGGTGTGTTCTGTTACAGTGGGGGATCTGACCATGTGGCAACAAACGTGCCATTTTGCATCCGGGAAGTGTCAAAAATGTGGCAAAATCCTTCCGTCTCGAAGTGAAAAAACTTCGTTTTGAAGGGCGCGCCCTGTTTCCTCACAAAAAGAGCGTGCGCGCTTTTGAAATCTGAGTTTTTTTTTGGAGAGGGAGGTATTTTGCCACATTTTTTGATACTTTCTGGACGCAAAATGGTACGTTTTTTGTCACGGGATCAGGTCCCCCACTGTAGTCGTGGTAGCTTGACGGATCCTTCGTACATTGGCGAAGACTCGGCGAAGACCTTTTTACCGGTGGGGGTCGTTTCGGGTCCTTTGCTTTTGCGGATTGAACTGGAAAAGTGCACGTAAATTTAATGAACATTTGGGCGTTGCACCTGGGTTTCCCAGCGTTTCGACGTGATTCATAGCGGCTTGGGTCTTTACATATAAGTTTCATGTAGCAATTTCCTATGGTTGCAATCCGATGATCGCTCAAATCTTGGTTCTCCGCCCTTTATCATCATTGATTCTACGTGCTAGTACTTTGAGAATGCCTCGCAACCCACAAACTTGTGCGCTTCGTGAGACAAAATAATCTTCACACCGAGCATCAGCGGCGTTAATCGCGGGTGTGGCAACAGAGAAACGAGAAAATAAAAGGGTGGGATTGATTCGGAAGTTATAGTTGAAGGATTGAACTATGTTTCGCTTTCTATATTTCCTTATTTTGGGTACTGTAGCGGCCAAATACGAATACGATGGAGGTGAGTGGTTGTGGAAGGATTAGTAATGGGGAAAGTGCTTGTTATACGACGCATAGATCTTCATGAAACTTGGCAAATATTAGACAATTTTTTTCGAAGATGTATGCGAGATTTCTGGCTCGCATTTTACAGAAAGTATTACGACGTTTTCGAAAAAATTGAAAAATTTTTTCCGCTTCCTAGCAAAACCTGCGCCAAAACTTTTGTAACTTGTTATGTAGCTGTTGTAAAGCAAAAAAAGCCAATGAATAATCGCTCTTCTGAAATTCAACTTGACCTTTCAGAAACCCCAATAATAAACGTCGCATTCGCGACGGATGCCTCCGTTGCAGTCAGCAAAGTTCAGTTGACTTTGGATCGAGGCGATGTCTTTGTTCTGTCGAATGAATGCGCTGCCAAGGATTCATGTACAAAATATGCTCACGCAAGTGTTTATGATCCAGTGTAAGTATGATATTTTATTTTTTTCATAGATTTTTTGAGATTTGAAATTCGAAAACTTTTGAATTTATCGTATAAAATGTCGCCTTTCGGTAAAAAGTGATGATTCAAAATTAAATTTTAACCTTTTTTGTTATGAAGGAGCATTTAAATAGCTATTTTTTGAGGAGAATGAAACTTAAAAATTTTGGACGAAATGTCAATTTTTGAATTATTGATTTTTTCAAAAGTTTTGATTAGTAATAAAAACTTGTTTTTAAGCAAATACAACGGCCGGAGGGTTTCTGTTCCCTCCAATCCCGTCTACTTTCAACAGTCCGAACTGAATGGAGATGTCTTCGAGGGTCTTGCGGTGTACGGAAACGTCAACGAAAATCAGCAATTCCGCGTCATCACAAGTGTTACGGGAAATCCAGTGGAACTGGAGCAGGATGGAGTCTTTGGATTGGCCTTTACAAATGAGCGCACCTCGCCCATTTTCAATATCTTGGCAAAAGCTGAGAGTGGAAAGAAGTGGGTCATCTTCCGAAGGGGACCTTTCAAGCAGCAAAAGGTGAGTAATTTTGGGATGAAGAGAAGTCCAAATTCTTCATACTAATCGCGCTCAAAAGTCCTGACAATTTTCGCACCGTGCGAAACTTTGGGTTTTGGACGTCGCCCCTGCAAATTCGGGTTCGTCGCGCGCAAAAGTGCATGTCGCTAGTGAAAAAAAGGGAAATTGCGGCGACAAATGCGAAATGAAAGAAGAATGCACGGTGCGAAAGTTCGGGTTTTGGACGTCGCGCCCTCAAATTCGGGTTTGTCGCGCGCAAAAGTCCACGTCGCTGCGAAAAGATGCACTGTGCGGATGAAATGAAAGAAGAATGCACGGTGCGAAAATTGTCAAGACTTTTGAGCGCGATTACTAGTCGGGACAAAAAGTCCTGATAATTTTGCACTGTGCGGATTTTGCTCCGTTTCTGTCGCACACTGAAAAAAACGATTTGTCGCTCCGAAAAGTGGGAATCGCGCGCGACAATAAGGCAAAAACAAACAAAATGCACTGTGCAAATGCACTTTTCGGGTCAAATGCACCGTGCAAAACACCTTTTTTCGCGATTTTTGCAGCGACAGCCCAAAACGTTCAAATCCGCACAGTGCAAAATTATCAGGACTTTTTGTCCCGACTAGTAGTATTAGCATTTTTATATCGGTCTGTCGGGAAAAAAACGGCGGATCGTCGCGCCTCCGAATCGCCCATCATCGCTTTGCGACTGCAAGCCGCGGCTTGGGATTTGGTGCGCGACAGCGGCGAGGCGAGACATTTTGATGCGACAATCCGCCGTTATTTTTCCGACAGACTGATAATGTGCATGGACTTTTGCACTGTGCATTTTGCTGTCTTGGCGCAGCACGACTGATTTTTGGCGTTTGCACTGTGCGAAAAAACTTAGGGTGCGAGCGACAGCCGAAAGAAGCCTATTGCACGGTGCAAAAAGCCGAAAATTGCACAGTGCAAAGTGAACTTTTGTTTTCGCACAGTGCGTGTCGCCGATTTCGGTCCTGCGACTTTGGCTAAGTTTGCACAGTGCAAACCTCTTTGACCTGTGCTTGCACGGTGCAAGTCAAAAAAAATTTTGCACAGAGCGGTTGGAACATTTTCATTGCAAGCCCGAAATTCTCAGCGACAAAAAAATCTCCCTGAAAATTGCAGGTCTCAAAATTTGCACAGTGCAATCTTATCGCGCGATGGTCCAAATTCTCTGCGACAAAAGCCCACCGCACCGTGCAATTTAAAAAAAGATGGAATTGCACAGTGCATTTTTTAAAACTTTTCCTTGCACCGTGCAAATTCGGAGCGACAAAATCGCATCTCGTTTTTCAGTTTCGAAGTTGTTGAACTGCACAGTGCAAAATTTTTCTGTAATTCCCCCGCACTGTGCGAATCATAAGGGTCGAAGAAACCCTTGCACCGTGCGGATTTCAGGTTGAGTGGCACAGTGCAATCTGCAATTCGGGGGGTTTTTCGCACAGTGCAATGGCTTGGCAACAAAAATTCATCAAAAATGTGCGGAACAAAGTATCAGGATTAAGACTACACAGTTCAGAAATGAAACTGAACGACGTAGTCAATGATTCATTTTGAGCTGTTGTTTATATACTGTAACGTTTCTGAAATTTGCGAAAATTCCTTTCTTTTCAGAGAACGCAAGAGATTAAAGCGGCCCGGGGTGTGTTCGAGATCGGAGAAACGACGCTGGAAGGGTGTGGCGAGTTCGTTTTCACCGACACCATTGATAACGAGGGATGGACGATCGAAGCCAGGTGGGATTAAGTGGGAGTTGCGTAGTTTGGATTAAATTTTTTTTTGGAAAAATGAAAAAAAAATTGTTTCTTTGACGGTTTTTTTTTTGATTACTTGAGGCAACATAGACATTTTTTTAGCCATCTGCAAAAAAACGAAAAAAAATTTCAGCGTTAAAATCGGCACAGAAACAATTCCCAATGCAAAGATTGCTTTCTCCTTCGACGAAACTTTCACCGTCCCAACAGCCCAATTCGACAAATTCAAAGACAAAACTGACGCAACCTTGCCCGAATTCTCCATTGAATTTAAAAACAAGGCATTTGCGTTGAAAAAAGAAAATCTCCAGGACTATCGCGATGAGAAGCACGAAGTTCTGACTGTTCTGGTCAAGCCCGAAAACAGAGACAGCTTTTTGTTGGGCAAGAACTTCTTGACGGATTACTGTATTGCCTTGAAGGCGAAGGATGATGCTGTGACCAAATTCGAAGTGGGATTGGCGCCAATTGTGAGTCTGGGCACTGATCCGCAATGGGAAAATTATGTTGATGACAGAGATGGGAAGAATGGCAATGGAGTGAAACACACTTATCAAGGAGGTGAGAGGCGTGTCGAAATGCGATATCATAAAGTTTGAAAACCTTAGCTCGCGTTTTGCAGGGTGATTTTAAAAAAAAACTTTTGCTTTCTCCGGTAAAAATAAGGGCTGAGATTTTTTACGGATAAATCCACAAAGATGCATCAAATTCAAGGAAATTTTGGACTAAAAATCTCAGTTTTTCGTACACTTGATAAAACACTTGATAAACCCTTCTTTCAGAGACCCCAATAATCAACTTGCAATACAAAAACACCGGAACTAGCATTCCAATCAGCAAGGGTTTGCTGACTTTGGAAGAAAGCTTCACATTCGTCTTGGCCAAAGCTTGCCAAGCCAAGGATTCCTGCACAACATATCAACATAACAATGTTTTTGATACGAGGTAGGTACCAAATATCGGGTTAAAATTACTTTTCGTTTTTTTTGACGAAATGTCAATTTTTGAATTATTGATTTTTTTAAAATACCAAAATTGAAAAAAAAAATCCTATCTTAAGAACATGTTTCTATGGCTATCGGAAAGAGGTGAAATTAAAAAATTTTTTGACGAAATGTCAACTTTTGAATTATTGATTTTTTTAAAACACCAAAATTTTAAAAAATCCTATTTCATGGTCACATTTCTATGGCTTAAAAATTTAAAATTTTTGACGAAATGTCAACTTTTAAATTATTGATTTTTTTCAATTTTAAAAGATTTTTTAAACACTCATGTATCTCAAAAAAGCTTACAAAATATAAGAAAACCCTCCTTTACAGCACCGGCACGGACCGAAAAAAGCCAGTCAGCATCCCGTACAAGGGCTCCACCTTGACTGGAAGCACCTATCAAGGGCTTTTGGTTGCCGGAAATATCAATGGAAACGAAGACTTCGACGTCATTACGGGAGTTACCGGATCTGCCGTGGACCTTGAACAAGATGCAGTCCTTGGACTCAGCTTTGGAGACAGTTTGTCCACTGGATTTCCGATTAATAAGTTCTTGAGCAACGCGCCAAATGGCAAAAAGTCGATCATTTTCCGAAGAGGGCCGTTCAGACAGCAGCTGGTAAGCCATGGTTTACTAAAGAGCCTAAAAACAAAAAATATTACTCAAAGTTTATGGTGCTGCAGCAGAAGTGGCGAAAATTTATCGCGGATATTGCCTATTTTACTGCACAGTGCGAACAAATTGAAATTTCACTGCACTGTGCAAAGATTTGGCGATTTTTCTCGTGCACGGTGCAGAAGAAAACACAAACAAACAGATTGCACAGTGCGAAAAAATGAGAAATTGACTGCACTGTGCGCAATTTTGGTGATTTCTCTTGTGCACCGTGCAGAAGGAAGAAGACTCAGACAAACTGCACAGTGCAGTGCAAAGTTGTTTTTAGGCGTTTGACAGCAGCGACAAACCTTTTTGCGATGCGATTTTTTTTTGATTTTTGTCGGTTGAATGCACAGTGCAGACGGAAGAAGACTCAAACAAACTGCACAGTGCATTGCAAAGTTGTTTTTGGGCGTTTGCAAGCAGCGACAAACCTTTTCACAATGCGATTTTTTGATTTTTTTTCGTTTGACTGCACAGTGCAGGTCGAGAAAGGAAAAACGTTTGAGTGCACAGTGCAAAACATCTTTTGTGGGATTGCACGGTGCGGACTGTCAGCGACAATTCCTTGCACTGTGCGAAGTGTTGCCGTTTTGGCACAGTGCAAAGACAACAATATTTGGGAAAAAAGGTGGAAAAAACTTGAAGAAAAAACCGATTCCTTTCCGTGAAAATTAAAAATTTTTTTTGAAATTTTTTTTTATTTTTTTTTTCAGAAATACAAAGAATTCAAGAGCCCAAGTGGCTCTTTTGTGATTGGAGAAAACACTCTTGAGGGATGCGGTCCCTTCATCTACCGGGATACCATCGACAAGGCTGGGTGGAGTATCAAGGCCACGTAAGTTTGTCATCATTTTGGAAATTTTTGACAATTCTTGAAAAGAAAATTTTTTTTATGAAAAAATAAAAAAAAACGGCAAAAGTTCCTTATTTTGGCCACAACTTATAACTTTGCGGAAACTGGTCGGAATTAGCCCAAATTTAGCGTGCACGCTCAATTCATCGTTGTCAATGCCCGGACAGTGGATTTAGTTAGTGAGGTACCTTCTTTTCTACGTACCACCTTACCCTTCAAAAACAGATGCAGCCTGTGATTTTACACCTTATACGATGAAACATGTCCGGAACTAAACTTATTGCCTCCGTATGGAACTAAATGAGTCGTCACAGCCTTCGTAGGTACCCTTAAAACTATAGAGCTATTATAGTAATTCAGTGCCAGCTAGGTCGAAGCGTTTTTTCCTAACTTTAGTGCCCAAGCTTGGGCGCAGTTTGCGGAGTACCTTTGTTGTGACCAAAATAAGGAACTTTTTCCAAAAAAACCTAAAAAATGGATTGAAATTTTTAAAGATAAGAAATTTTTGAGCAAAAAAATTTTAGCGTGAAAATCGGCGAAGTTCAACTTGACGAGCAGACCATTTCCTTTTCGTTCGACAAGCTTTTCACCGTCCCAACAAGAGTCTTCGGCCAATTCGAAGACAAAACTGACGAAACCTTGCCAGACGTTACCATTGAATTTGAAGGACAAACATTTGAGTTGAACGCAGAAAATCTGCAGGATTATCGCGATGAGAAGCACAAAGTTCTGACTCTTCTGGTCGAGCACGAAGACAGAGAGGGCTTTTTGTTGGGCAAGAACTTCTTGAGGGATTACTGTATTGCCCTGAGGGCGAAGGATGATGCTTTGACCGGATTCCAAGTGGGATTAGCGCCATTTCTAAGACGACGTTCCGATCCCGAATGGGAGTCGTATCCGGCGCCGTTGAAATTCGATTATTATGGAGGTAAAGTCATCATTTCTCATAGTTTTATGTAAATTTTAATTTTCTATAGAATCGCCCCTAATTGACGTGCAATTCGCCAAAACTGGATCTAGCATCCCAATCAGCAAAGCCTTGCTCACTCTGGACGAAACTTTCACGTTCTTCTTGAGCGAGGGATGCAAGGCCAAGGACAGCTGCACGACATTCGACCACGTCAATGTTTACAATCCAACGTAAGTTTAATTTTGGAGTATTAAGAGGGATAGGCTTTGTTGAAGTCTCAGAAAGAGACGACTTGAGACAACCCGAGTAGATTGATCGTACTGGTTTATTGGGTCCCAGCCGCTCCTTTTATAGAGCTAGCTGGGGAAAGTACAAAGACAAAATATAAAAGAGACAGAGATCATTTTGAAGACAAATCGCTGGTGGAATCGGTGGTGTCCCCCAGTACCTCCTCCTACTTCGAGCCAATCGAAGTAGTCGCCATTAGTTCCTCCAGGTCTTCAGCAGTGAGCTCGGCCAACAGGTCATCCACCAATCCATCGTCCATTTCTTGATCTTCTGGGTGAGGGGGTTCAGGAACTTGGTTGCTTCTCGAGGGTCCTGGTTGGGGAGGAGTTGGCTCGGGCAGTGGTTGGGCAGGTGGCAGTGGTGGTTGGGTCGTCGGTCTCTTCTTCTTGTTGGCTAGGCTGGCGAGGGCGTCCAATAGTCCTCTCCGTGTCCACTTCTTGGGGCGGCAGGTGGCAGTGGTGGTTGGGCAGGTGGCAGTGGTTGGGCAGGTGGCAGTGGTGGTTGGGTCGTCGGTCTCTTCTTCTTGTTGGCTAGGCTGACGAGGGCGTCCAATAGTCCTCTCCGTGTCCACTTCTTGGGGCGGCTGCTCTTCCTTCTGGTCTGGCAGGTCTGGCGGGGGCACTGGAGTGCACCACCGCAAAGCGCACATTTGGCCATGGTTGGCTTCTGGCCGCTATTGGGGCCTTTATATATGCTTTTTGGCTCCAAATTTGCATACCTGCTCACATGTCTTGGACTTTTTTGTCCTTGACCTTTTCCCTTTTCTTCTTCATTTCTAATGAACTCTATCCGATTTAACCGGTTGTTATTCTCCTCTTGTTCGCCGTTTTCACCGTAGGTGAGGCGTTTGGGAGGATGCACTGCCCTTTTAACCCTTACTGCGGGCGTATGGTCAGGTAAAATTCCGACTCCTTGCCCTCTGGCTACAGACCGTGATCGGCTTCTTTCTCTAGTCGGGCTTGGACTGTTCCCTTGAGCTGGTGGCAGTGGAGGTTCTCTTCCCCCTTCATTTTCCAGCTCAGACTCATTTTGACCGGTTCCTTCTGCGTTTTCTCCACCTCCTTCTCCTCCTCCTCCACCGTATCCTAGAGAAATAATCGGTGGATCCTGTGGAGAGGTAGAAGTTTTTTCAGCGTTTGCCTCTTATACTGTTGGACCTTTTCTTTTTCCTTTTCAGGAACTACCCTTTCCTTTCTGGGCATGATGTCTAGTCTTGACCGTAATTTCCTTCCGAACATAAGCTCACTGGGTGCTACTCCAGTAGCTGGATGAGGGGTCAGCCTATAATAGAATAACCATTTCAAAGCTTTTTCCTCAACCGTTCCTTTGTCCAATTCCTGCTTCTTTAGTGCAGTTTTGAAGGACCTAACCAACCTTTCCGCTTGACCATTACAGCTCTGTTTGTCTGGCGGAGAAAAAATTTGCTTAATCCCTGAATAGTTACAGTACTCCTTAAACTCTTGCGAGGTAAGTTGAGTTCCATTATCTGATACTATCTGTTCGGGAATACCAAAAGTAGCAAAGAGAATTCTACACTTATTTATGAGTGCTTTTGCGGTAATCTTGGTCATCGGAATTGCTTCACACCATTTGGTATAAGCATCCACTACCATTAACCAGGTGTATCCATGTACTGGTCCACAGAAATCCATGTGCAATCGTTCCCATGGATTGTTTGGTCTCTCCCACAAATGTAAGGGAGTTTTGATAGGATCATCCGCAGCCTTAGCACATTGAGAACATGTCTTAGCCGTTTCTCTGATCCGCTGGACCATATTTGGGAACCAGTAATACTGATGCGCCAGGGAGATCATCCTTGTCTCTCCTGGGTGCGAAGCATGTAATTCTTGCAGAACCCTATCTTGGTATTTACCCGGGATTACCAGTTAGTTTCCCTTTAACAAACATCCTTTTTGGATAGTTAAAGAGTGTCTTTTCCGAAAATACGGTACTAATTGGTCTTGAGGACATTTCTTTGGCCACCCTTTCTTTACCCACTTGACAACTTGAGCGAGGATCTTATCATTTTCCGTTTCCTCCTCCAGCTCTTTAAATGCTATTGGGTACGTGATTGTCTCCGCAATAGCGGCTACACTTAGGTCTTCCACTCTTGCTGCCTTGGTAGGCTTCTCTTTCGGATTTGGCAGTCTTGACAACCCATCGGCGTTTCCAAACTTATCCGTGGGGACATACTCAATATCAAAAGAATAAGCCATTAACTGTGTAGCCCATCTCTGCAGTCTTCTAGCTGCAACTGTTGGTAATCCCATTTTGGGGCCAAAGATTCTAACTAACGGAGCATGGTCCGTTAGCAACGTGAATCTGCGTCCGAACAAGTACTGATTGAACTTGTTGACGCCATACACAATTCCCAGCCCTTCCTTTTCTATCTGGGCATAATTCCTTTCTGCTGGAATCAATGATCGGCTTGCATAACCGATCACTTTGACTGAACCATCTGGATAAACGTGTTCCAGCTGTGCTCCTATTCCGTAATCGCAAGCGTCCGTCGAGAGTCTTACGGGTATTTTCGGGTCGTAATGAACCAATACCTCCGAGCTCGTCAACTTCTTTTTAAGTTGACTAAAAGCGTACTGCTGCTGTGGTCCCCAATCCCACTTTTCCCCTTTTTTCCTTAACTGGTTTAATGGGGCGGCGATGGTGGACAATCCTTTTACGAACTTTGCGTAATACTGGATCATGCCTAAGACTGATGTCAATTCTTTCAGATTTCTGGGGGCTGGCATATTTTGAATAGCCTCGATTTTCTGTGGGAGGGCTTTTATGCCTTCCGCATTGATGATGTGCCCCAACAGGGTGATTTCCTTTTTGAAAAATTCACACTTGTCAGCCTTTAGGCGCAACCCCGCATCTCTCAATCTTTTCAATACTTCTCTTAAGTTTTCGAGATGCTTACCGTCGGTTTCTCCTGTGACCGTTATGTCATCCAGGTAAACCGCCGTATTAGGGATTCCTTGAAGGATTCTGTCCATAGTCGCCTGGAAAATTGCCGGAGCCGAGGAGATACCAAAAGGCAATCTGGTGTACTGGTACAGCCCTTTTTGCGTACTGACGGTACAGACTTTTTGAGAATCCTTGGCTAACTTCAACTGATTGAAAGCCGACTTTAAATCTACTTTAGAAAATTTCTTCCCTCCGTTGAGAGCCTGGAAGATTACTTCCGTAGTTGGAAGTGGATGTTCCGGGATATCCAACTGAGGATTTATCGTTCTCTTAAAGTCCACACAAAGTCTTATTTCTCCGTCCGGCTTAGGTACTATGACCAACGGCGAAGCGAACTCCGCGTTCATTACCTTCTTCAGCTCTCCTTTTGCCTCTAATTCATCCAGTTTCTTATCAACTTGGGACTTTAGAGCAAAAGGTACTGGTCTGGCTTTGAAAAATATAGGGACCGGCGCTTTCTTGAATCTGAGCTCCACTTCAGGGCCTTTGTAGGTTCCCTGGTCGTCTCCGAAGAGTTCCGCAAACTCCTCCTTTAGCTGTTTCTCGGTAGAGGGCAAAATTTTCTCTTCCGCCTTAACCTGTTTGACGTAATGTGGGCCCATGTCTAGGTTAAGTGCGCGGATCAGATCGCGGCCGAAGAGTGCCTGGCCTCTTCCTTCCATTACCGCGATCTCGACTTCTGAGTGTCGACCCTCAAAAGTCACCTCTACCCTGCAATTGCCTTTGATAGGCAATTTGTTCCCTCCATAGGCCTTTAATTGACCTCTGCATGGAGTAACCCGCGGTTTTCCCATATCAATCCATACACTCTCGGGTATGACTGATCTTGCCGCACCACTGTCGAGTTCCATTTCGAACTCATGGCCATTTACTTCTACTTTCAACATAGTTGGTGGGCATACCGTGTTGACTCTCTCTACGCCTTCTTGGACCTGGAGCACTCCGTAGGAGTCAACACTACCACCCTATCCATCGTAATCCTCGCCCTGGTCGTCTACATGGACTTGGCGGACATTTCGATACGATCTCTGTTTTCCCCTTTGCGGAGGATGGTATCTTCCCTTCATTTTGGGACAATTTCTGATCAGATGTTCTTGTGAACCACACTTATAGCAACGTTGCGTTTGCTCGGGGCGTACTTGCCCTCTGGGGAATCGCGGATTCTTGACCGGACGTCTCCGATCTACTTGTGCTACCACACTTTCGGCCTCTGCCTTCATTGCTAGCGCCGCCGATCTAGACTGTTCTGAGGTTCGAATCAGAGTTCTGATTCTATCCAAAGATGGACTCTCCTCTTCTAGGAGTCTCGCCCTAGTTTTATCGTCCCTTATGCCTGCGATAATAGCCTGAACCTGAACGAACTCTCTGGTGTTCGTTATGTTGTCCAACTGGGCTTTCATTGAGAGCGCCATTATCTCCATGACAAAGTCATCGGTAGATTGGCCGGCCTTTTGTCTCAATGAGAAAATCTTATGCCTTATTGGCGCGACCATTGCTGGTGGATCATAAAGATCCGCCAATATGGTGCAAAGGTCGCGAAATGACTTTGATGTCACTTCTTGGCCATTTAACGCGACGATGAGCTGATGATACGCCTTTGCTCCTATTTGCTGTAAGAGAAAATATCTCTTTTCAGCATCGTCCGTCACCTTGGCCTGGTCCAAGTGAGTCTTTATCAGACTTACGTACGAGGACCACGGGGTATTCGCCGGGTCATATGGACCCGGTCCCCTAAGGTAGGTTGGCATTGCCGCGGCTACTTGCGACATTTTTGATCGCTGGATGCCTTTGGGCGCGCTTTCTTAGCGTTCTTTTGTGGTAGCGTTCTTTTCCCGCTTCCGGCGTCTTCTGGCTTCGTTCGAGCCTGATCGCCACCTTTGGTTGTTGAAGTCTCAGAAAGAGACGACTTGAGACAACCCGAGTAGATTGATCGTACTGGTTTATTGGGTCCCAGCCGCTCCTTTTATAGAGCTAGCTGGGGAAAGTACAAAGACAAAATATAAAAGAGACAGAGATCATTTTGAAGACAAATCGCTGGTGGAATCGGTGGTGTCCCCCAGTAGGCTTAAAAATTGGATTGCGTAAAGTGCGACGCTCAGATTTCTTTCAAATTTTGGACACGAATTATTCATAGACGTTATAATAAGCGCTGAAAATTTGAGCTTCCCTGTAGCAGGTGGAGCTGAGATATTCAACGGTTCTTGCTAACTAGAGAGTGCGCGGAACGCGGAGAGCGGTCGGAGAAAAAAGCAAATTTTTTCCATATCTTTGCAAGTTTTGCGTGAAAAAATTTGCTTCTTTTGTGTAACGCTATCACATGCGAGTAAAAGAGGCATAAAAGATGTCACAACCGGGCCGCAATTTGCAAAAATCTCTCACATTTTGTAGACTTCTTCTACAGGGTGTCCCAAAAAAATGCATGTTTTTTTCCATGGGTCCTGACGCGAAAATGTTTAGGTTAGGCCAAAAGATTTTTGTACTGCTAAAATCTCCGTGTTTTCTGCCCTAGTCATTTCAGTTTTGTGTTCATATCGATTAAGTAGCATGGTTTTTTAAAATGTCCAACAAAGGAACTGCGATTTTGTCACTATTTTTGAGCCGTTCAAGTTGTAAATTAGCCCAGTATAAAAAGGACGTTGTGTTAAAAGTAATCACGCGATGTAAGGAGCTTGATAACGATAGTAAGCGTCCAGGACGTAAAGAAAAACGCACCGCCAGCGGTTCTGTCAACCGGGAGATCACCAACAGCAAAACGCTATTTTCAAGAAAAATTTGCCTGTGAGATCGGCATCAGCGACCGATCGGTCACCCGAATAGTCTATGATGAGCTGTGCGTTACGCTGTATAAGCTGTTAAAAGCTCAGATCTTTAAAGTAGACGGCAAGTGCGTGCGGCGCAAAAAATGCCGGAAAGTCAAGGGCTGGGCCGCAACTCAGAGGGGTGAGTGCATTCAGTTCGTGGTTCAATATTTGGCGGCTGCACAACCACCAGTACCATAGGATCTTCTTAGATGAGGCCCTCGGCATGTCGGCTAACGTCGAAAACCGTCAAAATCCGGGCCGTCATTGCCTAAGGCGGAATTTGTGCCAGCGGCAAGAATTCTATGGTTTTCGCGGATCAAGGGGGCAAAATTCTAGCGCCGCGTTAATCTCGACTTTCTCGTACTTCTATTGACTTAGCAGAACCTTGGCAATGCAAATTTGGCGTTCCAACTAGACTCAGCGCCGGCTCACAAGGCAAAATCAACTCAGGACCCGGAATGGGACCGATTTTCCCGATTTTATTCCGTCTGCAAAATGGCCGTCTGCGCGCCGGATCTGAATCCGATGGACCAAAAATTTTTTTAAATTGGAGGCCAACGCCTGTACTACATGCCACAAATGTTTGGAGTCGCAAAGCAATCGTTGCGCCAAGAACGGGACCAAATTTCCCCAAAAACAGCTGCGGCCCCGAGCCCAAAATTTTAAGTTACGTTTGGAGCTCTATATCGCCACCAAAGGCAGCCACTGTGAAACTGGCTTGACACGTTATCAATAATCCTCTATGTTACTGATATCCATCGTTAGTTTTGTTAAATTTTGTTTGGTATATAAAATGTAGCCATAAAAAAACATGCATTTTTTTTGGGACACCCTGTATATCATAACTTTCTTCCAAAAAAAAATTCGCAACTTTATAACTCTTTTTTTTCAGCACCTATAACGGCGAGAAACAAAACTCCCCGGTCTCCCAACTTTTCCGAGGCGTCACCTTCAAAGGAGACACCTATAAAGGCACCCTCATCTTCGGGAATGTCAAAGGCGAGCAAGAGATCAAAGCGGTCGGCAGTATTGAAGGAGGAGCACCCATTGCACTCCGGCAAGATGCTGTTCTTGGGCTGAACTTCGGAGCCCAATTATCGACCGGCTATGCGATTAACCAGTTGTTGAGCAGAGCGCCGGCTGGCAAAAAATCGGTCATCTTCCGAAGAGGGCCTTTCGTGCAGCAGTTGGTAAGCGAGGAATGGGTTACTGTGTTTGGTAATAAGTGCATAAAAAGTTGAAGAAAAAGTAAAAGAAGCCTTTTTTTCATATTCGATTTACCGGGCCAGCCCTGGCCTGGAAGCCATGGCTCTCCGAGACATGACAAAACCCTTTTTCTAGAGGCTGAAAAACGTCAAATTCTTGAAAATTTTATGTCGCGCTTCGCAGAGACAGCCGCGATTTTCAACGATCTTTACGGGCAAGAGGGTAGGCGGAATGCGGGCTCTCAGAGAAAAAGGTTTTGGCTATGTCTTTGTCCACTTCGTTTGATACAAAGCTTTTTTATGGAGGCGTTGTCCTTTACACAGTAAAAGACAGCAGATTTTTTGATGTCAAAACTTGCAAAAAATGTTGAATTTTTACCAATTTCCCGACTAAAAATCCCGTTTGTTTCATCAAGATGAGCGTTAGTATTCTATAATATTAGTTTATGTCTTATTGTTAGAAAAAATAGTCTCAATTTGCAAATTGTTTGTTTCCTTTTCAGAAGACCGAAGAATTCAGACTCCCAAGAGGCTCTTTTGTCATCGGCGATGACCAACTTTCAGGATGTGGAAATTTTACGTATCAAGACACGATTGACCAGAGCGGATGGAACATCAAGGCAAAGTGAGTTTGAATTCATTTTAGAAGCTTTTGCTGATTTTTTGGACAAAAAAAATCAAAAAGGAAATAGGCAAAAATGAATAGGGAATTGCTGAAATATTAAAATAAAATAAAATTTAGAGTAAAAATCGGCGATGTTCAACTTGACGAGCAGACAATTTCCTTCTCATTCGACAAAACTTTCACCGTCCCAACGGAGCACATCGACAAATTCAAAGGCAAAACTGAGGAAACCTTGCCCGAATTCTCCATTGAATTTAATAACAAGCAATTTGCGTTGAACAAAGAAAATCTCCAGGACTATCGCGATGTGAGGCACGAAGTTCTGACTGTTCTGGTCGAAGAGGAAAACAGAGACAGCTTTTTGTTGGGCAAAAACTTCTTGAAGGATTACTGTATTGCCCTGAGGGCGAAGGATGATGCTTTGACCAAATTCGAAGTGGGATTAGCGCCATTTGAGAAGCTAAATTCTGATCAGAAATGGTCGTCGTATGATAAGGGAAAAAGCTCTAAGCATGAGTACTCTGGAGGTAAGGATTTTGAAAAAAAATGAAATATTAGTAAAAATAATTATTTAATAAAGATGTCACCTCATAAAAAAATCAAAATTTAATCTTCAGAGACCCCGTTGCTGGATTTGAAATTCAAGAAGGACGTGCCAGATGAGTCAGCGAGCAAGGCCATACTAACTTTAGCTGAGACACAAACGTTTGCTTTGGAGACCGGATGTGCTGCCAAGGACACATGCACGAAGTACCAACATGACAATGTCTATGATCCAAAGTAAGTATAATTTTTTAAGTTTGGCAAAAACAGAAAAAAAAATCATAAATTAAAATTTGTCGTATAAAATGTCACCTTACATGTAAAATAAAAAATGAAAGTATCTAATCGCATCTAACGCCTTAAAATTACAGGAAATACTCCGGAGTCGACGATAACACTCCCTTTGAAGTTAAGTATAAAGACTCGACTTTGAAGGGAAAGACGTACAACACCACGTTCATCGCCGGCAATTTCGAAGGGATGTTGCATGTCAGCACTGTTAGCGAAATCACAGGTGACCCGGTGGACCTGTCTGCAGATGCCGTGCTCGGCTTGGCATTTACGGAGACCTCGACGTTCGCTATGACCACATTTTTGAACAAAGCTCCCTCGGATAAAAAGAACATCATTGTGAGAAGAGGACCCTTCGTACAGAAGCTGGTAAGTGGCTTGGGATTTTATCTCTGTCAGGTCGTTAAAGGATACAAAAATGGCAACTGCACAGTGCAGAGTGAGCGAAAACTCACGTGCACGGTGCAGTCAAAGCGACAAAGAGAAAAAAATTCTATCGCGGGGACTGCACAGTGCGGAGCGAGCGAAAAGTTATCTGCACGGTGCAGTCAAAGCGATACAGAGTGAAACGCACGGTGCAGTTTGAAGAAAAGTTTATCGCAATGACTGCACAGTGCGGACCGAATAAGAAGTCGTCTGCACGGTGCGGTCAAAGCGATACAGAGTGAAACGCACGGTGCAGTTGGAAAAAAAGTATCGCAATGACTGCACCGTGCAGAGCAAACGAAAAGTCATCTGCACGGTGCGGTCTAAGCGATAAAGAGTGAATCGCACGTGCAGTTCGAAAAAAGTTTATCGCGGTGACTGCACCGTGCAGAGGAAACGAAAAGTCATCTGCACGGTGCAGTCAAAGCGATACAGAGTGAATCGCACGTGCAGTTTGAAAAAAAGTATCGCAATGACTGCACCGTGCAGAGCAAACGAAAAGTCATCTGCACGGTGCAGTCAAAACGATAAAGGGTCCATCGCACGGTGCAGCTCGAAAAAAAGTTTGTTGCGGTGAATGCCCAGTGCAGAGCGAGTGAAAAGGCGTCTGCACAGTGCAGTTAACGCGATAAAGAGTGAATTGCACGTTGCAGTTTGAAAAAAAGTTTATCGCGATGACTGCACAGTGCTGAGCGAGCGAAAAGTTATCTGCACGGTGCGGTCTAAGCGATTAAGAGTGAAACGCACGGTGCAGTTCGAAAAAAAGTTTATTGCGGTGACTGCACAGTGATGAGCGAGCGAAAAGTTATGTGCACCGTGCAGAAGTCAAAAATAAGGAATCGCACTGTGCAGTACGAAAAAAACTTCTGAATTCAAAATGAAAGACGAACTGCTCTGTCCGACTTTTTGCGAAATTTAATCGCGTTTTTTGGCCTAAAAGTACCATTCCAATTTGATGTTACTTATTGATAATATTCAATTTTCAGAAAGACCAAGAGATCAAGGAAGCCAAGGGCACAATTTTCATTGGTGAGTACACCAAAGGTGTCGCTGGATGTGGTGATTTTGTCTGGAGGGACACCATTAGCAAGGAAGGGTGGACTATTAAGGCTGAGTAAGTCAGACAGCATCAAAGTTGAAAGTTATCTAGTTTTCACTTTTTCTGTCTAAAATCTCTTCATAAGACATTTTTCTCGCTAAAAATCGCTTTTTTTTACTTTCTTTTTTCAAATAAAACCATTTTTTCAGCGTGAAAATCGAAGGAATGGATACTTTGAAAGACCAAAAAATTGCCTTCTCATTCGACGAGCTTTTCACCGTGCCAGAGGCACAATTTGCCCTATTCAAAGACAAGCTCGAATCGGAGTTGCCCGACATCACCATCATATTCGATGATGCCGACAAGTTCGTTCTGAGCAAGCAAAATCTCAAGAGTTTCGACGACGACAAGCACGAGAAGCTGAGTTTGTTGGTGCGGGGCGAGACACGGGACAGTTTCCTGCTGGGACGCAACTTTTTGAGCGACTTTTGTATCGCGTTCTCCGCCGACAACAAATTGTCGACATTCCAAATTGGACTGGCGCCAATCACACGGCTTGATTCGGATTCGAAGTGGATAAAATATGATGATGGTAAAGGAGAAGATGATGGCAATGGAGAAGATGGTGGCAAAGGTGGCAAGGACAAGGACAAGGATAAAGATGGCAAAGGCGCTTTCACTGCTTCCTCTTCGTTGGCTTTACAAGTCTTCTGCGCTTTGGCAACCGCCTTCATCGCCAGACTTGCCCAGTAAATCATTTTTTTTGTTTGTAAATGTACCCGTATCTTCTCCACGTTGCATTCTATGAAGTAAAGATTTTTCTGTTTAAACCGATTTTTTGATGACGAACAAGGAAGGGAGTTATCAGCAAAGATTTGGGATTAAGTTTTCAGCGTAAATAAGCTGCTGAGAAAGAAAGGATCAAGTCGCAAACTAGCGTGTATGTTTTCAAAGCATAAGCCGGGCGTGGCATGTTTTTGTAGAGTTAATACGGTTGCTGATAATTAGACTAACAGGGGAAGTACCCCCAAGCGCGACGCTCAGATTTTGATGAAACTTGGCACAAATTTAGAATAATTTTTTCTAAGATATATGCGAGAATCCTAGCTCGCGGTTTGCAGAAACAACCGAGATTTTTAGATCGAAAGTCGGCTAAAATTTAGGACTTTTTGCCGAATTTCGGCACGAAAAGTTTCATGCCTATTTCTACCGTAAAGCTGTCAGAATGTCACGACAAAAATCTCCGTGCTCTGTAGATTTTTTTCACATAGAAAAGATGACAAATGTCTACCATAGAGAAGATATTTTTCCCATCTAAAAATAACCCGAATACTGTACATTCCAAAGGTCGTTTTCAGACTGATACTACGCCTTTTACAACAGGACACGTAAAAATAAACGGCAGTAAGTTTACAGTCAGACAAACTTTTTAAAACCCATTTTGTGTTATTCAAAAAAGGCGGCTGACCCAACGTACTATAAACAACAATAAGGCCTGAGGTCAATCAGGGTTCTGGAAATGGTTTAACGAAGGACCAAAGATCTGAATTTTGAACTCATTGGGTTGTGATAAGCCAGATATGTGTATGGATGGCCAGTGTTTGCGCAGTATATGTTTTAGCAATATGTAGAGATGTATACATTATATGTACATATAGGAGGACACATAGAGAAACTTGTGTATCATGAGCTCTTTTATAGTCTGTCGAGAAAATAATGTGGATTTATCGAAGCCTCGTCGCAGTCTGGCACTAAATTTCCAACGGATAGCTTGATGATGATCGAGTCAGAACAATTTTCGAGGCTCAGCGAGTCAAATATGTATACGCCAAATTGAAGCTTCGTACAACAAAGCCCTTCTATAACGTATAAATCTTTGATGCTTTGCTTTTTGTTCTACAGAAGCGTGATGGTAAAGACAACATCTAGAAGGTTTAGTTCGAACTTTCCCCGACTTAAAATAGCCATATCCAACAATTTTTTCAGAAGATGCTTATATGTTTGAGGTGTATGATCAACGGGTGGATAGGTAGTAAGAATGGTAGACACGAGATTAGGAATAATGTTTATTGGACCACCGCAAACAGGGAAAAGAGAATGAGATTAATGATGATAATTGGTGACGAGACCTAGCTTTTATATGACTTGGTTTATGTTAATTTCTGTGGGAATTGTGGAGACGTTTGAGACTCCACAACATATGTACATAAAAAGGGGTATACCAGACATCCAATACTTTTTGGAAGCCAGATTTTTGCCGCAGTGTTCTGTCAAAATTTTTAGCCTGTTTTGTTGCCAAAGCCTCACACCCGATGCATCTTTTACAAGGAACAGCAATTCTCCAAACTGTTTTCATCTGCCGATGATATCACATGTAAACGTTATTTTTTCTTCATCAAAAGGCCACGTACCTGCCTTATGTTCCGCAATGTTTTTTCGTGGTGTTGTAATGGTTCGTCCGTTCTTTGCGTTTACTTTGATGAATGGGGAAAGAGAGGGTGTGCGGGGTGGAGTTACGGTACCCCTTTAAATATCCCGGATATTTCGATGAAAAAACAAAATCAAAAAGCTCCACTCTTCCACTTGTCATAAGGCTACTGCAGCTTACTGTAACTTTAATTTTTGGACAAGCAATCTTCAAAAATCTATATTGATTTTCCCACCAAAAAATCAGTTAAAATGAAATTTCTGCTACTGGTTTTCGTCGGATTTGTCATCATGATGACCGCTACTGCATATCCATATCAGTCGTACTATGGCTACTACCCAAATTATAATAACTATGGAATGGTGAGGACCGAAAACGACTTCAACAGCAGGATACCCTCCAATAACTACAACTTCCTCTTCTCCAACAGTCCTTCTGATGTTTATTGAGGGCTCTTGAGGGCTATTGATGTAAATTATCTCATGTACATAGATTTGTTGAAGCAATATTTATAATATAATAAATATTACAGAGCCTTTTCAACTGTTGTTTCTTTACATTAAAAAATTTCCCACCAAGGCGTAACTATACCTTAACTATACGTGATATAACGGACTCGGTTTGATCAAAAAATACCGCTGGATCTTCCAAAGCTGATGTGAGCCAAAAATCTCACAGATGGCGTAAGCTGCCTACCGGTAGACGTGGCTTCCAGGCCGGGTTTAAAGGCCACATCCTTGCGAATTTAACCTGCTTTACTTGAAGAAGACAGCCTTTATCTACATGGTAGAAATGAGGCTGAATTTTTAACACAACCAGAAAAAATATCTATGGTCCGATTGGTCGATATATTAACCAAAGTTTAATCATCATACCACAGTCTGGTTGGTATATAAATAGATATATCAATCTCCGTTTCTAACTGCGTATCAGACATATCATCTATCCGAAACTGACGACCGGAACGTCATGAGAGCAGTTCTTACTCAATGAAGGCTGTTTTGCTCGACGATTGAGCCGTATGACCGGAATTTTTATTGTAAAGCTTTGCAAAACAACTCTTCTTTCGCAAATTCAACTTCCACGAAGAATCTATCCGAAAAAGCGGATAAGAAGATTGTCAAAAAAAAATCTTCTTTATATCCTTATTTGGGATGTAAAATGAAAAAAATATTGTGAAATTTGCATAATTTAATTTTACTGTAAAAAATTTCAATGTTAGTTAAATTTTTCGGCCAAAATTTTGCCATAAAAACACTAAATCCCATTTATTTCTCCTTTACCGTATTCATAACATCCCAGTAATCACAATCGGCTTTTGTCAATGACAAAACGAACGCGGACGAAGAAAATTCGCGGCTGTAATCAGCCGAACGACGCCTCTGTGAAACGATCTTGACCCGTGGGAGAGTTTAAAAAATGCACCGAGACATAGGGAAAAACGTTGATGAGAAATGTCTCATTTACAGTACTTGAGACTTAAAAAAACAGCTACAATTCGGGAGAGATTGGGCTCAAATTTGAATTAATTTTTGGGATGAAACATTTCACAGAGACTTTTACCATAAAGAGTAACGTTTCCACAAAAAATCAATTTTTTTTGCGGTACTGGCAAAGATGCGGCTAAAAAGTGGCTTTATCTCTGATCGCACTCCTCGTTTTGTGTACTCTCTCGGCTACAAAGATCTCCGAAAATCTGGGCTGCCCTTGCCAACCGCAAACTAAAATTCTCATGAATTGATACGTGGCCTAGGAAAGGTGAATTTGCAAGGATTAAGAAAAAAGTTCAAAAAACGTGTGTCGCATTTTGAACAGTTCCCTTGTCAATTTGACCTCTAGTTTTTTGTGAAAGCACCCCCAAATGCAGCCCTTTATCCAGGATATTCAACGACCTTTTTTGAGGGGTACATAGAATCGTCCAGGCAAAAATGCCCTCCGGCAATACAGCTTCAAAGCCGGCCCAGAGAAAATCGGATTTTACGGAAGAAATTCACACTCTATTTTATGAAAGCTCTAGTCATTTTAAAGCTAAAAAAAGGGGAAAAAATTTAAAGTCAAGTTTTCAAATTTTTTGCCAAACTTTTACGCATACTGCCAGCTAAAAATCTAGAATATTCTTTACATAATCGTCCTATAAACTTGCTTCAAATTTTATCAAAAACGAAACCAGAGTCACCCTGTTTTCCAATCACACGGAAAATTTAAAATTTGAATATTCCAAAGGTCCCAGAAGTCTCAAAAACCAAAAAAAAAAACTGAGTTTTCAATTATGTTTGCCTCTAATCTCTGACCGCAACTTTGATAGCTCAAGCACGACCGTTCCACTTCCCCATTTCCCCTCTCATTCAACCCTGAAAACTGGGAAAATGTCAAGGAAAAATGGGGGTTTCGACAAGCTCGATGAGAGTTGTTACTTTCCGCTGAAACGTGGAAAGTACGAGAGAATTTGTTAAATAAAAATAGGCGTGATGGGAGAGTACAGTGTCCTTTGAAGTTGAAAAATTGTTGCAGTAAAAGGGCGATCTAAACAAAAATAAAAAAAGATGAGAGTGTTTTTTGATGATGGGAAAGTTCTTGAGCTGGCGAAAAGGCTAAACATGGAGGGAAAAACGTCGGAAAAAATTTGGAAATTCGGAAAAAAGTGAATTTAGGAGGTAACAGGAAAATTTTACAAGGTCATTGTGTGCAGTATTTTGCTCACATTTTCTTAAAATTTTGCACAGACTTTGAAAATAGGTCAAATATCAATGCCTGAAACTTTTAGCTCGCGCTTTGCAAGCGCAGCCAAGATATTCAACGATCTTTGCGGCCGAGAGAGTACGCAGAAGGTGGAGTGCGGCCAAAGAAAACTTTTGGCTATATCTTTGCCGTTTTACATGAAACTTTCATGCTATAGAGCGTCAAATTTTGCCAACTTTTGGCCCTTCCATCCGTATTACGAACCCATCACTTTCTAAACGCCGAAATATGTTTTTTCAAGTAAATACTTTCACTTTTTTTGATGAAAAAACAACCAGGGATCAGAAGGATTAAGAAATAAGATAGATAGACAAGATATACGATAAATAAAATGAATTGTTGACACTTTCAGCGATTAATTCGGCGTCTTTCAGAACTTGTTTTTCGTTCGTTTGTCATATGGCGATTTTGTCATAAAAATTGAGAAAATTACATTCATAAATTGCGGAATTTATAAGATTAAGATATAGATATATAATCAAAAAGTCAGTGAGAACATATATCGAATATTTAAAGCGATTCCGGAATTGGCCTTGGAGGCTGATATCCTCTGTAGAAGAAGTAGAACAGAACCCCGGCGTTGGTGAGCTGGAACAAAACCAACAGAGCAATGTCCATCCGGGCAAAGATTCGATTCCATTCGATTTCAACCTGAAAATGAATTAGAAAAAAGCTCATTCGACTGGTAGATTTCACTTTCCGACTTTTCGAGTCGACGACAGTTCGGGTCAATACAAAACCGATCGATATTGGGTCATAGGGCAGATGGACACCCAAACTAAAGTTGTAGGAACTGGCTGCGAGGTCTGGAAAGGCCGTCGGATGGTCGGCGAAGGCCCGGTGTAAGCTCGGCGGAGACCTGCGAAGACTTGCGATATGTCCACCTTTTTTTAATTTTAGTTATTACTAACGTTAGTTTTCTTTTTCCTGAGCGGAAAAAAGGCTTTAGGAAGTGCCTAGGAGGCCTGGCAAAGCCGTTGAATGGTTGGCGGACGCTCGGCGGAGACTTGCATTATGTCCACTTTTTCAATTCTCAACTATTACTAACGTTATTTTTCTTTACTCTGAGTTACTGTAACATATAAAAGGCCAAAATTTACGGCGGAAAAGGAAGATCCGTACCTTTTATCTGGATATTATTGATGTGGATACATGTAAAATGCCTCAAAACAGGTGATAAGCTATCCTAGGACCCTATTAATCTTATTATTTCTACTAACTAAGCCTTCTCCTAGCCTTCCCCATGCATACAATGACAAATTGAAGCACCCAAAGTGTAGTCGACCCGAACTGTCGCTGGCCCGAAAAGCCGTAGCGCCGTGGATTTCAAATTATGCTCAAATCACTTACAACTTCATTCCAGGTCCCTCTTTCCATCTTGTGCAGAAACTTCCTCTGGCTAGCCGCAATGTCTTGCAGATAAGCGACAACAAATGATAGCTTCAGATCAGTCTTTTGTAGGCTGAAATGGCTTGTGTATAATGCTACAATTACTGTCTCCTTACTTCTCCAATATCTCCGTTATCTCAAGACGGTCCATCCTATTCTTACAGTTATATTTCTTCGTATTACTGCAGTCAAACGGCGTTAGAAGCATTAATCGATAAGCACAATTGGATGGTAGATCCCCGCTCTCGACCAGCCTGGAATGGATGGTTTGTTGGATTGTGGAGACCACAATTGCCGCCGCGATTACCATCAGAATGGCCAAAATGTAGATGCCGATCAGCGGGAATCTCTCGGTCCTCGGCATTTCGTCGGCAATCACGCCGAACATCATGATCATAGAGAGCAGAGATCCCATCCCCATTGTCACCTGGAATCGAACGATTTTTGGTATTTTATTCTTGATGTGCTTGGAAAAGGAGGCCAATCTTTTTTACTCTAAAATTTCTCACCTTCTCTGTTCTCGGCTGGTTCACCGACGATGTCAAAAAGATCCCTAGCACACTCAGCACGGCGATCAAAAAAGTCGGTACGACCATAACGATGATATAATAAGAGGGCCTCCGTTTCAAGTGCATGACAAAGATATAGCCCATTCGCCGCTCACTGTTCTCATTGATGTAGTAATTACAGGTGTGCACGTCGATTATATCGTATTCCGGATTCCCGGTGAACGAGGATTCAGGAGGGGGATCAGTGACGTTGACGATCTGTTCGTGGACAGTTAGCAAGGGTGATGCATGAGTAATCTCACAGTATTGGATGTCAAAGGGGAAGAGCTGAAATGGCAGGCTCATGCAGCATTAAATAAAGGCCTTTGAGGGGGTCTTGAGCACTTTTAGAGCGTTGGAAAGAGACACGATTACAATGACTTGACCTATTTTACCACGGGTGTTATAATTGCCCCACACAAAGTTTTTCTTTGTAGCACAATGTCGCTGTCTGAACACCAACTTACATCAACCTCCAAACTGCACACCGAAGTGACTTGTTGCGGGATGTTCACAAAAATTCTGCCATCGTAAGACAGTCTAATATCGTACCGCTCCGGCTTCAGCATGTCTTTTGTTGATACGCTAGAAAATCGTGGTTGTATGACATTAGGAGCCATGTTTACCTGTTGTAAATGAACAGCTTTGGCAGCCAAACTAACGCATTCGGCACTGTGACTTCGGTGATATTCCACCAATCAGCAGGCTCCCATGTGAGCTGTGGGTCGGTCCATTGTTGAGTGTGAGAGATGACGAAACTGGCGAGCTGCTGGTTTTCGTTCTAAAAATTGGTGTTGTTTTCGTAAAATCACTTTTTTGAGAGATTTAGTGAGATGTCTATCGATACAAATCAACAGCCCGGCAGGGTTAAAAGTGGGTCCGGTAAATTTCAAAAAATCCAAATCTGGGCTCCTCAAGCCCAAAGCGTTATCATGGCCTAAGAAAAGCAAGCGCAGCCTCCTAAATGCTAGGCTTTGTATGGTTGGAGAGGGCAGTTTGACTCTACCAGTCCAGACCGTTTAGATCCAAAGCAAAGCTTAGCTCTGCCCAATAAGAATTTGAGGCCCAAACCGGCACGATAAATGAAAAAAAAACTGTTTCTCTATAAAGCGAAAAAAAAATCAAAAAAAAACATCACCATCAAGAAAAGGGCCTTGAAAGAAAAGTCGAGCCCATTAGAAAACCCTTGGCCCTATATCTTGGCGCGGTTAGATCTAGGCCTAATTTTCCCGCCTTTCGAATCTTTCAAAGATTTGATACTACGCGATGGACATGTCTGTAAAGCCTAAAATTCGTCCGTTAAAAAAGTAGGCCAAGCCCGTTTCAATGTTGCGAAGTTTGGCCGGGCAGTCATGCCTAATTCACGCACAAACAAAAAACTTGCCACATCCACAAGCAACCCCAGTACGATGGTTGCTTTGATCTCCACAGGCAAATTATGATCTGCCCATGGACGGACTCGCTTGTCATACTTGTTGAGCAGATGGTCCAATAGCATTGTTGTTGAGTCTGAAATTAAATTATGAGGATAAGAAGGCTTAGAATTCTATTATGTTTTGCGGAATATCATCTTTATTTTGTGATTTTTCATCTGAACTCTTCTCAACTTACCACCAATCCAAAAATGGATATAAAACATGATAAAGTAATATAAATTCCTCATGATTTTGCAGAACAAAGCAAGATTTTCATAGTACAAATATGTATGAAGAAGGCCCGTTTACAAGGAACATTGTTTCATTTATCAAGGTGAAATCCGATCGTATGTTCACACATCCGGTCGCATTGACGTTCAGATACAAAATGGCACAGAACAGACATCCAGAATAGGTCATAAAATGAGAAAAAAGCGGGCAATTTGTTTTGATGCATTTTGACGAATTTACAACGTTTTGAAAATCCCACGTTTTGAGCAATCTCTGTTATAAAATAGTTATTATAAATCATAGAAAATCTCGATTTATTGCCAACCACAAAAAACAGTAATATGACATTTGATATATATGCGTATTTTAGACCGAGAAATCGACCGGGAGTTGGGGGATTGGCAGCCATGAAAACCGAAGGAAAAGAAGTAAAACTACCAAATTGAGGATTTGGAAAATGCTTAGAAATAGGTAATCGTATCTGGCAAATATTCGATTCCACTCTTTTTCGACCTGAAAATAGATGTAAAAAATTTTGATGAAAAGAAAAAAGAAAAATTTTTTTGAACGAATATACTTTTAAAATTTTTTATTTTTTTTTGAAAGTAAAAATGAAGTGAAAAATTAAAAAAAATCAAAATTAAAACAAATTTTTTGATTTTTTTGAACTTAAAAAATCTCAAAAATTCAATATTTTTGTGCAAACCTTTTCCAAGACTCACCGAAGCCAGCCATTTCTGTTTTTCGATCTTCTTTCGAAACGCGATTTGTGCATCAGCGATTTCTTGAACCCTCGAAAATAGTCCAACAAGATCTGGGAACTTTGGCCTGAAAAAAAATTTTGATAAAAAAAAATTGACCTATTTTCAAAGAAGGAAGTAGAAATAACTTTTTGAAAACAAGCGACAATAAGAGAAATGTCACAAATTTTTGGGCCGTCATAATGACGGAACTGGAAGTTTTTTATTTTTTAAGATTTTTTTTTTGAGTTTCCGGGGCTTTTTAAAGACTGAAAGGAAGTAAAAAAGTTGCTTCGAAAGATTGATTTTTAGCTCAAATTATGACTCTCTTCAAATTCTGCATATTTCATTAAAAAATCAATATAATAATCCATAAAAAAATCAGCTCGAGCTTTGCAAGGAAGGCTGAGAAATTGAACACTCTTTTTTCTTTTTTTCTGAGAGACTAGGCAAAATGATGAGAGTGGATATAAAACAAAGGTTTTGCATATAACTTTTCTGGAATCTAGATGATTTTTTTTAACTGAAAGCTTGGAAATTGGCATATATCTTTAGGAAATTTGCCGTAAATTTAGACAAAGTTTTACCAGATTCAAAAATCAAACTTTTTCAAAAAAAATGTTATTGAATTTGTTTTTTTTTTCTGACGACAAATTCTTTTTGAAGATTCGTACATATTTTACAATAAAGCAAAAAAGTTTATCAGCATTACTCACGGCGCGACATGAATTTCCTCCTCCATCATGTCCAGATTGCTCATCCGTTCCCAAAAGTCCATGAAATGCTTGGGCCGCTTCATAAACACCATGGAATAGGCCATCTGCGAGGGCATATTGTCGCTCTCAATCATTTGCCTGCTAATCCCCAGCATCGCCATGCTGATCCCCACGCCCAGCGCGCACAACAAGATCACCGCGATGATGTAGTAGCCCAACAACGGGATGGAATTGCTTTTCGGCATCGCGTTGGCCACAATGTCGAGGAGAACGACCATCGCCAGCAACGATCCCAATCCCAGCGACACCTTCTCCCCACGAGGCCCGTCGCTGTCGCCCGGCGAAAAGATGCCGAGAATGGAGAGAGCGGAGATCAGAAAGGTCGGCGCCACAATCACCGTGATGTAATAGATGGGCCGACGATGCAGATGGAGAATGTAATGGACCTCGACGCGGTATTCCCCGTCTTCCATGAATTTCATATGCCGGACCGTTACGTTGATCACTTCCCATTCCGCGTTACCCTGAAAATTTTGAAATAAAAAAGTTGCGGGTATTACAGGCTCTTGAAAAATTGGAAATTTTGAACAGAACAACTAAATTTGATCTTTTTTTAAAATTTGTACGGTAAAAAACAATTTCGATTTTTTGCACAGTGCAATGGAAATTCTGAAATTTTGCACAGTGCAATAAAAATTTTCAAACTTTCCTGCACTGTGCAGTACGATCTTGTCCGAAATTTTGCACTAAGCAAATAAATACGGCTGGATTTTCCATTGCCCGATGCAAAATCTGCTTTTATTTGCCCTGCACAGTGCAGCAAACATCAAACCTAAATTCCCACCACACTGTGCATTGAAATTTTAATTCTTGCACTGTGCAATGATTTGTCGCGATGCATCGGGTTTTTGCACAGTGCAAAATTAAATCTCACTTCCTTCCGCACAGTGCAAAATTGAGTTTTCATTTTTACTGCACAGTGCAAAAAAATTTTTTCTTTCTCATCGCACTGTGCAGCGAAATTTTCATTTTTTGCACTGCGCAATAAAAAACTTTATTTATACCGCACTATGCAACATCAAATCAAAATTTCCATCGCACAGTGCAAAATTAAATTTCACTTCCTACCGCACAGTGCAAAAAAGATTTAGTTTTTCATCGCACTGTGCAGCGAAATTTTCATTTTTTTGCACTGTGCAATAAAAAACGATATTTTTATCGCACCGTGCGACATTAACTTTCAATTTCCACCGCACAGTGCAAAATTGGGTTTTCATTTTGCTGCACAGTGCAAAAAAGTTGTTTTTCATCGCACTGTGCAGCGAAATTTTCATTTTTTTTTTGCACTGTGCAACACTAAATTTCAATTTCAATCGCACTGTGCAAAATTGGGTTTTCATTTTTTCTGCACAGTGCAAAAAATTTTTCTTTCACATCGCACAGTGCAGCAAAAATTTTCGTTTTTTGCACTGTGCAATAAAAAAGCGATAATTTTATCGCACTGTGCAACACTAAATTTCAATTGCACTGTGCGGTCCCTCCCACACCTCCAACCCACCGAAAAATACGCGTCCTTGGGGGGTTGCGTGGCGTTGACGACCATTTCATTTATATTCAACAAGGGGGAGGCTTGAGCAATGGCGCAGAATTGAGTGTCAAATGGGAATAACTAAAACGAAATTATCAAAATATATTATCCATGACATCAGAGGCGAAAAACTCACATCAATTTGAAGTTTACAGATACACGTAACATATTGTGGTATGTTCACCTTGATGTTTCCATCGTGCTTGAGGCGAATATCGTAGCGGTTTTCGGTCAGCATGTCCTTTGTGTCCATACTGAATGTTTTTGATTGGAAAGATGATAAATAAAAAAAAAATTTAATAAAAATAAAAAAAAATTTAAATAAAAATCAAAAAAAATTTTTTTTTTAAATGAAAATAATTTTTTTTTAAAATAAAAATAAAAAAAAAATTAAATAAAAATAAAAATAATTTTCTTTTTTTTTTATTTTTTTTTTAATTTTTTTACCTGTTATATATGAACATTTTCGGAACCCAAACCAGACTTTGAGGCACTGTCAGCTGATCAATTCCATTGTATTCCGCCGGATCCCAAACCAAATTCGGATCCACCCATTTTTGGACATGTGATATGACAAAGGAGGCCACTTGATTATTCTCTTCCTAAAAAGGCATTACACTAATTTTTAAGGTGATTTTATTGACGTACAAGCTCAGTAAGAATGGCCAAGACAATAGTCATCTGCACTTCCACCGGTTTCCCATCGTCAATGAAAGGGCGTACCCGTTTGTCGTACTTGTTCAGGACATGATCCAGCAGCTCTGAGGGGCCCGCTAAAGAATTTGAATATGTAATAAGTTTGCCTGGGATCAATGTTGCATCATGTCAGATCTTTTGCTATGCATAGATAGTGATGACTTTTTGTTTGGACAAAAAAATTTTTTTCGGAGTGAGCTTTGAGTTTTCCGCTGTCTTTTGAGCGGTCAAACAGCCAAAGAAGTTGAGTGTAGAACCGTGAAAAAGCCTTTGTTTTGGAAGTTTTTGTTCTTTAGGCTATGCCATCTCAAACAATATGGACTACAAGGGCCTTGTCAGCTCGTACTAGAAGCAAAAATTGGCCCAGCCAACGCTCATAGCATACAGAAAGAACGCGCGAACAAGCCGAATATCATAGCCAAGAATTCCTTTTAATTTGGCGCTTGTGATATGCTTATACCGAATGTAAATTCCAGAAAATTTCAGCGTTCATAATACATGAGTCATTGAGATATTCATCGCCCGAAAACAGGCAAAACAATGAGAGCGGATAGGCAAAAAAAAGATTTTTTTTTAAATTCATTCTATTTCGATTCTTCTCATAGAAGAAATTTAAACATAGTAGAAAACTAGTCCTGTCATGGACGTATAAATAGAGCCAATTTTTTTGTAGATAACTGCGGAAAAAATGGCCAAATTTTCGCCAATACTAAACTTTCGACTAAAAATTTTCTATCGCTTCTGCAAAATACAAGCCAAAAATTCTTTGCATTGCTTTATAGACAATTTGCAATCCAGTTTTTATCAAGTTAAATTAATACATCTGAAGTCCCTCAATATTTCTCTTTCACTCAAAACTAAACAAAATTTCCAAAACTCACCGCTCAAGTGCATGGCCAGTGTGGGAATCATCAACAGATGCTTCAACATCTTTCCAGCCTCCCCAACATTCAGCCCTTCAACAACATTCTTTCATTACACGCATCCAAGCCGCAGTTTTACTGTAAATATGCATATTTAGATAACAGGAAGTAAGGGGAAAGACGGAAAAATGTATAACCTCCCGTGGCGAAACCCGGACCTTGAGATGATTGGCATTTTGAGGACGAGAAAATGTGTCAAGTGATGAGCGGCTCAACGGAATTTCAAAAAACGATCATGTTGCATAAAGTGGCCGAGTTTAGAACGGATAGGAGGGGAGGGCAAGGATGACGTAATGAAAAAATATCAAAAAGAATTTGATTTTTTGTTTTTTGCCAAAAAATAAGTGCTTGAAGAGAGCGACAGTGATTTCTGAGCTTATGAAGTTTATAGGTAAAAATACGGCCATGAGTAAATGTTGCCGGCCCAAAATAAAGGGTAACTACGATGAAAAAGCAGGGAGAATTTAAGAGCATAAAAATTTTTTGGCTGCACTTAAAAACTTTCGCGTGAGGACCCATAAAAAAGGTTAATTTTTCCCGTTCAAAACAGGAGAAAGGTATGGTTCAAAAGTACTGTTCTCTTTGATTTGTAAATTGCAAGTAAAAATTTTTATGAATTGTTATGTGGCCTATGCCCAAAGTATGTGCAAAATCTAAAGAGAATCCAAGCGTCGCGCTTGGTGTGTTTCCTTTGTAAATATGTAGTACATTGCACACGAAGGTGCTCAAATTAGCTATTGTTTTTGGGTATGGTATTAGAATGTGTAATTGGGTCCAAGGTTATATACGCAGCGGTTACTAAGATTCACGGTTTTTTGCAAATGGAAATTATTTAGACCATTTGATTAGAAAATATTCACTAGCGATTGATCTACATTTCCCTAGATATCTTGCCATATGGCTTATTGCAAGCATGGCCTACGTTTTAAGGGCTGGTTGAGGCTCTTTGGCTAGTCGGCTATTCAAATAAAATATGCAAAAAAATGATTACAATGACCCCTCCAAAAATTGCGACAAAAATTTTGCAGTAAATCCAATGAAGTACATATTCATTTTTACATGTTTTTCAAACTGTTTCACGCAATTTCATTGTTCAAGGACGCATAAGAAGGCGGAAAATTTTATGTCATAAGTCACGCTTTTCTTGAAGGATTTATGAACCGAAAAAATTAAAACCGCAACCTACTCTGGAACATGTCTCAAGACACCTACATATAAGGACCAACATATAAGCAGCACGCAAGTTTAATTTGCATATCCGCTTCCAGACACCGCCTTCGGCATCAAGGGAAGTCTCTAATTATTTTCGAGGCATTCCAGACGTCTAATTTGAATATTATAGTACCTCACGTGGTATATGTATAATATGTATAATCATAGACCAGAAGAAACGTTTTGGGAGGTTTTTTGATTGGTTTAACTGCGTACTTCTGTTATCATAAACCTCGTGCTCTGCGATGTCTTGAAACTTGGCAGAACATAAAAAATTAGATGGCATTTTTTTTAGGCGCATGCGGTATTCTTAACTTGATATTTCCAAATATAACCGAGATTTTTAGGTTTAAAGTAGACAGAAAACGGGGCATTGAAAGGTTCCATTCCTGTTGTTACCGTAGAGAGTAGTGTTCCCACCAAAACCGATGATTTTTGTTCGAAACTGGCAAGGATGTAGCCAAAAAGGTGTTTTTTGACCGCTCTCCACCTTTAGCACACTCTCTCCGCTACAAAGGTTATTGAATATCTGGAATGTGCCTGCAAGCGTAAGCAAGAGTTTTCAGGGATTGATATGCGGCCCTTGACTATCTAATGCAAAACATCATTCTACACAATAAACGAAGTTTTATCTTGGCCATAAAAAATGTCTGCAAATTCTCAAAAAATGGAACCCTTTTTGGCCGGAACAAGACAAAAATTGGATTGTTTATGTAAATTCAAAAAGGTTTGGGAGTGCGGAAATGGTCATCGAAAGACCCTTGAAACAATAAAGTTCCAGCTAATTGAGTGGACCCTCGGGTGCGACATAATTGAATTCAAATTTATGGTCGATGAACAGAGATTACTGTAGAGGAAAAAATTGAAAATTTAGAATTAAAAATTATAGCATAGACGTGCAAAGGAGCAACTCTAGAGGAAAAAAATGTCATCTACTTATATAAAAATATGGTTGTTATAGAGGGGCTTTGTTATACGAAGGCTTATTTTCACCCAAAATTAATTTTTAAGAGCTTTGAAATGGTTTGTTATAAGCAGGTTTTGTTGTATTGGGTTGGTCGAACAGAAATTTTACATTGTAAAAAATTTTATTGCATAATAAAAATCCAACCCGTTCAAAGCCACTTGCAAGTTTCAAACGTATGGTCCAAAACATCCCAAAGACCGCACCCGTTCCACGAACGTTTTGGAATTTTAATGCAACTCCTCGAAAGAAACATAAAAAGGCGTCTTGAACATGACGATAATCACGGCCTGAGGGCTTTTAAGAAAATCCTTAAAGATTTGTTGTCCGGAAAAGTCTGGGGAGCCAGTCAATGTACTTTTGAGACGGTTCAGTTAACCGGCTTTTCAAAACATAATCCAGAAAAAAGGGGAAAGGGAGAACAGGGGTTTTGAGGAATTATTTGCAACCATAGTTGCTGCAAAAAGTCAAGGGGGATGCTGCAAGTGCGATGCTATTTATTGGCAAGACTTGGAACAAATTTAAGTATTATATTGAGGGTTACTAACATTGTAAGATATATGTGACATTTCTAGCCAAAAAAAACTTTCTCCCGCGGGCCCAAGATCGTTGAAAAAATCTCAACTGCTCTTCAAAGGGTGAACTAATGTAAGACTTTCAGGAATGGACCTACAATGCGAGGGCAAACTTTCAAGAAAATCTGAGTGTTTCACTTGCAGAACATACTCATCCCCTGAACGTATTTTACAATGGTTTATCTTTTTTTACAGCGGACTATTTGCACTCTGCTCCTTTGCTTTTTCGTCACAGCACAAATTTTCCAGCGGGGGGTCGGCGAAAAAATGGTAAGGGGTGTGAGGGGGGAGTAAGGCAAATTTTCGTCGCGAAAATTGAAATTTTTCACAGGTATCTAGCTATCTGTGGCAAAAAAACCTCCCCCCCCCAGACCAATTCCTCTTCTACGCCTTTGTCTGATGCCCCCACAAAAAAAATTATCAAAATCCTTGCCAGCGAACTATGTAACAAGGTGCAATATACATACACGTACGCTATATTCCATGGTCAATCAAGCATCCATAGTCGAAATGAATGCACTCGACCTACTCCGCCTACACTGGCCACAATGGCCACACAAGGGCTTTACGTAGGAGTTCGGGGAACCGAGTTGGTCGAGGAACTGAGCTCTCGGAAAATCTCATTTTCACAATCAATCGGTTGTTTGTCTGGGAGTTATGGACGGGAGGAAAACAAACAAGAAAAAAAAAACAATTGACGATAAACCGAAGTATTTATTTTAGGCGTCAGATTTCCTTAAAATTAGGTAACTTCTGAGCAGCTTACACACCGATTTCTGAAGACTTTAGATCGCGTTTTACAGCGAAAAAAGGTATTATTATTAAACTTCTTGAGAGAACACCTCAAAGAAGATCTTTGACACCACATAAGACTCTTGAATTATTTATTACCCGGTTTTATCATTATTGACAAAATATATTTACGACATGTACATATTTACACAACTAACGATGATTCGAATATTCGCTTCCAGAAAAACTGCTCATCGATCCTCGCTTCCATCCAGTCGCGCTTTCCCAACCCACAGACTTGGCGCGAGCTCGAGTCTCTGAAAGATAGCAAGATAAACAAAATATTGTGAGATTTACGAGGTAAATGTTGGAATTTCAAAGCTCAGAGTTTCTTTTGAGCCCAAGTAGTGCCTAGAGCATATAGAAGTGGCTTAAAATATATGAGCTTGCGCTTTGCAAACGCAGTTGAAGTATGTTCAATCTTTGGCGATGAAAAGGTAGTGAAATTTAGAGAGCGTTCAGAGAGAAAAAACGTTTTTTGGCCATTTCCAATTCCAAGCAAAAAAAATTTGATTTTTTTATAGAAAATTTGTTTTTATATCTCAAGTGTATTTATGGTTGAAATTTTTCATGGATAGCCTTGCAAAGAAACCGTTGCATTGTGCCCAATTGTTTGACAAAAAATCTCGCTTTTTTCTGTAAAGAGCCGACCAGGAATCTCGTACATACCCTAGGATTTTTTTCACTAAATTAGCCTGTTTCTTAAAAACCTTAGCGTTCCACGTTAGACACTCCCTTTTTCAAAAGAAAGCCTAATATTTTAGCCTCACTTTTCTCTTCCCATATCCGATTTGGCTCCGAAGACAGACAAGGATCGGAGCCGGAGCTGAGCATCTTCGGCCTCGCAGTTTCCGAGGATTTCCGTGAGCTGACTTCTGAGATCATCGACAATTTCTTCGGAGCCTCTCCCCATCCGCACTTCCCATCAACAACCACCAATGGCGGACTCAAATTGTCGTGCACACTCTTCGTTTGAGACGCCATTTGAGGCCATAGAGTGCCGCTGACGGAGTGGCGAATCTTCTGGAACAGATTCCTCCGTTCCGCTTCGTCCGGCTCATCAATCTCCTCGTAAATACTAACCGTTGTTGGAGTGAGTTGGCCGGTTTGGATTTTCTCAATCGCTGCGCCAATCTGGAAGGTATTCGCTGTAGAAAAAGGGACTTACATCTCTCAACGAAATAATCCCCACCAGTCTTCCTTCATGCGTAACATAGCTGCGCGTCAAACCGAGCAATGAAAATAGGAAATGGACCTTCAACAGAGAAGTGTCATCGACCAGTTGAAAAGGGGCTGGATCAACCCCAATCTCCTTCCAATCAATCTTTGTGTTCAGCTGTTCTTGCTCCCATTCATGTCGCTCTTTTCCGTGAAGATCGTAGCCAGAGGTTTTTCTTTGTTTTTGAAAAGAAGAAGCGAGGGTTATGGTCCGGAAGAGCTCTGCAATATTACGTAATATGCAGTGAACTACAGTAACAACTCTGTAGAGCAAGCCTTCAGATAACAAATCCTCTATATAACAAACTATTTTAGAGATTTAAAAACTAATCTTCGTTCAGCGAAACCCTTCTATAATAACTTTTTTTTCGGCCGCTTTTTGCTGTAAAGGGGCTTGATTATCAATCCGTTGGGAAAATAATGTGGATTTGTCGCAGAAAAATTTCTTTTTCCACCAAATCCTCAACCTTGACTAGCCGTCATAAAGTGCTAATAAGCCACTCCAAAAATCCACATTTCTTTCCCGACAGACTTCTACTACATATATTCTCCTTTACTCACCTCCAACACCCGGAGGAAGCAAATTCTCCAGCCGTTTTTTCTCCAGCTTCTCAACAGCCTTATCCAATTTCTCCTCAGTCGACGTTTGTTGCATGGCAGGAGTTACCACAAACCTTGAAGGCCTTCTTGTTAACGTCTTTGGACACTCATCGTAATAGTAATCCATGGATGAAGTGTCAGCAAGATCGAACTCTACATGTTTCTCTTGAAGCAAGTCTTTGGTGTCCTTGTCAAAGACAATACTGTTTCGTTGTTTCTCCACCGGCCGGAATCGGCGATTTATATCCTAAAATATAAAAAATCTGCCTTATACTACGACTTACATTGATGCTCTCCGCGATTTGTTTCGCGGCCTCGGCTTTTCTGGCCATTGGGCCGACCTTTGCGTCCAACGCTTTCATCAGCTTGGACCTTGAACAGGAGCCGATTAACACCTTGTTGTCCTTGCTCTCGACCACCGGGAACACTTTCATCTTGTTCTCGCTCATCAGAACATGTTGAATGTCCTTGTAGGTCGTGTCTTTACACAAATACCACACTCTCTCTATGCTGGTCATAAACTGTCTTGCCAGGATACCATGGTATCTGGAGGAGGATGGGATATCCGGAAGATAGGGCAAGTGTTTCACCAAGATTACGGAGTCATAAAACGATGGTTGGAGATTCGAACATATCGCATTGGAGATCAATGAGGCTATCTGAAAGATACAATATGTTGTTTGGAGATATACCTACCATAACTGGGAGGATAAGAACAATCTGTCCGGTAAGCTCAAACGCGATGACTGCCACCGAAATTGTATGAGTTACTCCGCCGGAAAATGCAGCAGCTCCTGAAAAAGTTCATCTTTCAGAGCTCTTGAAAACTGAGCAATTGAAATAACAAGCCATCAAAAAATTGATGATTATAACGGGGTAAAAGACCCTTACTTCAAAAGGTCGTAGCGACCTCAGTTTGCATTTTAAAATCTTGTTATTTCATAGAAAAAAATTGGTGTGGCTTAAGAATACATGTTCCAAAAATGAAGCCTCTGCGCCGCCTCCGCCGGAAGTTATAGCCTCCAACTTTCCTTCACATTTCTCGAAAAATTCCTATACATGAAAACCCCGCTAACCCCGTGATTACTACCGCTATATATAGCTTACCCACTACAGCATACGCTCCAGGATTTATATGCCTTCCCAGACTTCTGAATCCATCCGGATACATCACAGAAGTCAGCTCGCCCATCAACCGTCCAAACGCCGCGCCGATTATGAACGACGGCCCAAACACTCCGCATGGGATGGGAAGGGTCAACGAGAGGATCGTTAGAAAATACTGAAAGACATACAACTCTACAGTGGGGGAACTGATCCAGTTACAAAAAACGCAGCATTTTACATCCGGGAAGTATCAAAAATGTGGCAAAATGCCTCCCCTCCGGGACGCCTTTCAAAACAAAGTTTTTCACTTGGAGAGTGAAGCATTTTGCCACATTTTTGATGCTTCCCGAATGCAAAATGATACGTTTTTTGCCACCAAATCGGGTCCGTCACTGTATGCAATTCGACCTACACAACCAGCCAAGAAGATGATCATGGCGTCAAAGACATCGCGTTCGTAATGCCCTCCCAGCCAGTCCAATAAAAGATCGTTGCAGAAATGCGCTGATTCGTTGGTCGCAGTCCACGTGCAATTGAAAAACAAGTAGTGTGGGGCCTTACTGAACCCAACAAACCCGCCCATATAGGCACCATACCATCGGGGATATGTCAACAAAGCGATGACAAATGAGACCAGTATCGTATAGGTTAACCAGCTAGAATATTTGAATATTTTGAATATTTCTTATAGAAATTTAGGGTGATTTTTGCAATAGTTACACATAAAACAAGATAAAACAAAATTAAACCGATTGAACTCACTGTTTTTGAAAGACCCGTATCATCCACTTGTTGTTCCGCAAAAACAAAACAAGATTACGGTGCAACATGATGAAAATGGCCGAGAAAACGCCGCAGATTACGCTGAATCGACCGGTAAATCAACAAGTTTTTACTTACCCCATGAATGCAAAGATTAAAAGCTCCTCTGAAACGAAGGCTTCTTGCGGGAAATAGGTCTGGAAAACTGCCACTAGCTTCTCTAAAAAACATTGTTAATAGTGCCACATGGACGGTATAGGGGAGATATGTAATTGCGGGATACGACTTTTCGGGTCAACGACAGTATTTGGGTCGATACTTTGGGGTGCCTCAATTTGTCATTGTATACATGAAAAGGCTTGGAAAAGGCTTACGTTAAGGCTTATTCAATAGAAATCATTAGATTGATCAGGTCCTGGGAGAGCTTATCACTTATTTTTGAGGTATTTTACATGTATTTGAGGTATTTTACATGTATTACTACAAGAATACTCGGATTAAACTTACGGATCTTCGTTTTTTGGGGTGACTTTTGGGTAACTCAGAATTTAGAAAACTAGGGTTAGCAATAGCTAAAATTATAAAAAGTGGTCATATTTTTTATTTTTTTTTTGTAAGGGTCGAGCTAGCTGTGCACATGAAACAGGATGTCGCAGCAGAGTCGTGAAACGGTAACCATGGGTTTCCCTAATCACGAATATTAGATTTCAGAAAAAAATTTTTTGATTATTGGCCTACTGTAGGTGTACTGTAGCCTTCCCGCATTTCCAGGATCTCAGCTACAAGAGGTCGGGTTGTATCCGGACCTTCTCTGAATCATAGAATGGACAATTCTAAGCATCTTTCATGTTGGGCACTTTTTCCTATCTGTGCCGGAAGTATTCTAAAAATTTGCATAATTGTCAAAAAATTCACATTTTTCAAATTTTATAGAAAAATTTGCATAATGGCATGACATTTTTATTGCTCTAAAAGATGCTCCGTAATGTGGCAATTCAAACGGTATATAGATCACCGCAAGGGGTTCTGCCTATGTTGCAAACGGGTCGTCTAAATGTTGGGTCATCAGGAATTCAATTTTTCTGAACGTCAAATTTTGTCAAAAAAATGTGGTGTTTGGTATGACCAAAGATTGTATTGGACTTAAAGTGGTTCCAAAGTAAAAATATGTAATTTTATGACAAAATAATGTTATAAATCCTTAAAAGACGATTTCTGGGTCAGTGGACATAGGAAAAAATCAATTTTGAGATTTTTGCATTAAAACGACCGTCGATAGATGCTAAGCAAAAGCAAAGGACGTTTTTTGCCAAATCCTCCATTAAGATATATTTTTTTACAATTTACTGTTTTTTAAGTAATCGCTTATAGTTGTCGTATTTTAGCTCTGAATACAACAATTTTAAGCTTACTGATGTTTTCGATCATTGCTAACACGACGGAGCTATTATTTTTTTTAGTTTCTTACTGTAACTTCCCGTGATACAGTATTGGCCTAAAAAAACGGCCGTAAAATCTTTGTTTCTAAAAACCCCCAGCTGATTTTTTGATATGTTAATCAGCGTAAAATTCTGCTCTAGATGCAATTAAAAAAAGTGCAAAAAGTGGTACGACAAATTTCGTGGTGTAGTGGTTAGTGGGCGGGACTACCATTCCAGCGTCCCGGGTTCGATCCCGGCTGGGTGCAAATGTCAAAAAAATGCCGCAAATCAATTTTTTAATTACCTATTTTTACTTTGGAACCACTTTGAAGTCTAATACAATCTTTGGTCATGCCAAACATCAAATTTTTTTGACAAAATTTGACTTTAATTCCTGATGATCCAATATTTAGACGACCCGTTTGCAACATAGGCAGAACCCCTTGCGGTGATCTATATACCGTTTGAATTGCCGCATTACGGAGCATCTTTTAGAGCAATAAAAATGTCATGCCATTATGCAAATTTTTCTATAAAATTTGAAAAATGTGAATTTTTTGACAATTATGCAAATTTTTAGAATACTTCCGGCACAGATAGGAAAAAGTGCCCAACATGAAAGATGCTTAGAATTGTCCATTCTATGATTCAGAGAAGGTCCGGATACAATCCGACCTCTTGTAGCTGAGATCCTGGAAATGCGGGAAAGCTACAGTACACCTACAGTAGGCCAATAATCAAAAAAATTTTTTCTGAAATTTAATACTCGTGATTAGGGAAACCTATGGTTACTGTTTCACGGCTCTGCTGCGACATCCTGTTTCATGTGCACAAGGCAAATCTGAAAGCTCGAGTCTTTTGCAAAACCTGTTTTAAGTCTCCGCCAAGTCTCCGCTGAGTCTTCGCCGAGCCTCCACCAAGCATTCAATGGTTTTTACAAGCCTCGTAGGCACCTCCTAGAACCTTTTTTTGGGTCTCCACCTGTCCTATGCCTTGTATGGATCGATCTTTTTTGCTGACTCGAACTGTCGTAGACCCGAAAGGTCGGGCGTGATAATTGTCTGCCTACCTTCGGGACGAAGAAGAACTTTTGTTAATCGGAATACGGAGGCTGCGCAAGCAGCGGCGAGAAATCCACGCCAATAATTGCGGATGGCAAAGTATGAACTGGTGACTTCGATCGAAAAGAGGACTCCTGAAACGGCCTAGCATGAATATTTCTATAGAAATTTCTATTTTCATGCTGTAGCAGGACGTAATTACATATAGTTATACCTCCAACTGGTGCCGAAAACACACAAGCCACTCCAACCGCGCATCCAGCCGCCAACATCTCGGTGTGCCGACTCTCGTTCGCATAGATCGGATCGATTGTTTGAACCAGACGACTGAGAATGTTGGCGACAATTGAAGCTATATGCACAAATGGGCCCTCTTTTCCAATCGGCAGCCCCGACGCCAACGCCAATGTAAGTCCAACGAATTTAGAGATGAACGTCCTGAAGGTCAGGTATTCCTTTAAAACAACTCCTCGCAGAATCGTCTTCATCTCCGGAATACCAGAGCCAATCGCTTGTGGTGCAACGTAATGAGCGAATAATGCGGAACAAGTGACAAGAATCACCATGTATGCTGCCCAACAAACAACGGATAAGAAGTGAGGTAGAAGGCCATCGTAGATGAACAACTGTTTCATGAGTGATATGTGATCTAAACCGAGGTATGAGAGAGTCTATGGAGCTAGTTACTTGAGGAAAGGAGGTCAACTATAGCATCCAATGCAATGGAACAAAATGCCATTCCACACCCGAGCAGGATGACCACAACCCAGTCATTGAAAATCCAGTTCAAAATGGAGCAGATGAGCTCTGAAACGATTGATTTTACAGTGAAATTTCTGTACGACAGATACCAAGGGACTTAAAAAATTTATTCGTTATAGGAAGGCTTTGTTGTATGAACGTTTAATTTAACCCAAAATTGACCAAAAAATCTCAAAAATTGCTGTAGAAACCTTCGTTGTAAGGCAGCCTTTCTTGCGCTATACAGAAATCTTATTGTACAGATATGACATACATAAAATATACACATATCCTAAGAACCACTGTCATTTTTAATCATCGAAAAAATTTACCAAAGATTTTGTAGAAATAACAAACAACCCTGTACAAGTCCATGCTTTTTTTCGATATTGACCTACCTGACTATTGATAAAAACAGTTTTCTCAAACTTTTTGAACCCTCATGCTTGGTATTTCCGACGCTTTTCATAAACGTATAAAGATTATTAGGGAGAGTGCGGTCAAACACGAGTTGAAAAAATAAATATGAATAGGGAAAGCATTAGCGTTCAGAACAAGGCAAAAGATCATGCAATTCAAAAGTGGATTCGTCAGCTTCCGGTGGAAATACCAGCCGAAGGAGTTGGGAAATAATGCCGTTTTAATTGAGAAATTGAAAATTTTGTCCTATTTTTGGTCATTATTTTCAAAAAATCCTAAATTTTAGAAGTTTTGGTTACTGATTTTTCAGGTTACTGTACGTAAAGTTCAGCTGCTTTTGACTTATAAGGAAAGTATTATAATACTTCAAGTACGACGCTCGGATTTTCATGAAATCAGGAACAAATCGAAAATAATTTTTTTCAAGACATACGAAAGACGCCTTGCTTGCGCTTTGCAGAAATGCCAATATTTTAAACTCAAAATTGGAAAAATGTGACACTTTTTTCCGAGCTGTGGCATGAAAAGTTGCATGTTTATTCTGCCATATAGGGTAATGTTTCCACAAAAAAAATCAATTTTTTCCGCGCAAAACTGGCAATGCTATGGCCTAAAAATGGTTTTTCTGTACCACTCTCCGCATTTGACGGACTCTCTCGGCCGTCAAAAATCGTTGGATACCCTGCAAAGCACAGACTAGAATTTTCAGAAATATTTAGATATGTGGCCTATGCCCGGAGTGTTTGCAAAATTTACAGAAGAAGTCTCAGTGTCGCACTTGATTCGCTTCTCTGGTTAATTTAGCGTAAAATTTCTTGAATACGCCATTAACAAGTAAGATCTTCCTATTCCAGAAGTCTGGAATTAACGAAAGTGAAATGAAAATTGAGGAAAATTTTGCCACTGCAACAACAAAGAAAGGACATTTAAAGATCCTGTGATCAAGAAACACCCCATACAACATGACCAACACACCTTTCCACCGCTCCTTCTTGTCGCTCGAATAGAACGAGTCCGAATATGTCCTGTAGAAGCTCTCGTCCAATTTGCCGTTCGAATCTGATCCATAAAACTTTTTCTGAACAATTTTCTCAATCTTTCTCCGTAGCTGCATCTCAGCAAGCAAAAAACACATACGACGGGTCGTTTTTGTATTCCGCGGTGAAATTAATGCAAATTCGGGCGTTATAGAACCCGATCACTCGAGTGACGGAATGGCCTTTGGGTGTATCCGAACTTTGGTTCCAAAACATTTTTCCGGAATATGCGAGTAGTTTTTTGTGAATAATCCCGAGGAAGTTTGTGTTGCTTTATCGATATTTGTGCGTCGCACATGGAACACTTCCTTTGTATATGTGTTTGTGAATTAATATCTTCATTACATCAGGCCCCGTGAGCTGAAGAAAATCTGAGGGTCCCATTCAAGGCTCTCCGTAAACCTTTTTTAGAGGGAGTTTCTACCAGGATCAGAAGAAGGTGAGCTAATCAGAAAATGACTTAATTAGAAACGACAGAGGTACGATAAGCAAAAGGTTTCAAGAAACTTTGAAAGGAACAGTCCCGGTCACTGTGTCTTGCTGGGATTCGTCTGAATTTTCTTACAACAAAACCTCCGTACAAAAAATTGCATTAGAACAAAGTCATTACAGAAGGGCTTCGTTTTATGTACAAGGGCTCATGTTGGCTTTGAGGTTTAAAAACTGACTTGTGGACCCTCTGAAATTATTTGTCATTAGCAGAAATATCTCTAGAGCCTAACGGCGTTTTTTGAGCCGAGGATGGTCGGTCTGGTCCGGTTACAATTTCCGTTGGCCCAGCCTTACGATTAAAGTCAAATCTAGCCATGGAGATTTTCATCGTATAGAAGAGCTTGTTTTACTGGTCGCGACATAAAGTCCTGACACATTTGCACAGTGCATTTTGTTTTTCTTTCGGACCCGTCGCGGCAATTCCCCATTTTTGCACTAGCGACATGCACTTTCGCGCGAGTTCGCCACTTTTCTCGCGCAACACCCGCGACAAAATGTGTCAGGACTTTTGTCGCGACTAGTACAGAGGCGCTGCCGTAAATTCCTTCACTTTGCAAAAACAAAATGGCTGTAAAAAAGTAATACTCGAGTTCAATTTGTGAAGTAATCAGAAAGTTCCGATACATTCCAGACATACGCATTTACAAGCCGTAATAACTGTGGTAAGGCAGTAATTTTTTTGGTTAATCAGTTGATCAGATAAACAACTTCAAAGATGGTTTGAATTGTTTGTTCTATCCTCAGTCCAGGTATTCTCAGACTACATTTCTTTTCCAAAATCTCCAGTTCATTTACTCTACCGTTCCCCACTCCACTTCTTCCGCAGTAAAACTGTAATTCCCGATCATAATTCCAGTCGTTTACCCATCCAGAACGTCGTTATGTCTCCCCATTTCGCGCGCTTAATGTGAAGATGAAGAAAGCATTACCCAATTCGCGATGACATGTTGAACTCGTTTCCCACCTTTATTTTACTCGGACTAATAAACTCGGTTCTGACAAACTTTTTCTTCGCGCTCATCTGTAGCATTACTTTACCGTGACATGTTGATTATGATTGCGTGGGCAGATCAAAGGATTCAGATGTTGCGGATTTTGATCGAAATAGAGATGACGGTAGATGAAGAAGATTGTTAAATAGCCCGTTCGAAAAGTTGCTGGAGCAATTTTTGGCATTTGCACTGTACAGCAAAAGTCAGCGTGCGAGTGACAGCCAAAAAAAGCCTATTGCAGGGCGTATAGTGAACTTTCGTTTTCTTCGCCGAAATCATTCCTGCGACTTTGCGAACGGACTAGTAAGGTCAATTTTTGTTTGAGATTCTTTAAATTTTTGACACACGGCAGGCCTCGATCGCATGTCACTTCCAGAAACTTTTAGCTGCATCTTTGCAGCAAAAGCCGAGATATTCAACCTACACGAAACGAGGACGCAAGACGTGGAGAACGTTCAGAAAACGCTTTTTGGGCATATTTCCGCCAATTTCGCGTGGAAAAATTTTATTCCGTGTACAATAGAAATGCTGCACGTCAAACTGAGGAGTCCGGTGACCGGAATAGACACTTCGCTATCGGTTTTTTACATTTCGTCTTGATTTCCAGAGATAGAGAGAAAAAAGACACGCAAAAGCGTACTCTCTCGCCCGAAAAATTCCCCATTTCTCCCGCGAGAAAACGTTTTTTCGCGTCTTTTTTTGGCAAATTGCCAATCCATTCACCGGACTGTTTTAGCTTATCTCAGTTTGACGTGTGCTGTGCTTTGGCGGTAGAAATAAGGCTACAACTTTTTGTAAGGCAACTCGTAAATAAAAAAGCGCAAAATTTTTACAATCTTTTGGAATAAAAATCTCGGTTACTAGTGCGAAGAGTCAGCCAAGAATCTCGCAAATGTCAAAGGAAATTTTTTTTTCAGTTTGCTCCATGTTACATCAAAATATGAGCTTTGCACTTCGGTCGCTGCGAGCTGAAAATTGTAATGGTCCTTGCAAAGTGCGGGCTAAAAAATTGGCATCAGTTTTACAAGGTAGTCTAGCCAAGTCTCGTTCATTCCAATCCTGCTCTTCCAGCACATTCCAACGTTCTTCATAACCCCCCTTTCCGCCTCTTTCACTCATGTCATCATCGAAAATGCATCGCGCGCTCAAATGTTTTAATCTTCAATTACTCGCTGCGACTGCTATCATTAGCTGTAACTCAAAATATTTTACTTTCGTCCGCGCACGATCATATCGAAAATTTGTTGCTTCGGGCGGTTTTTTTAAACTGCGTTTGCGTTCTCGGGAGAAGTTATGAACCCACTTAACTTTTTGCGTTTTTTTTTGTTTGTGTATCAAAACCGTTGTTTTATTATTGTGACCGGAGGGGAGCAAGGAATGAGTGGGAGGTCATGAGGAGCAATAAATTATTTGACTTTTTTTTTAAAGCGGTTCGGCGTTTGTGAATTATTAATTTTGGCGTGGAATGCACGTATTTAAAAAAATTGATTTTTAACTGGTGCTTTCACTGCTGTGATTTTTAAGATGAAAGGTGATGACAATTTGGCTCACAGGGAAAGTGCTCAAAGAGCGACGCTCACATTTTTATAAAACTTGGCATAAATGCAGAGTAATTTTCTCTGAGACATATGATATGATACCTAGTGTGCGATTTGCTGAAAAAAGCCGATATTTTTTGCACAAAAGTTAGCGAAATTCGACGCTTTTTTGATTGATTATCCATTAAAATTTCAACTTTATTTCTGCTGCTTCACCTATCTATCTTGGAAAAAACGAACATATTTTTACAATAATTGCAAGTACATATTTCAAAAAGAATATTTTTCAGCCCATTAGTCAACATTTTCCAAGTCTTTCAAGCTGCAAAGACCGTTGAATATTTCGGCTGTCTTTGCAAAGCGCGAGCTGAAATTTTCAGGAATTAATATGTGGTCTATTCCCAAAATGTGTGAAAAGTTTGAAGAAAATCTGATCGTCGCCCATTGAGCATTACCATTTTAAATTTGACCTCCATCTTCCTTGAAGATTCTGAAAAATTCAATTTTATTTTTCTCCATTTCAAGCCCATTTCCCCCATTTCTAATTCCGCTTCCTTACGAGCCTCCATTTTGAGGATTACCCAATCATTTTGTGACCTCGCAGAATCTCATAATGTCAACGGTTACATTAATTTCTTCAACGGGGAAAACGGATCTTTTATCGAAATCAGAAATTTAGGTCGTTCAGATCTTTTTTCGTCGCAAAAAATCCCTTCCGAAAATCAGTGGGGAATTGGGATGGAGATTTGGAATCTCCAGAAGCTCGTTCACTCGTCCACTTTGATGGGTTTACGGGCATTGTCGTAAAAATATTTACGTTACGTGGGGGAATTTGTGAGGGAGAAATGGAGGGAGGTGACTTGTCATCTATTTCCAATGTTTTTTGAGGCTGGGAAATGTTTGTTTTGGTGATCTGGGGGATCCGGGAGATATTCATCTTTGTTGTAAAAATTGGACTTGACCTTCCGTTGTTATATTTTTATTTTTTATCTATATTATGGATAAATGTGATTGGAAAACAGGTGATCAAAGTTCGAAAAATTTTTGACAAAACTAGTTGTAAATTTAGGCAACTTTTGTCTAGGACATACGAGATTCTAACGGGATTCTTTGTCCGGAAAGTCTCAAGAATTCAACACTTTTTTGCTAGATTATCCATAAAAATTTCTGTGTTATTACTATTCTGCTACCCGAGGCGGCAAACTTTCTACAAAAAAATCAATTATTTCCACGTGAAATTAGCCAAGGTGTGGCCAAAAGTATTTTTTCTCTGACCTCTCCTCGCATTTTGTGCACTCTTTTTACCAGGCGAATACCTATGCTGAAACTGTGCATTTTGTCGACCAATGTATGTATAATTTGCCGGAGTTTGTGATTGTGACATGAGACAAACAAAAAAATTTTTTTGACAAGGAAAGTACTTTTATGGGGGCTCCTACTTTTTGACGGGACATATCTCAAAAAATCAGAAAAAATGTGCTGATCAAGGATATATAAATCTTAGCTGCCCATTTTAGGTTTTTATGGGTGAAAATGCCCAAAAGCTGGCTTAATTTCCCTACAAAAGGCGCAGGCATTCGAAACGATAAAAAGCGCAGTCGGTCTCCTCCTTCGGAAGAGAGCGGTGTGGCCGAGTGGTTAGTGCAGTAGTCTGGGAATCAAGAGGGGTACGCCGCACGGGTTCGATTTCCCTTTTGGGCCGAATCAACTTTTTTTGAAGTTGAAGGTCGGAAAAATAAATTTTTGGGCCAAGACTGATTTATTACGTCTTAGAAACTCAATAAACATCATTTTAAGCCAAAATAAAAATCGTAAACCCGTGAAAAATTAAGCGAAAAGGGGTTTGTATAGGACTTTAAGTCAACTTCCGATTGAGTTTTGACCCCTAAAAACCTAAAATGGGCAGCTAAGATTTATATATCCTTGATCAGCACATTTTTTCTGATTTTTTGAGATATGTCCCGTCAAAAAGTAGGAGCCCCCATAAAAGTACTTTCCTTGTGACCTTTTGTTCCCCAAGCTGTAAAAGCGCAATTACTGTGGCCCTTTAACACA